TTCGTAATAGCCAACTTCGTCTTCATTACTTGTTGTCTTCGACGCCAATCGTTGCCGGCTTCTTTCAACGCTTGTGCGAATTCTGGCGGTTGGTCTCGCTTCGCCGAAGGAAGTTTTACGATCATCTTTTTTCTCGTGTCTCGTCGCAATTGCTTCTGATCTTTCTGATACTCGTCCCACGTTTGAGGCGTGCCATTTTTCACCGCCCCAACCCAATCCGCGGGCTCGTCTTAGAGGTATAGGAAAATCATCTCAGGAATCATCTTCTGGATCGCTTTTTTGCTGTTGTTTTCATTCTCCTTCCAGAAGATGCCTTTAGAGATGAATAATTCCCTACACCCATAATCTTCCTGCTGCCAGTCGAGCTTCTGCTTGTCGCGGTACTGACCTTGTCTTAGAGGAGGAAGATTGTTACTTAATAAAGACAAGGTCCCGAAGCCGCTAGTAAGGTCTTTCTAGTTATCTATAGTCTGTTGCATGGGATAAGCCTAAGAGTGTGGAGGTGAAAACTAACCGGATGTTTATAGTTATCTATAGTTATAGATACATGAGAAAAAGTCTCAAGATCTCTTTCTTTTTCTACACCTTTCTGAAAAAGAGAAAGTAGCGAGTCCTCTCTGATCATGGCTTGGAGGCTACAGCCACCACCTCTCAAAAGTTCCGAGCCTCCCTAATGAGAATATCCAAGACGTCTCTACATCTACTGACTCAACAGGTGCAGGTGGATCAAGAACCAGCAGGATGTTGAAGTTGCTTGGCTAGGTTATGGATCCTGCACATCGAGCCAATTCGTTCGGTTGTTTTTTTTCAAAGCATGAAGTAGAAGCCTTAACAGTTCCGCCTTCAATTCTATCAGTCTGTGCAATGTCTTAGCGTCTGGCCTCGAGAAATCCATAGCAAGCTCCTGACGCTTTTCTGCCACTATCGGTTCGTAATCCCCCAAATTGTAGTACCTGCTGCCGAAGATTAGACAACTAATACTCCAACTACTAGATGTAGAAAACTCGAAAAACTAGAACGCAGAAGAGATGACCTCCATAACTCATCCCCATGATTTCCGGGCTCGTTTACGCCACTGCCTTTTTTCTCCAGCATCTCCATTATCTGGTGATCTCGGTTTTCGAACATCAAGTGCATACGGCCAGAGGTGAAACTGGCTATGAGACCCTCTCTCCATCTCTTCTCTAGCTCCTCGAGAGGGATGTAACCCCTGGTGGATATGGAAGAAAAGTAGTATGTTGTTTCGGTGCTAGCGACGTTTTTGTAGAGGCCATTATGTCTAGCAGTACACCTCATTGTTATAAGTGAAACAAAATCTTCAAAAAACAAAATCTTCGATGAGTAGAAATAGTACGGCCTTTCTGTTCTTCTCCCAGTCTGCCATGCGACGACGTCTTCGTAGCGGTAATGCCAGATAGAATCGGCGATATCCTCGTCAGTTATGTGATTCGGTACCATTGATGTTCCTAGTTGTAAACCACGGAACAGTTGCCACTCTCTTTTCTGGGCTTCGTCCCTCTCTTTCGCGGACATGTGGGACTTTTCGGCAGCTTGGGTGTTAGAAGAGGTGGGAGACGAGGGAAAGGGAAAAGATGATCTTGAAGAAACGAAAGGTCTTCTCAATGGGCACGAACCGGTGCTAGGTAGACTAGTAGGTAGAGGCTCTTGTTTCACAAGATCAAGGTTAAAATTCCGTGTCTAACGAGAGCAACATTAAAGTCAAGAAAAAATCCAATCATAATCTTCGATGCGCTCTTTGCTAACCACGCAGCTGCAGCACTACCTCCACTAGGTGAGGACGCAGCATACTGTGCACCGTATTTCTGCCAGGCTCGGTCTATCTCGGTTCTTTTCTCTGCTTCCTCACTCAGCATTCTCCGAACCTTGTCACTGATCAAGTCGCTTACTCCCTTGCCAGAGATATCTTTAGCTAGAGATTTCGAAATCGCCTTCTTGAGGTCTTTGATGAGTACTGCGTGAGGGTCCACGATAGGATAATAAAAGGTTTTCAATCGACCGCCAGCTGCGTGGGAAAACACAATGGCCAAGGGAAGTTCTTCATTGGCATCAGCTGCAAGAACCTGAGCACGCGGCCCTTCGGAGATATCCTCCATCTCAACCTCGAGAGCATCCTTTGTAGTCGCAGCTTGTGGCAAGGCAAAACTATCGTCAGATGTTGAAAGTAAAGTAGAACTAGAGATACCCAATGCGCTCCGGCTGGTGTTCATCAAGCTGGAAGTCGAAGCACCCAAACTAGAAGAAGTACTCTGTTCTTGAACTTGATTAGAAGCTGAAGTTCTTCTAGTAGATGTAGATGTTGGTGATGACTTATTTAGAAGATGTTCTTCAGCTGACTTCAGTAGTTGTTGCGGTAGTTGACTTTGCGGTAGTGAAGATGCAGGTCTAGCTACAGATGAAGTTGTTCCTGCAGTTGGAGTTGCTGCTCCTTGAGCAGTATGAAGAACTGCAGCTACTACAGCCTGTACTTGCTCTAATTTTGCTGCTCCAGAACCAGGCCTAGACTGAGATAAAGCTCGAGCCTTCGTAGCGTCAACGTGCTGAGAAACGATCGATAACGCAACTGGGTCAGGAGGCAAGTCTCCTCTGTGATCTGGGACTCTACTCCGTTGACGACTTCTACTGCGACGTCTGCGACGTGAAGCTGTTGGAGGAGCTCCCGCTTGGTCTCCAGTACTTCTACCTTGTTCCGTTGTATGAAAAGAAAATCTGTTATCATTATCACATTTTTCTTCTTGAGAAACTTGATAATGACAACAGATCTTCGCTTCATACGTTGATGGTGCACCGCCTCCTCCTCCTGCACTAGGTTGGTCTCCAGTCGTGCTACCTTGTTCTGCAGCTCCTCCACTGTTCCTCGGTCGTGACGCTGCGCGGCTTGCTGCTCTTGCTGGTGGCCCGCCTCTCGTCCCCAACATTTTTGTATTAGAACTCGTTGCCCAGATTTGATTCAAGCAGGATCCTTGACGTATTTTCCCCGTCAAACTGTAAGAAAGAGGGGTCAAACTACTCATCCCAAGAAGATGCCTCTGCTCAAGAACGATGAATTCATCAACTAGCGCACTATAAGGAGCCTTAATTGGAACATCCTTCAGGGTACTAGCTGGCGTGGTAGTCACGAGATGAGGAGCAATCACCATTTTAGACGAACTGCCAGTGTTTGTGGATGGACGAGAGGCAGTTACCAAGCCTCGATTCGCCGGTGGCAAGGAAGAAATGCGTTTCCTTTGTCGAGAGTTGAGACGACGAGCTGCCGGGGGTTTTGGTACGATCCATTGAGGAACGACGTGCTGTGCTGTGCCTGAAGTAGCGGCCGTTGTAGTACCTCTTCCAGGGCCACCTCCAGTACTATTCGAAGTCCCCGAAGACGCAGCCCCCTGATGTTGCCTTGTCCTTGGCGCGACCCATCTACCGCCAGCTCCTCCCGACGCGGACGGCGGAGGCGGTGGGGCATGCGTCGGACCACTAGGAGGTTGAATTTTTCCCATAGTACTACTCGAAGCGGGCGTAGGAGCTCCTTTGCTACTGCTCAAGCTAGGGGACGACGTGGCCGACACAGTAGACGTCATAGTTGTCGACATTTCGGATTGAGGCGCCATGCTTTCGTCTTTGTCTTTGTCTCCACTCCCTGTAGTTCCAGTTGCTCTCGTGGTCCCAGAGGACCAATGATTCAATATCGGTCCAGCTTCCCTACCAGTGTGTGAGGACGCACCAGCTGCAGTCGTAGAGTGATTTCCGAACTTCATCAGAGAAGACACAGCTTCATCAACAGCATCGCCAGCGAGCTCGTAGTCCTGCTGGGCCCATTGCAAAACCACATAAGACAGCGTCCCTTGTTTGCAGCTGCCAACGTCCTTGTTTTGACCCCCCGCGGAAGTAGAAGTGGAGTCTTGGTAATGTTGGAGGTACCAGCAGAAAACAGCAAACAAGGCACCGCCACTTTGGTCTTCCTGTGTTGATGCGGTTGTGCTTGAAGGTGTGTAAGTATCAACGTCAAATTGACAACTACTGCAAGTACTAGGACAACTAATTACATCAAGTTGCTTAAGTAGTACCTTAGGCGGCTCAATGTTATCTGTCACAGTTTCTCCGAATTTTTCCTTCGAAGAGGCCAAAGCTTCCGCCACTCTGCGTGCCTCGTTTTCATCAATCAGGTAAAGAGTCTCCATGCGAAGTCTAAGAGCCGGCAGTCCCGCAGCCGTCGCAAGGTCAGGAAACGTATAATAACGAGGTAGAGAGCCGGAAGTTAATGTGGTTAGATGAACTAGGGGAAATAAGGAGGGAATGCGAGCATTTTTTAGTGTAATGGATGCTGTAGTACGTCTATAAACGTATGATCTTTTGCGTAGATGATCGCGGCGCATCAACATCAAGTAGAGGCACGAGCTGCAGTCGTGTGCTGCTGCATGTCGTGCTAAACTATTCGAGGAAAATCACACCAGAGCAGCATCAATACTAGTAGAACAAACCCACACATCAAGCTGAGGAGCATAAACCAGAATAGTTCTGTGCGATCTTATTCGAAGAGCGAACTCCAGAGACAATAGCCGAACGACCGCTGCGACCCCAATGGAGGTCTAGCCAGATAGAGACGAAATCGACACCAGCTCCTGTTTTCGAGGCAACCATATCCACACCCAAGCTGAAATCTGTCGGAATAGTCGCTGCCTTCACTCCAAGTCTGGAGGCTGGAGGATATGAAAGTACTAGGCGAAGAGGCAGAAAAGACGGTCGTGGACGGTAACAAGAAAGAGAGAAAAGAGATTATATCAAAGGGTCTGCTCTTTCGAATTCGCACAACGAAAGCATGTTGTACTATTAACTCGCCTTTCCTGGTCGAGGTCATGATGTATGAAAAAGACAACCAACTGAGTAAATATAAGCTAGGCAACAACAACGTCAACTGGATCCACGTCCACCAAAGTAGCCAAAGATCCATAAAGGAGCTAGAGCGTCCCAAACTCGTGGAATCGTCGGCATAGTGGATTTTACAGAGTCCATTCGTGTGACGACCTTCCGAGAAATGGACCAGCTAGGCCCGCAACTATTGTAACGTGGAGCGGCACTTCCTTCCGCGATTGGTGCGGATTAGAAGGTTTGTGTCCGCACTGGGTTGAAGGTGGTCTCGTAGGCCTCGTTCTTGTAGGTGATGATAGCACAAGTAGTACTTTCTTATTAGGTAGATGAATTCCCTCTAATCGAAAAACTGAAATAAGTAGCAAGGAACTGATCAGAATTATAACCGAGATACTGACGAGGAGGAAGAGTAGCCTTGATGAATGTAGTTGGATCATAATCATCCACTGCTGCAGAGTAATAAGTCGACCTTCCCGATCCGATGCATGCGTAACGAGGCACAGTAATCCACGTGCTTGCAGATAAAGAGGAACCCTGCGTTGCATCTTCGCCGTCATGACCCAGGTCGCTTTCGTGCTGTCTTAGACGAGATGTTGTCGATCTTCTTGCCCAGTTTTATGATGTTGAGTTCATTGATTTAATATTTGCAAAAGAGAGAGAACTTCATCTAGGAGAATTATCAGTATGTGCCTATAGCCAGGAGCTTGTAACGAGACATAATGTACTTAGTTTATTGAGACGATGAATGGCTTAACTGTTGTCGCTGCGCTCTGGTCGAAATAGCATCGTTTGCATTTTGATTTTGCTGACGGAGTTTTTTCACTTGTTGCTCGAGTTCTTGTCTCCGAAGCTGCTCGTTCAAGAGTTGCAAGCGAAGTTCCTGCTCGGTTGCACTCCCATCTTGATTAAACGAAGGCTGCAAAGCAAAGCCTCCAGGTGTGTGAACCTGGTTTTAGGGGTAAGTAGAAGGTAGGTAGTAGAGATGAGACTGGTTCGTTTAGGTTTATGGAGTTAAATACCATTCCTCCTCAGTCAGGAGGCTCAGCCTCACACACTACATTAATAAAGTAGAGTACCACATCTCCCGCAGTTGATGCAGTGGCTGGAGTTTGACATTGCGAAGCAGGAAAATTGAATTCACTTCCAGTGGCACTTGGTGTTGTGGTTCCGCCGAGTGGGTAGTAGGTGTGCCCTACTTGCTGCGCGGGCGATTGTTGATCAGCTGTTGAAGAGGTCAGGAACGAGAAGAATGACTTTTTTTGTTTGAGCATGCTCGCACACACTTCAAGAGATCGAAACTATGAGAGATCGAGATGAGATGACGAGGAGAGTGTATGTGTAAGTAACAGCGAATTAGTATTAATCTTTTGAACAACCGAAGAAGACCAAGATCTTTCTATCTCTTCAAACAGCGAATTGGTATAAAAATCGAACCACTTCTACCACAACTAGAAATTAAAATATTTTCACTACTTTTATACCTAATTCGAATATAGTCGGTTCGATGACTGTGACTTCATTGCCTTGAGGTGTGCGCAACACTGTGCTATGGTGGATAATCCCAATTGGAGCAGCTGTGGGACTTCCCTGGTCTCCTGTCAGCATACTTGTTGAAGGTGAAAGGTCTCCTCCAGGACCGGTCAACATCGAGAGATCTCCTGTCATTGTCATGTTCATCGGAGTACCCGCAGGAGGGTAAAAGTTCTGACCACGCTGTTGATCTAATCCTAGTTGAAGATGAGGATGAAGTCCACCGGCGCCAAAGTTTTGTTGTGGAGGCATCGCTTGGTAAGGCTGTCCTGGGTTGTACATTGTAGAAGATGTTGGGGAATGCTGTTGTACAGCTGGACCTGGAGGCAAGAAAGGTTGCTGCATTGTACTTGCAGCACCTGATGCAGGACCTCCAACGGGATCCACTAGTGGATCAATCAACAGCTGTCCGCTGCCTAAGAAATTATTGCCAAGGCCATGATGTCTCCGCTGCATAGGTCCTGGACTTACATCTGGCGTAGCCGGGATCGAATTCGTCAGTGCGGCTCTGCTCACGGATCGAGACTTCGACGCTTGTTAGCGAGGAGGATAGGGGTAGGAATAGAAAATACTCAGGACATGATGCTGGACGACATGAGGCTTGAGTTTACGTTGAATACCAACCTACACGACGGCGCAGCACATATTACATACTTCTAGGAGAGGGAACAAATAGGACCCTTGGATTAAAATCTGATGATGAATAAATAGGACCCTTGGATTAAAAAAATGAGATGATGATGATGATGAGTCAAGTTGTAGCGAGAAAGTAAAAAGCAGTTCTTCGTACATTGCTACATCCCTTCCTTTACCTGGACGACTTTTCTCGCCGATGACAACATCCTCAAAACCCATGTCAACATCGGAATTTGCAGCCGTCACTTGTTGCCGTGTGGAGGAATTCCCTTTTTGGCCAGGGACGAGAGGTGTAATCGTCGGCAACCGTCTCAGTGCCTCTTCGTTTGCCGCCATGGTCGTGTGCTGTGTGCTGCCAGAAGATGCCGCTTCATCTCCTCCTCGAGGTATCTTGATATTAGAAGAATAAGGATCTAGTAACAAGTGTAAGTTCTCTACTTCTACTCGGTCGGATATTGACCTCTACCACAGACAGGTGGTTCTTTCCTCCTGTAGAAGTTCCTCTTGCAATTTGTGTTCCGTTGAAAGTTCTTCAATCATTGTTCTTCAAGCGAGGTTCAAGGTTTGGCCTACCAGAAGATTAGAGTTACTTTGTCCTTAATGTTCGGTGTACGTTCTCGTTGTGGTCTCGCGGCTCTTTCTGGTGCCGTCTGGTCGTCAGAACTTGCTAGAGAGGGCACCTCAGCATGTGGAGCTTGCTCTTGCTTTGTGCTCTTTGTGTGCGCCCAATACCGCAACTCGCTCATTAGACCGTTTATGATCTGGAAAACATCCAACATCGAGGACTTCTCTACATCTAGGACTTCTCTACTGGTGGCAAGTTGTACTAGAATGTTCCTGGTATCAATCTGATTAATATTTCTTATTCTTTCCCTCATCAAATAAATCAATGTTTTTTCCTCATCTTGTGAACTACAACACAAGGAGACAACATAACTGTTGCTGTTTCTCGAGTTGCTGTCGATGCCATGCAGTTGGCGGCTGCTCATCTTGAACTTGTTCATCTTGAGGTCCTCGGTACCATGCATTGGGCGCTCCCTCAATTAGAGCCCCCCCCCATCTCGGCACCCTCATCCCGACCCCTTTCCCATGAAATACAAGGGAAAAGGGCACCAAGATGATGCCGAGAAAGATCGACACTAAATGTTGACCTTAACTCAGCGTGACGTGGTCGATTCCACGCGTTCGGCGCTCCCGTACTTTCTTTAGGCTGTGGACTGCGTCCACGACGACCCCCAGAAGTAGGTCCTGCCGTTCCCAAGTCACTACCTGGGGTGGTGGAAGACGAGCCGGCAGGTGATATCGGAGGTACTGGCACTCCTGGAAAAGCTCCTTAATTAGAGTTTACCCAAATAATTTATCTTGCGAGCCTCCTCAACATCTTTATTCTCATTTGTCCCCTTCATCAAAAAGGGGCCAAAGATGCAACTTCTCAAGATGATTCATCCCTGATCGAGTCTTGACATGAAGCGAAAAAGTGCACTCACACTCAAGAAATTGGCTAGGATTTAAGTAGGAAAATAGCCACTTTTTTTGTTGAGTGTGAGTGCACTTATTTTTTCTTTCATATTTTAAATACGGTAATTATGATTGCCTTAGCTTGTTCGGCATGTCCAGCTGCTGCTCTGCGCCGTGCTGTCGGGGTGTCCTCTACCAGAGGAAAACCGCTTCCATGATGATGTTGGTTGCCAGAACTTCTGCTGGTTGCATTAGAAGACAGAGCAGCATGATGAAAAAACAAAAAAAAAAAGATGACCACAAAAACGAAAAAACTTCTTGAATGAAATAGATGATCGCGCCTTAAGATTACCAGCAGCAGCTTTCTGTCCTGGTTGGCCGGCACGGCCTCTCTGCCCACCTGCTCCCCTGTTGGAGCCTGCTGTTGCATCCACAAGTAGCCCTGCACAAGCACAGGACGCAACAACGGCTGCCCAACATGATAGCAAAAAAGGACGTCGACGCTTTGATGACATTATTTCTTTCATATGAAAATGTTCTTGATGAAATAAATGATGCAGATCTATTTTGCGCTCGTCTTTTTAGTAGAAATTTAGTGCATGTAGATAGTACTTGTTAGTATTGCATTGAAAAACACAAATTTCACGATCGCAAGACGGTCGCGATGAGAAACGTTACAATGTTCAATGAAGATAATGACGAAGGGATGTTGATATCCCACATTTTCTCACCTGGTGTGCATGTGCAATGAGTGTTGCTTGTATTTGTATTTACCGTTACGGGAGGATATTACACAAGAAATGAGTTGCGCGAGGAGCGGTAATACTATGAATTAGTACCTACAAAAATAGTAGTTACCACAACATAGTTCATAGCAATGCTTTTTTGCGAAGGTCTAAACAATAATACCAAAGATACGAAGCACATCAAAAGTGTAGCCACAAAGAGCAGGAAAAGATGCACTACACCGGAGCAGGCGCCTAGCAAGGAGAAGCGTGATGCAACAAGGATATGAAGCAAGATGTCGTCAATAAAAAGAAACATCCTGTTATTGCTGACAACAGAAGCGACGGAAAGACCAGTTGTCTGTCAGCATGCTAGAAAAAGTACTACAGTGTCATGATCTGTCCAAGAACCTACCGCGCAAGATGCGTGCACAAGATGAACGATCGTTTTCATCTTCTGGTATTGCTTCAAAAATACTCTTCACAATTTGTCAGTCATATCCACCTTTATATCCTGCATGAAGGGCCGATCCACCTGCTAAAGTGAGAGGGAACCAGCTTTCTATACACCACCACCTTTATGATCACCAGTCACAAAGAAGCGGAACACTAGACTATGGTATAGCCAGCAGGTGAGTCATCCTTTAAGATGAAAAAGCGTTGCAATAGCAATACAGACTAGAAGATGCGAGACCTTACAGTTGATGAGCATCCACCTCCTTACATCTGAACAACATGTGAAGATTCTTGGAAATCAACAGATCGTTAGCTTTGAATCTTTTCTCAGATCAACACCTGAAGTCTCTCAGGCTCAGCGCGGTTTTCAGTAGGTTAATGTCCATTTCATAGAAACCCAGTTCCCCTCTGCACAAAACTCGACGCGATAGGCACTCATAGAAACCCAGTCCCCCTCTGCACAAGCTCGACACGATAGCCACTGGGATCGAGCGCGAAAGCGATATTGTTCATGTTGCCATCTTGGGGTACTTGTTAGAAGAGAAAGAAGAAAGAAACTTTTCAAAACATTTGGTGGAACGACGAGATCGTCGAAGGTCGTGATGAATCCTTCTATTAGGTTATCCTTAGCCTTCTATGTCGTTGCAGCCGTTCGTTCCGGTTCCGGTTCCTGTTGTTGCCATCAATTTTTACAATCACGATCAAGAGACATATATCTATAAAGTTTTCTTGCTGTCATAACTTTTAAAAAACTTAACGCCTTGTTCTTCCATTTCCGCACAGCACTTGTGCAGATCGTCGACGATAAAGCCAATGTGTCCCCATCCTTGGTACTCGTTTGGCGGATTTCCATTGCAGACTTGAAATTCCGAGTCGTTTTCTGTACCGTGGTTATGCGTCAATTCCAATACAGGATACCAGAGTTTTGAACAGAAGTCTTTGCCATCTGGATGCTTAGGCTCCTCATTTAACTCCTCCTTCCATCTTTTTTCCTCTTCGGGCAGCATTTTGGAAACTAGGAAATAGTTCGTGAAATCATTGGGCACACCAGAGGAGCGGATTAGCGTCATATCGAAGTATTGCTGATAAAACGCGATCGTGGCGTCAGCATCTGTTCGTGGGGTTGTTGTACTAAATGGGCAGTAAGTATGGAGATGGACGAGATGGATTGCGAGTCTTCTTGTGCACCAGTATAATTATAAAAAATCAAAATGAAAATGGTGAAAGTTAAAGCCGCGTTCATCTACTGAGTACAACATCACATCGCTAGATACGGATACCCTACACCTACTCCTACTCACGTCGTTGTAAGTACTAAGTAGAGCACCAAAATAAGTACCTTTAACTCTCATCATCGTCTGACTTAGATTCGCAGGTGCCCCTTCGAATGTCATTCCTCGCTTCACCAGTTCAACCCAGTAACCGTCGGGATCCAGGGCAAAGGCTAAGCCTTTCATTCTTCCTTCATCCGGACGTTTCTGAAATTTTACGCCTGCAGCTTCCATATCCGCCGAATAGGCATAGACGTCGTCCACGTTGAACGCGATATGCCCAAAGCCTCTTGTGGGTCCATTTTCGATGTACAAGGGTGAATCTTTGGGCGCATCTTTGCCGCTGTTGCCAGACCAATAGGGTTTGAAGTTTTCGTCACTTTCTGAGCCGTGGTTGTGGGTCAGCTCGAGGACCACGCCCCCTGACATGTTCCAGAGGTACTCCTCGCGCCTCTTAGAAGTGACTTGTAACAGGAGGTATCGAATGGCTCCGGTATTTGGTAAGTCTTCTTGTTTTCCTTATGATCGAATTGAGGTTACGAAATACCAGAACCATTCAGGTATACTAGAGGTCTTTTTGAAAGGAGCTTGAAGATGCTAGAACTTTCAATCGAATTAGAATTACACCCCCGCCTACTGTTAACCTTCTTCTTACTCGCAACCTTCCCTGTTCCAATTCAGATTACCCCTTCACCATAATCTTCTTGCTTCCAACCTCCTCTGGTACTTTGAAGGGCAATTCAGTCCCAGGCTTCGTACGCTCTAGGAAATACAAGGAAAACTTCCATTGAGGAAAGTCATACTTGTGGATCAACTGCATGCCAAAATGTTTCTCATAGAAAGGCACTGAAACCTTTGGGTCCCGTATGCGCAACATGGTCTGCTGTAAGACAGCGTTGTAACGACGACCAATGGAGGACGAGGCGGAGGTGGACATTTTGTTGCTGGTTCCTGTAGTTCTTGGCAGCTAGCCGTTGGGTATCTTTAATAAGTTTGTTATGCGTAAATCGAAATGCTACTTGGTGAAGGTCAACGTCAATTCGTCAAGAAAAATCGCTATTATATCTTTACCTGAAAAATTTAAGTGTTCTACAACTAAAAGTCTGATGTGCTGAAGTCAGTCCTGGAGACAAAGTGCGTTACCTGTCGTCGTCTCATGAACTCAAAATTTTTTGCAGTTTATTTCTTCGGCAATTGCAACTTAGAACATCGCTTGCATCTGAGCGTAGAGAGTCTTCATAATTGCTGCATCTATGCATGAAGAATTATTTGGTTTTTGTCCTATAACAGTACAGCATAGTGCGTTGTTAACGCAGCTCCTAGTAGTTGTGCTGTTGCATTATGACAAATGACAAAAAAATTATGTCGTTGCTCCTCACGGACACGGGATGTTGTTATTTCTCGTTCTTATTCATTCATTCATTCGAACCACGTACGTTCTTACTCTACGTGCAGCACGTAGACATGAAATGAACCCGCGTTGCTATCCATATCTACTTTTTCTTTCTTTAAGGCGATAAGGAAGCTCTGCTATCCATATCTTCGACATCCAGGCTTTTCCTTACCAATCCGCCTCGGTCACCAGTTGCACGTTTTTTGCCATTGGCATTAGAAATCATGATGTCAGTGATCGATGGAAATGTGAACTTTTGCTTCAACCTCACAACGGTCAAGGTCATCTAGTAGTAAGACAAGCATAGATACTTCTAAGTAAGTACTTACACGCAGCATCATAATCGGAGAAGTGCTACCAGGACTCCGTGTACCTGTCGCCGCTTCTGCTTCAGAAAATGCGCTGACACGTGGTGCGGCATGTGTTCTTTTGGTCAGGCCTAGCATTAAAGTTGGAAACATTTCACTCTTCAGTAGCAATCTCAGGTGAAGAAGGCTCGTAAAAATGGGGCACAGTGAGACGATTAGTATGGCAGTAGTCAAGCTACTAAGTAGTGTCATAGAAGAGGTATAACAGGGAGTTAATTAACGAGAACGAGAACAGAGGCACGTGCGAATGAGATAAGATGTATGGAAGGTAGTATTTCAATGAAAGATACTTAACAAAGAAAAAAGGGAGGTGGAAAAGAGGCGTTCTCAAAGCAGAGACCTGCAATAAGCACAAGAACCCCAGAGGACAACTAGAAAATAAATGTGAATGAAATGTTTCAACCCTTAATAGCACTTTTTCTCGAAAAGGCCGGTTGAGCCACAGCAAGGTGTACAAAATCGCCACACCAAGACAGGAGAAAATGCCAAGACAGATGTATCCCTGTGTTCGCGGCATCTTGATCAAACACATCAAACCGGGGGGATGAAAGAGGAGGAAAAGGAGGACTGAGTAAGGTGATGGTGTGGTGCAGCGTCTCAGTTGATGAAAAACTGTAGAAGTGGAAGTCTCTTTAGAAGACTTTCTACTAGGTCAACTACATCTAGAGGTAGGAGTGCAAGAACTACTCGTTCTAGTCTAGTATGTGTAAGAAATCTTAATATACTTATTCTTTAATTCATTGTATAACTCTTGACAATCAATATCCATAAATGGAACTGGCGAAAGCCGGTGATCCGTACATGAAAATCCAGACCAATTGCGTGCGCCATGTGCGAAAATACCATTCGCCGTACCTAAAGACCATTGTTCGCCGTAGTATGGGCAACAAACACTAAGCAGCACAAGCAGAAAAACATGAAACTACTCAACAACGCCTAAGTAGAATGTGAAAATGCATTTACCATGCCTCCAACTGATTTTCGAAGACTTCTCTTGCTTTTGTCCGTTCCCCTCTGGCCAATGTTAGAGCTCAGCCCGAAAGTCCCGAGATGCATCCTCAGAGCCTTTTCCCCTTGAGAAGCGTCTTGCTGGGGATGCTTCCGAAGATGATGCATTAGGGGAAGCCTTAACAATGCCAAGGCTTTCGCGATTCTGCCTTGTTGTTCGAGAATTGCACAGCAGACGCTGGTATACAGCGAGAAAGCGATGGACAAACCAGTGACTATGGGGAAGAAGGATTAGAGTTCCATTTCTATGATAGAAGAGAAGCAGAAGCTCGAGCTTCGACGAGCTCGATCAAGAGATATTTACTTTTTACTTATTGCGCGTATCCCTGGTAATATTTATAAGGAGCGACAGCGAAATCAATAGACGTTACACGCTCCTGATCAAAAAGATTTATGCGTTATAATAAAAAAGTAGTGTACCTGGATAGTAACTATCTGTGACTGTGTCGCGTGTGTCGTAGTGTCTAAATCTAACTACAATGTAATCTTGGCCATCGTCTAGAAGTATCATTATCTCACTTCGCCTGCGACGCCATAAGCATACGCAGCCCATACTGGTGCTCGGTCGTATTCTTCTGCCGAGACACCAGACAGTCCGGCGAAAGCGAAACCCGCTAGCAAAGCCGTGACTAGAGAGATGGATCCCTGTTTTAGCGCTAGTTTTTCACTATAATCCACCCAGGTCGAGCGAGTTTCCGCCCTATAGCTGCGAGTACTTACCTCCGCAGTTTCCCCTTTTCATCAAGGCGGAACCTCCCATTGCTCAGCATCATTCACGTGGGATAGTCAAAAACTGGCCTAACTGGGATCCCGTGAGTCCTGTGAGGACGTCGCTGTAATCATTCATCTGGGGCTCGAGCTGCGAAGCCCTTGGAAGTAAGGGGTTGGGGCGGCAATTAGAGGGTAGTTGCTTGGGGTAGAAAATATTATAAGTGCTTTGTTGAGTTCTTTTTGGAAGATGAACATGTCGTTTTCGTCGAGCACACAATTTGACTGTGTGTTCCTTGCAGAAAGGAGCGGAACAAGTTGAAACCTAGCAGAGATAACTTGTCCTTGTGGAGCCCATAGTTTCAGCTATGTCGGACATTCGTCCTCTCGCGGTTTGATGATCGGATCCCGTTGCACCATTTTCCTCTACGACACAGAATTAGATACGAGGTGAAGGAGAAGATCGTGAAACGATGACAACTTCGTAAATTTGTTTGTTCTGGCTCTGCTAGGGGCTAGAACAGTCTTCTATTTTTGTTGCATCTATTTTTGTTAAATGTTTCTACAGTCCTATTTCTGGTGAATCTCCTAGAAATGAAGATTTCGGTACTAGGTGAAGCTAGTTGGTCTTGTTCGGTTCCTTATCTTACAACTTCAATTCCTTACTAAGCCGCAACTCGCTCCCTACTGCTCCCGGGACTTTAGGCAGGTGCAGCGATTTGTGGCCGAATTGCTGATGGTGCAACGTGGTCTGCAGTACTGCATTTGCAGCCGATGATCCTGTAGTTGAACCACTTGTCATGATGATTTATAGCGTGTTCTTGTTCAGTGTAGTTGATACTTCTTTCTTACAACGAATGTATGAAACTTCGACTACTTCAGAGTCGAAGTTAATTATATTTATAAGTTTCGAAGAGCAGTGATTAAAATTAATGCGTGGTGCTGATATACTTCTAGATAGCAGACGTGCACGTGGCTCTCGCTCTGCTTGTTTTCTTGACGAGGGTATTCGTGAAGCTGCTCGGCGATTGTTACGAGAAACTCACCTTTATCTAGCAATACTTCGACGTTGTTCATACACCAAGCTCATCGGGGGGTGGCATCAGCGGGTACGGAAATGTTCTAGCACATCAAGGGTATGTCTTGGGCAGAAGGGTACTTAGAAGCTCAGGACCGACTTTAGTACTACTTAGAAGGGTAGCTCAGGACCGACATGAAATGATGCGGTATGAAACCGACAAGACGAGGTGTTGTCTCCATGACAACTCAGCAAACTTACAGAATTATAATGTATGTGTCCAGGATACAGGTGTACTCTCCCTAATACGGAGCTGTATCAGTTTTATCAGGCGTTACAGATCAGGAGCACCGTGTTAGATAGTCTTCCACGACAACAACTCAGCAAACCTCGTTCATTCATTCCTAGAAGCTGTGAAGATCGTGCTTCGGTGAACGACGTCATGCCAGCATGTTTGTGTTGAAGATCGCGTTCGTCCCGTCCGTTTTTTTCGTCCCAGTATCAAGTATTTTCATACACGAAGCAACATAATTTCATACATTATGTCGTGGTGCTACCACTGCTGTTGCCCCTTACATTATGTCCCTTGAATCTGGACTGTAATTACAACTAATGAATGTGCGTCAGTGTTCTATTTGACAGTGATTTTTAACGTAAGTAGTCAAGAGCTAAGTTGTACACAGTCGAGCGATACTAGTGTAGAAAAAATTTGTGGATGATGACGGTAAGTAGTCGATTCGGGCTGGGCCTACGGCTTCCCCTTAAACCCCTATCACCTTTACTAGTCGATTCGGGCTGGGCCTACGGCTTCCCCTTAAACCCCTATCACCTCTACTAGTCGATTCGGGCTGGGCCTACGACTTCCCCTTAGACGATTTTCACCTCGTCTACCGCGTCTAGTACGGTAACCGTGACCGAATTCGAATCAACCTTGTCGCCATTTCGTCCAACCGTGGCCACGAACTGCAAGGTGCCATGTTGATAGAGATAGCTCTGTGCTCCGCATTCCCGTGGCGGTTGATGGAATCCAGAGTTGAATCCAGAGTTCTCCTGGTCCACTTCACGCTCACGCAAGTGAGTTAGAGCCGACGCTAATGATCTATCTACTCGAAAAACTGAAATAAGCAAGTAACTGATCAGAATAACCGAGATACTGACGAGAAGGAAGAGTAGCCTTGGTGCTAAGCTACCTCCCTTATTTCAGTCAGTAACTCGGTTATTTTGAGTTTTCGACTCGAGAAGCATGATGCTCATCTAACGGACCTCAATCCGCCTAACCCTAACCCATCTCAACGCAGAGCATCCTGCTTCACTTTTTCCCTTGAAGGGCCTCTACTATCCTAGGATCATGCATTGTTTGAAGATGGACTATTTTTATCATTAGGGTACGCTTGCACCTTTAGGATCATGCTTCCGAAGATGGATTTTTAGAAGGGTATTTACTTATAGGCCATAAGAAGTGAGGCAAGTGAGGCAAGGTTTCCACTTCGTCTTGTTCCCTAGTACTACTACTATGCGGAAGAACGTTTGCAGAGCGAGATTCCTTCGAAGTAGATGAGCCACCTGTTCTGGTAGAGGAGGTAAACGATGCGTCTCTCTGCGTCGAAAACGTCAAAGCTTGTTCCCTCGTCTGTGCCGACGACTTGTTAACCAAGAGTGGTCTTGGTAGGGATCCTTCGTCTGGGTCTGGAGAAAAAGACGACCCCCTGTTGACAAGAGACGGTGAACAATCCCGACGACGACCTCCGATCTCTTCGTCAATTTCCTCCGCCACTGCATTTTCCTCAAGGAAATGTTGATCTTGCTGATGCTGGGTTACTAAAGTAGTTACACCGGCTCCATCAAGAGGACCTCCGAGGTGGTCCGTGTGGTCGTGGTGCAGCTCTGCCGAACTTGATGGATCTGGTTGTACTGGACTTCTACGCGAACCTCCCTTAATATCGTCATCTGGTGCTCCTGCTGTAGTTAGAGGTTGCCGAGTTGCATTCTTCCGAACATCCTTGACACATTTCCCCCTTGAAAAGGAGCCAAGGATGGTAGTGAGGGATGTAATTCGGAAACCCTTAATACTAATTGCCCAGCTGGTACCCAAGAACTGTCATTCTCTGGACGGTCTAAAAATGGCGAAAACTCTGCTGTCCTAGCACTTGTATCTGCAGATAGCAACTCTCCTTCTGCACCTCCTTGATGTTCTCCGACCTCATTCGTAACTCCTCTGACCGGTCCAACGTAGTAGTACTCTAGGAAATTCCTCTTCATGCACATCAGATGCAACACGAGGCCATTCACGGTTCGAGTGAGACTATAATTAGATGAACTGAGAGAAATCCACCTTTAGAAGCAGCAGCATCGTACTAGCAGGCCTCCTGTATATACTATTTCCCTTTAAAGACGGGACTAAAAAGATGCACATTCCACCTTTAGCAGCAGCATCGTAGCAGGTCGTGTCCTGTATATACTAAATATTTCCCTTTATAAAGTAAGATGGGACTCGAGTGAGACTATAATTAGATGAACTAAGAGAAATCCACCTTTAGAAGGGGAATCCGTCGAATTTCCTGTAGCCTTAATATAGACCGTCGTTTGTTCCAGATCCTTCCCGCTTACAAGGTAGTCGCGAGCATAGGAAGCGGTATCTAAATTGGCCAGTCCACACTGACACATTTGTGTCGTTACTAGATTTCTCATTACAGCTTGCAACCACTACATTACATAGTCGTCCTCGAGATGAGACCATGGCCATGATCCACCTTCCTGATGAACTTGATGATGCCCTAGTAGAAGTAGAAGCTGAAGTACATGATAATATGGGTGGAGCCAAACTAACTAGGAAAAGAAAGAGGAAGAATAGTAAGTAAAGGATAGAGAAGTGCAGATATTGTAGTAATGATAATCATAGTTGTACTGGCATCAACAACAGCACGACTATCAAACACAAACTAGCTGAGTTCTTACGGCAACATCAAGGACAGAAGGACTGCGACTGGGCGAGGAGCAAGTAATGTTGTTGAGCAGCTAGCCCTAAGATCAGGTGTTCCGTACACTTTGGTCCCATTTTCTGATCTCCGCAAAATTTCAACAGATACCGTTCCAACTTCTCCACAAAATATCGTTGAAAATGTTCCTTCTTTAGCGGCGCTCACGACCCTTAATATCCACTTCCCTGGAGGATACCCTATTAAATCTGAGTAGACCTTTTCCTTTTAGTCTTATTTCCCTGAAGACCATGCATATTGAGACCTTGTTTTATGGTAGACCTTTTAGTCTTATTCCCCTGAAGACCATGCAGATTGAGACCTTGTTCCGTCTATTTCCCTTTGAAAGAATGAAAGACAAAGTCTGCAGGATTGATGCGTGCTTGCTTCGTCTGCAGATTCGTCTGAAGATGGATATGGGGAACAAGCCAAGGGATGGATGCAGCTTATCCTGAAACTGGATATGGGAACAAGTCTTAACTTCTCCTTCTCCTCCAACGCATTGCGTTGATTCTCTTCTTCTCGACTACCAGGAGTAGGAGTCCCTTCGAGATGAGGACCTTGTTGACCATTTTCTTGTCGTTGGCCTCTTGCCATGTTGTCTCGAAGGAAACGCTCGAACGTGAAGCCTTGCCCTTCGATGTTCCACTCTGCTCGTGGAATGTCTTTTATGAGTTGACTATTCACGGCTTTTGTCAATACACCATCGAAGACATCTTGCTGAGATCGTTCAAGTTAGAGCTGAAACGTTGGCATCTTCCTGGACCTTCTCAGGGTTTCCCCTGACTTCACCCCTTGACTTCAGACGTACTAGCCTTAACGGAGGAGGTCGTCTGGAGGGCGTAGGAGATCCCGACAATCATCCTGTACTTAAAGGTTGAAACAATTCATTTTTTAGTCGCTATCTGAAGTGAAGAAGGCTTGTCAAAAATGAAATGTTTCAACCCTTAATGTACAGCCTGATTGAAGAGTGTCAGGAACTCTACCATATGCCTTGTTCGCAAGCTCGACGCGCACTGCTGTAGCTTTTCTTATGAAGGTGAAACCAAGCAGATGAAAATCCATTGTCATTTTTGCTTCTATCACTATCATTCAATAATGCTTGGTTGCTAAGGAATAGCAAAAAAATAAATATATTTATAGTGATTCTTCGGTTACAAAAAGGTCTTAACTAAAAAAAGGCATACAAGATCAAAAAGTTTCGCTTAATCCTAATCCCTGTCCTGAGGTGCTTGGGGAAGATGATGTGCTCGGAGAGAATGACGATGCCTTCCTGTTTTCGTAGTGCTGTAGAAAAGCCAAACTTCGGCCCACAAATTCCTCTTCTTCATCAAGAAGGGCTTGCTCACCTCCATGAAGTTTAGATGAAATAAAGGCAACTCAACACCCTTCAATGATTAACACCCTTTATTGCACTAGACAACTTATCATTATCTATCATCTTCTATCTAATTCTTCTAAGTAGCATGACTATATAAGAACCCATAATTAGATGACTAGGTAGGTTTTCTGCGTTGCCTCTCCTTGGACCAGGAGAGCATGAGGCGAGGTTGACCAGAGCAGCTGCGGAGGACGCGGCACTTGTAGACGTGGACGCTACGCCTGTAGAGGAGACCAATATTAGAAAGCGAGACCACCACATACACATTGCCATCTACTTCCTTGATGGGAGTCATATTAGACATCCTTGGGGGCTTGTTCAGCTTTTTTCCCATAATATTAAGTTGTATATTATATGTCAAAAATGGTGCTGAGGAAGAGGATGCTAAATCTTGACGATACTATCTCGGACACGGTTCTTGTCTTAACAATCTCGTAGGCCCCTTAAAATTTTATTTCAAGAAACTACTTCTCTTTTATAAAAACGAAAGGACTTTCTTGTTTCTTAACAGAGATGACTCATCTTCGAAGACCGTCTTTCTGGACAGCTGGTGTCTTGTGTTTCGTCTTCTCCTTGCTCTCAATTCGTCCACACGCTGAGGCGCCAACTCACGAATGATACCACGTTATTTAGAAACATGAGCTAGATGAGCAGCTCTTCATGTGAAGATCATACAAGAACTTTGTGATGTTGAGGATGAATTTTTTGCAATGCCTAATATTTTCTTCTTCTTAAACTACATGTACATGGTTACATAAATTAGATCTAAAAAAGCTGATGTTGTGGATCCTCTTATGCTCATCAGGAAACTCGGACTTATATCAAGAACATCAAAGAAGTCAAAGCAACCAGCTTAAGCAATTGCAGTTCGGAAGGCCCGTTTGGTCCGAATTTTTCGGGAATACTGCTGCGTAGTGGCTTGGTGAGAATATTTGCGGGACTGCAACCCGAGAAAGAACCTATTATCAGCTCATCGCCAAGCGCACGCACAGGACCCGCAAGGCAAGCACCGAACATCTTTATCACTTATCAAAAACGCAAGAAAGACAAACCAAAGTAGGAAGAGAACCTGCAAATGCACACGTCATGATGAAGAGCTGTCCTACCTGATCTTTTGATGATCTTGATCATGTGCTTGCAGTTCGCCGGTTGAGAAGTAGTAGCTCACTATAAGAAACATGGCCTCTCGTAGTGGATGTGGGACGCGATCCGTGCAAACATGCGCTGCTCTGCGCTACCCGTCTCGAGAAAGTTTGCTGTTCTCTACGTCTAACTACACTAAACAGTCGTGCTCTTATGTTGAAATATTCCACCAGCCATCGACTCTTCAATTTCTGCCCCGGTAGCTTCATTCTAAACGGCCCAGGGTTGTATACCAGTTTTCTTGCGAAGAACGAAATTAAGAGTAAGAATCTCCGAGGGAGTGCAGACCGAGGAATTAGAATGTTGTGGAAGTTGAGTTTGGCAATATACCGAAAAGCAAATCTATACGCTAACAGAATGAAGCCGCAGCATCCTACTCTTCATTACCGAGGTATAACGTACCAGAACGTTCAATCACGAGCACACACTGGACATTCCAAAGCCAATCCCGAGACTGAGCGTTTACCTCGCCACTTGACAACTCGCTTGGTCTTTTAGTATCTCAATGTACTGATCTATAATACTCGTGTGCATCCATAGACCATACTGCTGTAAGCAAGGAGAAAGAAAAAGGCCCAGGAGCGAAAGGTCTACCATGTTCCCAACAGAACAATGTGCGTCCACAAAAAGAGGCGACTGATTCTAGATCTATTTTCCTCGTGTCACATTCATCGTCGTAAAAAAAGCAGTAGCAGTCCGCTTGTGCTGAGACAAACACAAATCTGCACACAATGAATTGCGAGAAGTTTATCAATGTCATAACAATTCTATTTCAATCCTTCAGAAAACGGCGTATGGAAAAATCGTGGCACTTCGTGCTAAGTACTTACTTTCAATGACCAGCCGTTCGTAAGAGCTACTTTTTGATGGAGGAGTGCTTCAAAGTCATGAAGGGAGAAATACGACAGAAAACTAACCGGTCGCTTTTTCTTCAAGTGCTTTGAGCGATCTTCTAAATGTTTTGCTATTGGAGTGCCTCTAAATGTTTTTCTCGTGATTCATTCATTCATTCATTCGAACCACGTAGCAACTCACTCGAAGCTGCCTGGCAGGGAATCATATACCAAAAACAGTACGTAAATTGAATGGCTATGGCACGCCTACCATGCAACCTAAATTGAATCTGAATCCTGCTGAGCAGGTGTGCGCTTCTTCTGGCACATCCATTACTCACCTTACACGCCATCCTCGGTTTGCCACCTCACCCATTTCGTCGCCTACGAACTGTTCTTACATCAACTACAGTCCACCCACAATCTCCGTCTATCTCCAACATTCGCATGTCTGAAGCTTCCCTTTGGATGTATTAATAAGTAGTTAGATGCTCACTTTCGTGAGTTGAAACAGGGACAACGCCACTCATTCTTCATCGTCGTCGCAGTTGTAGGTTTTGCGGATTAGAACCAGCACTAGTGTTCACACGAAGAAAACTGCCGCTCCTACTGTAATTGGTGTCCGTCATTACATACTTTTAGACGTTTACACAGCGCGTTCTTCCCAGTTATAACAGAATCAATTTCGTCACTTTATGTCTTGTCACATATTCTTGCGCAAATTTCATCTCCCTATCAACAATCAACGCAACTATTCGAAAAACTGAAATAAGCCTTCACCCAGAACGCGCGCCGCCAATTTTCTGCAACTTTATTAAAACTGGTGGAAACTGATTTACAGCCTACGAAACTACTGCACGCCCCAGCTAACCACCGACCCAAAAAAGTCCAACAGTAAGGCTATAGCCATACAAATCAAAGCGGCGCTCTGCCTCACGCCTTTCCCTCTTGGTCGTTCTGCTTTTTTTTTTCTTGCCGTCGTTTCTTGCGCACAACGCAATGGCTTGGCCCCCCGCTAGCGTTTTTCCTTTTTTCCTTCGTTTTTTTTGCTTTTCCTTCCTTCACGTCGGCAAGCTTCTTCGCCTTTTTCTCTGCTTTTTTTTTCGCCTTTTTCGCACATTTCGCAGCTTCCCGCTCCTCTTTCTCTTCCTTCGTTTCCATCAAGCGCTTCTGCTTCCTTCTCCATTTTCGCACTTGATTAACACTCGCGCCCCCTGTTAGAAATTTCCGGGATGCATTCACTTCCCTGGCACGCCTTTAGCCAGTTTGCGTCTCTCCTCCTTAAGAAGTTGCAAAGGCTAAAGACGTGGACTACGAATGCACCCCCAGCGACCTTAACTCTGGGGGCATTTGCGTCGCCTCCTTCTTCTCTTTTGGTGCTGCGTTTTTCTTCTTCTTCTTTCGTCGTCTTCCTTTCGCCTCTTCCTTCTCCCAAGTCTCATCGCCTTCAGCTTCTAGCTTTCGCGCCTGCTCCTCTTCTACTGCCTCCCAATCCTCTCCCGCTGCCTCATAATCGTCGCCCACTTCCTCATCCTCCTCCGCTATCTCCCAGGCTTCTGATGCCGCGGCCTCCCAGTCCTCTCCCGCTTCCTCCCGATTCTCGTCCGCTTGGCCTTCAGAATCCATATTTTTGCTCTCTCTTTTTTAAATTGTCCACGGGACCGGTGTCACTACTGAGAACTGCTCTGCTATCTACTATTAAATTATCCACAAAGCTTGCACCTGTATGATGTCGCCATACAGTTTTTCCTCTGATTATTCAACGACTCACACCTTGGCAGACTACTTACTTTTTCCAGTTTGTTTTCTGATCCTTCGGAACTTCCGACGCCCGTTCTCCGCTCTCTATTTTCCACCTATAAGCGGGCCTCTTTGCTTCTATGCCGTTCATTACACTACACGGAGGCCGTTCGCTATTTCTAAAATTTATCTAGTTTGCCCTCGTTTGTTTCTTCTACATTTATGGGACAGCCTAAAAAACAAAAACGCTATTTAACTCAAAACAATCCCGGCCGGATTCCTTCCCCTGTTTCTGTCTTTTTCTAGTGAATATTACGCCACGCAAATGAATTGACGCAAGGCATGCGCCCCGCCTCTGTTATTATTACACTACCGCCCCCGCGCATCCTTTGCAAGTTTTTTATGCGTTTTTTTCCTAAGAGTTCAAAGGCCGAAGATTTGCGATAGTTCCGCGGCACACCTCCGCGACCATTTTCCCCAAGAATGGCCCCCACAGTGCCACACCCTGAAAAAAAATCGCAGAGAAGCGCACACGTCGCCATGCGCAAGACGGAGCGCTTTTCTCGCCATCTCGAGGCGGAGCGCTTTTAACGCCTTCACGGGGCGGCACGCTTTTTTCGCCATCTCGAGGCGAGGGGTTTTTTAACGTCTGCCCCTACAGACGGACCGGTTTTTTCGCTAGCGATCCTCTAGGGGAGTGGGCTTTTAGCCTTCTCAAGCCGCGCTGCTGCTGCTGTTGCAATTTTTTTTCTTTTCGTCCTCTTCCTATATTCTGACTTTTTCTTTTCTACGCTGCTGCTTTGATCGTTCTTTTCGGTTTTCTTTGCGTTGCGGCCTGCCATGGCCTGCGCATCTGTGTGCTTTAATTTTATTCATCAAAACAATTTTCTTTTTGGGGGGATCTCTTATTCTTCTGTTTTTATTTTTCATTTTTTCCACTCCGTCGAGGATTGATTTCAATTTTTTATTTTTTTCGCGCCTTGTTGCAAAGGCCTAGCGACAGGGCCGGCGACTTGTAAGAAAGAGTAAGTAAATAGATGTTGTTTTCGTCAATTCATGCGCTGTCTGATCATGTTGAAATCTTGGAGTTTCTCAAGTCCATCAGAGTTGCAAGCCACTACATTTAAAAATATCAACATCGATAATTCTTGTTTTTACATTTTCATTTGTTCGTTAGCAATAGCAACCAATTTGATCTTGTAGTTTTTGTTGTGCTTCTTTGCTAGAGGACCTCATGCGCCTCGTCCATCCCACATGCGTGCCATATCCACTTCAAGTTCAAACTGCAAGTAACTACTACTCCGAAGGTCTAACAAAGTAATTTTATCTTTACTACACGTCTTCACACCTCGACTTCTGCGTAGGTCAGCTGCAGCGCGGCAGTCCTTCGTTGACTGCTGGAGCCGACAGCTCCACCACTCTCTGCAGCTCCACCACTGAACAGGCACGCTCAAGTGCTTCCTCGGAGTTGACCTGTACACTTATCAAGCAACCTACCTAGGGTTCGACTCCTGGTACTAGCTGCTCTTCTACCACTTCCGGTCCAGTCGTGAGTTTACGGAGAGATGCGCGAGGACTTAGAGGTTGAAGATGACCATGGAAGAGGTAGCTCTTGCCCAAAAATCACATCTAGAAGAGAAGCTCATCTTGTTCGCAGCGTTTGCTTCTCCTGGTCCTGTGTAGAGGATTCCAGTCGAACCCTAAATCTCTTCACACAAGTCCTTACAAGGTGAATTTTTAGCATTATAGAGCATTTCGTATTAGAACTACAACAAGGTGAATTAGAGCGTTAGAGCATTTCGCCTTACATTCCCCGAAGTCTCGACTGCTTTATTGGAAAACAGGGCTCGGAACTCGTCACTTCTTCCTTTGTCCTGCACTGCCTGTTCTATAATGAAAGTGGTAGCCATCTATGTGCTATCCAAAAAAAAAATATGGAAAATTGAATCAAGTAGAATGTATGTCGTCACTTGCCACTGCTGCAAGGACCATCCGCAGCCCCTGGAAAATGCATGTAGCCTGCTGGAGGTGATTCGCCTTCTAATTCAAAAGAGCCTCTAATATAAAATGAGCTTTTTCAGGTACATGCTTTGTACCCAAATTCCATATTGACCTTCATTCTACTTGAGTCGAGATCAATCTGAATGTAAAAAGAGCTTCAAATCCACATCTAAAAACCCCAGATCTTGTAGAATAGACAGAGAAGGTGCGTATAGTATAAATATTCAACATAAGTTTCTCCGGAGGTGGCGAGGTTTTATAACTTGTCTTCCAGCCGACTGGCTTGTTGAAAGGATAGAACAGCGCAAACATGTGGAAACTGAAGGGCCACGCATCGGCCAACGGCCAATCTGCATGCGCATATACCACATCACGTGCTTCGTACGGATCCCCTTTGTAGAGAAAGTATAAAGTGTAAAGTTGTATCCCAGATGTAAAGTGATAAACTGATCACGTCCTTCTCCAGCAAGTTGTATCTGCGTGGCTCGTTACTATCTGCGTCCGGCGCCTGTGAAGCCTATGTTTTTATTTTTTAATTTTGGAGGATGAAGTTTACTAGCTTAAGTAAGCGCTTACTCTTAATACTAAACTTGCTAACTAGCCACACTTCTGCCACCATAGGTCTCACCAGTGGAAAAAAGGTGAGTGCTCGCACACCAATGGGTACGGCTAGTAACTGCGGCTATGGGGTGCTAGCTCACCCGCAGTTACATCCCAAAGATGTCGTGTGGACATTGAGCCTTAACTTCCCAAAACACCGTCGCGGTCGGAGGCGCACAAAAGTCATTTTTGGTTCAAGTATTCGAGCACAAGTATATCATATATACAAAAGAGTTAGTCATATACCAAACATGGTATCTGGGGAAGGTGTAGAATAACGGAGGAGCGCACGGAAACCGACCTGTGAATGAAATATGTAGTAAAGCCTAAATGTAAAACCAAGAAGAACCGATGACATAAACAGATCCCCTTTGTAGAGAAAGTAAAAAAACATGTCGTTCCAACTGGCACCACCGCGAAAAATCACCGACAGCTCTTAGAAGTAGAACAATGGAAGATGAGTCCTCCAATTTATTCTGACAGCAACTTTGTAGAAGCTCCTCTCCAATCATATGTACTATATCATGGACGCTGTAGCAGTAGCTTTTTCTCCAATAATATTCACGCGCCCAGAAGAACGCGGGCCCATTAAGGGCCCGCTGGGGCAGAAATATTCAAGTCATCAACTAGTATTTTTGAAACTATGTATATTGTATGTACCTCTCATCTACTACTTCTAGGTGGCTTCCCATTTTCCCCTTGAAACAAGTGAAAGTGTATGATTTCGAAGGACAGAATGAAAAGCTCACACATTAGCTTTTATGATGTCACTTCGTTCCTTTTTTGGATAATCACTAATGAAACTGTTTACTAAAGAAAAATGATTATGAATCGCTAGCGTATTTATGGAGAGATGGAAAGAGCTACATGATCCAGTGTTCCATAAAGGGTTTAGGACCGTCGTAGTTCTTAATCTTATCTAGATTTTCCTGCTTCAAAACTACTTAGATTGCTTGTCTGAATGATCATAGTGTGAAGATGAAGGTATGTAGATGTACATGTACAACTAGCTACAACCGTAAACAAAAAACATATACTTGAGCGAATCTTTACGGCACTATGCGACTTCTGAGTACTTTTTAACAGAAGTTGTCACGTTAGTTGACTCCTGAGTGGCTGGCCACGTCGTCCTCACCCCAGCCACCTTTAAATTATTGTGTCCTCTGTTCACTTATCACTCTGTGCCATTGCCCAGAAGATGATAACCAGGAGTTACTCATCATTTTTTTGGGCTGCGGCTCCTCTTCATTTCACATGGCATAAAATTGCTCCTCCTGCTGGGTGGCGACCTTCATTGAATATATCTATATCTATGTTCTTATGAATGATGTAGATGTGCTGGTGGTGCCTTAAAAATAGTAATCGTTTGGAATGCTTTCCAGTTCCTCATCTGTAAAACTTGCTTCCCCGCCAGATTTTTCAATCTGCTGCAGCTGTCGCGATAGAAGATTCTGTTCAATGGGCAAGGGGAGCCCCCAAGCGGCGAAGAGTTGCGCAGCGTATTCCCAGGAGTCCGGGTTACGCAGGTCCAATTTGAATCTTCCAAGCTTCCAGCCGGCATCTACTTTGCTCTCCTTAGAAGGGCGCTCCAATCATACTCATCTTTGCTATTTCACATTATGATGACAGGTCTAGATTGTAGGTCGTTTAGGATACTTTGCTATTTATTATTTCACATTATCTTATGTCAATTGTAGTTCTTGCACGGTTGCATGACAAGAAATAGAGGTATCGCACTTCAAATTTAATGTGCAACAGATATAATAATTTGAGTAAGAACATCACTAGCAATGAATGTACAGGTACAACATGGAAGATGTTGCTGCTGAAGAAAGCTGACTCAGTGGAGGAGGCTTAACAGTTGTCGTTCGAATGTGCTTGGTTTCATCTTTGCTTTTACTTGCCTCCTGTACGGCATCGATCGTCTCTTGCTCCGAACTCAGTAGTGTCTCGAGTCGGTTGTGCGTTTCGATGAAATCTTTGAAAGGGCTGCGGTTTGCTGGCCCGAAAATGCTGGACTTCGGTTGCTTCACGTTCGGGTCCGGCCATAGCATCTCCGTCTTTTCAGCCATGCGGTACCCTGGATGAGACTCTTGCCATGCGGTGCCCTGGACTCGCGTCTGCTTGAAACCCGACTCCATAGGATCGAACCCCTCTTGTATAACGAAGTCTTTCAGTTTCGATCTGACTTCTCCCAAATCTGTTCTTGACAACGAAATCTGAAGCCGAAAAGCGAATAAAAGTCATTCATTCATCAACATTCATTTTTCATTTACTCACTCACTCCTTCACTCATGTACCTAGCATGTTTTTTTTTTGTTACCTGGTTCTACAATTGATTCCCGCTTACCCTGCGAGAAGCCTGAAGCACGATGAGCATGAGGTAGTGTTTCGGGGAGAAGTCCTTTGCACCTGAAGATGATGATGCCCACCTCCAACACTCATTTGCATCGTTCTTGTTCTGTCAGTGCAGTCATATCCAATTTTTAGTTTTACTCAGCAGAGGGATGAAGAGCAGGAGGAGAAAAATACCTTCATTCAGAAGAAAGTATATTTTGATGAAATGAAGATCGTTGCACACGAATACCTATCACACGGTAGTTTTTGTGGTGAAGAACATCATCTGTAATTACCTGCTCCATCCTCTGTGTATCTGTGTCCTTGACACGGAACTGCATCTCGCCAGACGGAAGAAAGTGTGACGAAGTTTAGAGCTCACTCAAATTTCCCCCATGATCACTCTGGGAAGAACGCGCACGCCTTGGGACTGTAGTACGTTCTTCAAAAATGTAAGTGAACGGCTGGATACACCCGACCACGCCACGCCCGCAAGAGATGCGCGAGGAAGCTACAAAGACGTGGAGGAGACAGTAGCACACCCCACAAGCGCAGACGCGCCAGGGGCTGGGGTGCCCTACTGTTTGCGACTATGATCCCGAGGCCTCACTGGGTGACCCGCTAGAAAACTCCGAACACGACTAAGGCCGCCGAAGCTGTCTAATTTTCAAATCAACAAAGGAACCCAAGATCCTCAAAAGTCACTGGGTTGCTCGAAGCTTTGGAACCAGCGCAAGACCCAAGAAGCCCTCACTAGTTTGCCAGAAAGTTAGAACACCAGGGGCGCACGCAGTGGCCTCCGCTAATGTGAACCTTCTCACGCCAGAGGCATAACCGCAATATACAAACTGGAGACTTAACCCCCGGGGATCCTAAATCTACTGGTGAGTTATACTTTTTAGTGCTGTGGCAGCACGGTAGGCTGGCTCGGCAGACCCAGGTCTTTGCCGGCGCCGGTCGTTGCACCTACGGCCCATAAATTTGCCACGGAGCGTGGCGGGAGGCCTTTACCTCCCCAGAGAGAGTTGCACACCAACGTCCGGGTGTCGTAACCCCTCTCGCGGCTCGGCCGGTGTTCGTGCACCGTCGCCCTACGAGTCAATCAACCGGCACCCGCGAGGTTTCGGGTGCTCGCTCTTCGCGTCGGACGCTTTGGTCCGGGGCGCTTTGGCCCGGGTGCGCGGCTAATCCCTCGGCAGTAGCAGGCGTTGTCCCCCCGCTGGGGGACAAGGTCACTTTGAACCTCCAGCCCTTTGGGCCATCCTTTCTCGACGCCTCCTTGGTGCGCCTTCCATCCTTTTCCCGACGACTGGAGGTTCAGAACCGCCAGGTGCGTACGTTTTTTGTACCCGGTACTGCTTTGAGTGCCCCTGAGCCGCTGCTACTGGCGCTCTTTGGCGCTAGGGCCGTCACCTTTTTGGTAACGGTATTCTGTTGAATCCGCCCTTTCTTCTGTAGCTTCTGCTTGGGGGTGATCTTGATCGTCCGCTTGACCAAGGTGTCCTCTTGGACCGCCTTGGGCTGCACGAAGACGCGCGGGGGTGGACCCCCCCCCGAGGGCCACCGCCTGCGCAATCCGTGCAGCGGGATGAATTCCGAAGCCTCCCACGTTTTGTGGTCGGCTGTGTACTCGTCCCACATTTTGCTGGACTGTTCCCAGCCCATGTGGGTGAGGAATTCATCCTCCTTCACGGAGATTTTCCCTTGCTCCCACTCGCGTCGCGTTGCCAATGCGAGTCCTCTCCTGCAGCTGTGCAGCGTGCCGCTAATTCCCTTCGCCAAGCTACTTATCCTGGCCTTGCCTAATGGGAAATCAGATCTCATAACAGCGCCTTCGCCGTGCATCGGGCAAAAGCGACTTCGTGCACCAGCTGTTTTTGCGTTGGTGTCGCAATTGCAGTGGATTTCTATTATCCTACCGCGTTGTTTGCGGATTTTGTCTTCGGATATGTGGATGCGCCACACGTCTCCTTTTTTGGAGATGTCCGTGTCGTCCACCGCCGCGATGCTGTCGCCCCGCAATCCCGATAGCGCCCAAAGGAGGACCATTTTTTGGTCTTTTGCCTTTAGCGCCTCGAGCTTCGTACCCGGTAGGAAAGGCTTTGCTTTCCTCGGGTTGTGGTCTTGGATTGTTCGTTCAATTGCCTTTTCCACGTCCCCGATGTTTCGGAGAATGGCGGGGCTTTCGACTAGCCGCTGCGGGCCATCCGCGGGTGGCGGTTCTACCAGCCACATGATGATGCTGGATGTGTACTGCGCGACTGAGGTGTATTCATTGAACACTAGGAAGGCGGCGAATCTTTGCACCGCCTCCGGCCTCACGGGTAGCTTTTCACCCTTGGCCGCTAGCCAGTCGAGGAAGAAGGCGACTCGCGACTTTTTGTTTCTAGTCGTGGAGTCGGCTTCTCCCATGGCGCGCAGCTCGTCGTCGTTTAGATCGACAGCTTTGCGCAGTGCGTCCGCCCGCTTCGACATTTATTTAATGTTACTTTTTTATTTATCTCTCGCTGTTGTTCCCTCTAACGTTCTTTTTAGTTTTTATTTAGTTAGTTTGTTCTCTCGTCCTTACTTACTTTTTTGTCTAGGCTGGTTCGTGCGGCTGCTTAGGCGAACCTCCACCATGGATCTTGGCCTCCTGCCGTATCTCATGAAGTGGTCTCCCCAGCCTAGCTTCTTTACTTACTCGTAACTCCTTCCCACTCTGTTTTCCCTCTTTTTAGCTTGACGAGATGTAACACGTCACTCCCTCGAACACTGCGCCGCCGCCGCCGCGTTTTCCCTTTCGGCCACCAGTCGTCACTGGTGGTTTGATTTGTTTCCTCCCTCTCAACTAGAGTGTTTTTTACTCTGTCAAAAAGGACGAATTTATTGTTCCGCCACTAACTTAATAATGGTCCGGTGCCCCTGGTAATTTGACCAGAGGGCTTATGGCGAATGCTTTTGCATTCTGTTTTTCGAGGATTTGTTGTCCTCGAGGCCGGTAGCCTTTTTCTTCCAGCTAGTCGCGTTCTAGCTTGTGCGTGGCTCCTTCCACCACACCGCGAGGGAGCGTTTGCTCCCAACGTGCTCCTTCACGTCTCTCCCCAAGAGGATTTTTCCCTCCATCACTCTCGATTTATCGGCGTCGATCGCGTGAGCGGCTGTTTTTGCGCTCGTTCGATCGCTTCGATTTGTTGCGGCCACGATTGTCTTTTTCGCGACTGTCGTTGCGATGCCGTTGTCCCAGCGGAACCGCGTTTGCGTCGCTTCGCTGGGGTCCTTTCGGTTGGCGGCGTGTTCGGCCGTTTTTGGCCTTCATCGCCTTCATCGGCTGGACTTTCGGTTTTACGAAGTCTTTCGGGTGGCGGATTGCTTCCTTGTCCTTCGCTGCCGCTCGTTTTGCCGCTGTGCCGGTTGGCTGCTGGTTGATGTTTCGCCCTGCCAACCGGGCCGAGAAGAGGACTTCGGCCAGCTCTTTTTGCGAGCGGATCACTTCTGCCCACGTTCTCTTGGCGATAGTGATGTCTGGGGGAGGACGGTTGCGGTCGATGAGGTGGTGGTGTGTGCATTCCAGGTGTTGAGCGTCGTTGCGACAGCCTGACTGCACCGCATGCGCTTTGTGCGCGTGGAACCAGTGGCATACCGCCGGCGGAAGCATGAGTCCCATATTTTTCAGGGACTTCAATGCGGACGGCTCCACTAAGCCGGTTTGAGGGAAGTACACGTAGTATGTGGTGCGTGTTCCTCCCTTCGCGTTTCGGCGCTCGGCTAGCACCACGTCGACACGTTTGTCGAGGCGGCGGTTGTGGACTGGGTCCATGGCCGGGTTGAAATCTGTTTTTTCCAGATCCAAACTCTCCAACCAAGTGTCGCTCGGCATGGTTGTGCCCGTGTCGTCGTCCCCGCCGCTGTCGGCGTCGCTGCCGAACGGGTTTTGCGGGCCTTCGCTCGCCGATCGCTCTCGCGATTCGCTGCGGCGGCGGCTGTGGCTACGAGAGCGCAGTGTGACTGTCACACGTTCGCTTCTCGGCTTGCCTAAGCTCGCCTCGGCGTCTCGCATGGAGAACATTTCATTTTTGATTTCCTCCATGTTCTCCTTGAAGAACGCTTTTTGGACGGGCGGTTTGATTTTTCCCCCGTCTTCCTCGTCCGTGTAGCGCGCCTCGTCGATGAGGTGGAGACCGAAGTGGTTGTACCAGGCCAGCAGGTTGAACATGTATCTGTTCACCAGCCCGGTCTCCCAGCGCTTCATCTTCTGCTGGAGCGCGTCGAGGCTGCGGGAGCCTTCCTTCATGAATCCCAAGAACACCATCATTTTTTTGATGGCGATTTCTGGGAAGTTCTCGTTGAACTCGGTCATGAAGTCGAAGGGCTGCAGGTCGGTGGCGCCGTTGATGGCGCTTTCCACGCGGCGCAGCGTCTCCCAGCACTGGTCCAGGTTGCATCTGTCCCAGTAGTCAGCCGGGACGCTGGCGACGACCTGTTTCCGGACCAGGTTCTGGAACGCGCTGTTTGTGCGCTGCAGGTTGTCTCCGTTAAAGCCTGCGATGGCGCAGTTTGAGACCTTGGGTTGGTTTTTTCCCACCTGGGCTTCGCCCCAGATGCCTGCGGCCGCGTATGCTCCGAAGAGCAGCGCCAGCGCCTTTTGGTTGAGGCGTTGGCCTGCCGTCGTGTTCAGGACGCTGTTTTCGTCCACGTCGAAAACGGAGCGGAGGCCGTGCTTTTCCACGTGTTTTAATAACGCGGTGAGCACGTGGTTCGCCTGCTTAGAGGCTTTTTCTCCGTTCGTGAAGAAGCAGTTTTTATACTGCTCCTGTGCGTCTGCGACTTCCTCGCCCGGAGTTAAGACGGAAGGCCAGACGACTTTCACCTCTGTTTTCTTCTCGACGCCGTTTACGCGTCGGTAGACGAAGAATTTTTCTCCTTCGCTAGCCGGGCGCGTGTCGTCATAGGAGAGGATTTTGTCCTCTCCGCTGCTGTTCAAAGCCGTTGCGATGGCCTTTGCGGTCTTCTTCGCGAACGTTTTGAACAGAGCTGCCGTCTCCGGCGGCTCCTCGGAGGACTCTTCGCTTTTGTCGGCGAAGTCCACGGAGTCCTCCTCCTCTTTCTTTTTGGCTTCGAGCTCCGCCTTGCGCTGCTTCTCCTCTTCTTCGAGGAGCTTTCGGTCCTCCTCCTCGTGCGCCTTGCGGACCGACGTCCACGGCGTCTTGGCCGGCTTCGCGTCCCAGTCGTTGAGCACCTCTTTGTTGGTGCGCTCGATCAGGTAGCGGACTATCACCTCCTTTTTGGCGGTCTGCGCCGGGACTTCCGCCAGGTTCAGCTGCGGGTTTTCCTCCCGAAACTTTCGTTTTTCGGCGAGCTTCGCGCCGGCTTCAAAAGTCTCTTTTTTAATCAGAGACTTCGAGGCCCAGGGTTCGGCCGTTAGTTCCTCGTGGTATGCGCCCAACCACAAGTGGAACCACATCAAGGTGGTGCCCTGTTCGGTTAGGGTTCCACCTTCCCCCACGAAGCGCGGGTCCTCCAGGTCTTTTTTGACCGTGTCGATGAATTCCGTTTCCGGAAGTTCACCGACCATCTGTCGGAGTGCTGCAATCCAGTCCTGGATGTTTGCGCAGAAGATGAGTTTATCCTCATACTGCGTCTTCTCCTCCAGCTGCTTTTGCAGCGCCTCCATGGCCTCCGCCATGGAGGGGTGAAACAGTGATCCGTCGATCAGTTTCAGAAGGGCTTTGCCCTTCTCGTCGACGTCCTCGCTCCCCACAGGATTTTTGCCTGTGTGGATGACGAGGTCTCCGACGCTTTTCAGGGAGGTCATTTTGTTTTTTGTTTTGCTGAAAACCAGAGTGCGGGGGCACTACTAGTCACTAGTTTCTAGATTGCGATTATACGCGCACAGAAAGTCCCTGGATTTTTGGGAAAAAGAAAAGTTTTTAGACCTGCCCAAGCTAGCTTTCAGCTTGAGGTTACGAAAATGTGCTGCCACAAGCGCCAAACCCTCGCGGCGATTTTTGCCCCGCGAGGGGATGGCGCGCCGCGCGCGCGGCGGAACTCGATTTTTACGAGCTCCCCAGCACCCCCCACTGGGCGCCACGCGCCTGCCCACCGCACCGCCGGAGGGCGCGTTGGCCCTCCCGCGGCCTACGCACGAGCGCTTTGGCCCGTGCGCCGGCAGCCCGCTCCGCTCCGCTCCGCTCTGCTCCGCTCTGCATGTGAACTCCGCCCCGTGGGTGTAGCATTAACGCTCTCACCCGACCGCACCCGAGCCTCCGTGGAGGCGCGAACCGTGGTTCGCCTTCGCCGAGATGCGCCATTGCATCGACCGGCGGCGTCGCGCGTGAGTGCATTTTTCGCACCGCACACGACGGGGTTCGCGGGGCCCGTTGCCCCCAACCCTCTCCCTAGTTGGTCCCTCAGCCGACATTTTTTGTCGACTGTCGTCCAGGAACCTTCCAGAGAGCGTATCTTTTCTCTCACCTAAGTTAACTCACCAGTTAGTATAATCACTTCCCCCGCAAGCTCCTCCAGTGCATAAATACTATACTGCGTGAAATAATCTATCACGGGGGCGAACCAGAGTGGCTGACTCTCATTTGCCTACGGCTTTAAGACCAATCATGCTAGCAACTGGAGATGGTAGATTTAGAGAATATGCCTTAAGTGAGCAACACCGCGGAAGCGATTAGGTTCGGATGAAGCTCTGGAATCTCCGTCTTTTTCCTGAATGCTGCCTCTTCCTCCTTTTGTTTTTCCCCCAACTCCTTTTCCCACCTGAATCAATTGTGTCATAATCATACAGCACGCTTTCTCAACTTACGTCGTGGGGCAAAAACAAGTTAGACGAGGTAGGCACTTCACCAAGAGAACTACTAACAAGCTTCTAAGTACAATATTGTTACTTAGACCTGTACCTAGATTTCAGACTACACACAGGCATCCAGAGGAGCCTTTGAAGCGCTACTAGGGAAAACGCAAGAAATTCTTGTTACAAAAATAAATTAATAAATTACTTAGGTTGTATCAACAACGATAGATACACTATGGTGTAAGAATAGAAGCTGCAAAGGGCAGCGCATAACCCACTTCTCCATGGTTATCATGAATGTGACTTTCGTTTTAGAAGGACGGGAACACGGGGACGACCGTCTCTGATGAATAAGAGGGGCAAGAAAATTCTACAACTTAGTACTATAGGATTTGCATAGTCATAACATTTCATCCAGTGAGAGTGAGAGTGTGTCGTGGTGGGGGTGTGATCTTGTAAGAAAAAAATGCTTCCTTAATCTTTTTCCTCTTTACTCAAGTTCTTGGAGCATTCATAATTGATCTTAGTTCTGGTGTAGCATATAATTACCTTTCTATATCCTCTGCCGCCTGTCTCTCGTCTTCCGAGTCACTCGGTGGCAATGATTCCAATGAGAGGGACGAGTCACTGCCACCATCATCCTCACTGGCAGCTGGATGCTGTCCGGTCGTGGAACGTTGCCATAGTTGCATTCCACCACCCAAGTGTGGGAGGTACGTCGATGACAGCTGCCGAAGAACGCAACCTCGTCTTAAAGAAGCGAAGAGCACCATCTTCTTGTGATTAATCTAAGAGTTAGACGCCTTTGTTAGTTGGAGTTGGACGGCAGGAGGATTATCTATATTTCATTTAGTATTAGTAGTCTACTTTACTACTTAAATAAAGTTTATTTCACAATCACGAACTAAGACTGATGATTGCCTGGCCACGGATATTAGATGAGCAAATATCTACGACTTCCGTATCTACTTCCAACGGTCTGCGACGATGGATCTTGCTTCAACAGAACACCTCAATCGAATCAATGACTCGAAGCACTGGCTTTATGTTAATACAATACAACGCAATACAATTAATCTCGCACAAAGTTCAGTGCAGACTGCCTTAAGGGATAAAAGATTCAAAAAACCTCTGTTGAGGACTTTCTCTTGCTGTCTACCTTCTTAGGGCTTAAAGTTAAGCTGAGGAAGAGCTCCTGGTCCTGACGAACTCAAGAAGACAAAGGCATACTTGCAATCGTGCTTGGAGATGGTCGTGTTGCTCTTACATCTCTCACAGCTACGACAACGCTCGCAGCTAACTAGAATGTGTAAAATATTAAATAGTAAATGCAAATCTTCTGTTGAAGACAGCAACCGCTTCTACTAGTACCAAAAACATATTATCTACCTCTTGCTCCTGTTGCTCATGACAGAATGCTCTTGCTCATGACAGACCATGAAGATTATATTTACTCATCATGAAGATCATGTTGATCTCTCTCGTCATGCTCTTCGCTTTCTCGCTACAGGAAAGACCAGAGAAGGCGTCACCTCCTCTTGACACAGAAGTTGTGTTCTTGACAAGAGATGCCCTTCATCAACATGATCTCTTCTTCGCAAGGAACAAGTGTTGGATTTGAAAGAGATACACTTTATCAACACGATCTCTTCTTTTTGAACGAGGTGGAACAGGACGAGCAGACCTGTCTCAGACGTCGAGGTAGAACAATACAATACAATATAAGGGAATAAGTTGTTCGTCGTAGTCCCTGATCTTTTGTCCAGGAGGTAGATGAGCAAGGCGTTGAGGGCTAAGTAGATAACAATACAACCATATTAATCGCGCACAGGAGTTTTCAGTGCAGACTGCCGCGCGGCGTCATAGTGTTTCGTCACGATGCTTAGGGTTCTTCTTGGATTCGAACAGGATCAGGGCGTCGCATACATGCTCTGAAATATCACCAGGTCTTCAATATCAAAAGCGTCCAATCTTCGACACAACCAGCTGCAACAAACTGCCTCCTGCTCGTCAGCCCATAACGACCACAACCGGCACGTGATACACTAGTATGGACGCTGTTATTGAAGATCTCATGATCTTCCCACAAGCGTCGCCCGGGCCGTTATTGTTCCCTTCACCCCACAACCGGTCTGTCATGGTAGCTCGAATTCGTCTCATCCCACCGCCGGTACGTCAAGCAACGTCCCACCTCGCGTCCTCCCATTCACCCCACAACTGGTACGTCATGGTAGCTGTTGAATACCATCGTGCCTTTTAAGTGATTAGGGTAAGTTTTCCCGATGAAGTCGATAAAAGGTTTCACCGTCGGATGCGCTAGTATTAGAAGCCACCCGAATCCATCTTGGGATTCATCCCGAACCTGTTTTTCCCTTACGGGACAGCTTTGAGATTGATGCTTCTTGAGATGGATTAGGGCTGAGAGCCTTAATAGTAGTTGGAGTTTCCCCATCTTCGGGTTGCTGCTGATCTTATCCTTGTCCTGCCCTAGCCAGACTTTCTGCACCAGGTTGTTTGAGCAAACGTAGAGCGCAAGACTTAGAAGAAGAGGTGCTCAACCAAAACGACCAAATAATGATGTCTTGTTTGATGGGATAAACACAGGACATGAGGGAAAAACAAACTGGTTATCCTTTGAGTTAAAACGAGGACCAAATGATGTCTTATAATTATCGGTTATTTGAGTGATCTATTTGAACGGAAATAGTAAGAACTCTCTTCACTTGTAAGAAGTTTTAGATTTAGTACTTTGTTTGACCTGTTTGAGGGCTCGAATACGAGTTCACTTTTAGGTAGATAACAATACCAGCATGGTAGGGGTAGGGCTCGGGTTCATCTAAGTAACAATGTTGGTACTTACAGGGCTCGAGTCTTCATTAGGGAAACTACTAACAACATCCGCCTTAAAATCAAATGCTGATTTCGCGGCTTCGTTAGTCCCTCTCTTCCGTCTGGATGCGTCCCCGCTTTTGCGCTGACCAGATTCCGATGTTCCTCAAAGTCGAGACACAACGTAATTGCACTTCGTGCTGGGGGTTTCACTTCGTAGGGAAATTAGAAGAACAGATGAATAATTGTTGTACTATCTTCATTTTGACGAGAATACAGGATACAAACGAGGGTGGCTTGACTTCATGGGAAACCTCCTGTCCTATTCCCTAGAGAACAATAGAACAGGAACATTACAAAGGCCGCTACTTAGTTGCAAGGCACAAGAGATTACTAAAGCCTGTCAAACTACTAAGTAAGAGGTGTAAAGAATGTATAAGTATGAGGTGCCACGCGGAGTTAAGCAACGAGGACGAGAATGAATATGAAGGCGGAGGCCGGCGCGAGCGAATGGGATAAGAAGTGTGCTCGACAGCTGGCGCTGGCTGGCGACATTTTCAGAAGGCGCCCAGAATCTCCAGAGTTGGCGCTATATTTTGCGGCTAAATTTTTTCCAAAGAGAGGCAGCCGATTCAATCATCCTGGCCTGGGGGCAAAATATTATACAGAGGCAAAAGAAAACATCACACAAAACACAGCGGAAAGTGCTACTTTGTGGCCAAGAATGACGCCAAAAGGCGGCAACTTCTACAGGGTGGAGCGGCGTGCCGCTTTCATTCTTTGCCGGCTTGGTCAGTCGGTCAGGGGCGTGCAAAGCTGCGCCGTCGCTGCCAAGTTTGTCTATTTGCGCTGTTTCATACGTAAGGGCCACGCAATCAAACCAGTTCGAACCGAGAGCGGGCGCGGACTACCCTGATCAGGGGGGTGCCTACTCATTTCCTCACGCGTTTATAATGAAAGTAAGACCTGAGTCTGAAAACCAAAAGCCAGCAGCTTGGCCGTCCTCTTGCTTCTCCATCCCAACAGATACGCCCCCAGGGCAGTCGCATCGGTGGCCGCTACTACTACCGAACGCCGCGCCTGGGTTCCCAAACCGCCGCCATATCTCCGCGAGACTCTTCAAGAGAAAGCGCGCGAGGAAGCTTGAGAGTGGACGACAAAACGGACCGCGTGCCCTGTCAGCTTGGCCATCTCCACGCATTTGCCGGACCCCGCCGGACCCTCATGGCCGACAAGCATTAACATACGGGCCGACACCCGCCAAAACTAGCGCGCTGGTGCTGAGGGTGGACGCAATGCCCACAAAAGCCCTGGGCGCTGGCGTTAGTATTCCCGCGCTGGCTCCTGCTCCGCATGATATTGCCCGCCAGCCCTGACTGAGGTGCCTAGGGTCGTAGAGTTCAGCGAGATACGAGGCCCACAAGAATAGAAAGGAGCGCCGTGCCCCCTCTGTTAGCAATGTCATCGCTGAGCGGTGGCCTCCAACTACCTGCACACAAGAAGCGCCCAAGTGCAGACCAAGCTCCCCCCAACCAGCCGAAGGCCCAGTAGCGGCGACGCCGTTGCCACTCCGGCGCTTCGGAGCAATTTGATCAATATCGTGCCGCCTCTGCACCCGCGCGAAACCTCTCCGGCGACATATTCCGCATCTCTGTCGAAGACAACACGACCGCAGCGCCCTTTAGTTGAGGCAGCGGGTAAGCCCATGCGTCAGCTTCCTCCCGCGCGATCTATCTCAAGCGCCCCCAGCTAGTTGCTTGCCAGTAAGACTCCCCCGCAGTAAGAACGCCCGCGGACTCCAGCCCACTCCTCTTGGGGCACTTCCTTCGGAGATCTCAGGCTATATATACACACCACCCGCAACACTACGCGACAGCCGGCGCGTGGCGCGTCGTTCTGCATCCGGTCCCGCGTCATTTGGTCCGCCCCGTCAAGATGCCGACGCGGGTCAGGCTTGCACCTGCGCGGTTTCAGCGCCGCCAGTTCATTTCTGCACACTCTGCCGGGCTTTGTCAGTTATTTACCTACTCCGCCACGCCTCTAATCCAAATTATTACCAAGCTCGCAACTGCTCGGCCTGCGCGGCAGAACCTATCTGCTACGGCTTCAGAAAATGCCCACGAAGCTAATCAGTGCGCAAAAATGCCCCAACAATTGCAAGGCGCCGAACGCTGTACCCCTCGAGAAGAAAAGAGAGAAGGCGCAAGGACGACCGTGGAAAGACCTGACAGCGGTGCCAGCTCCTCGCCTTCGGCAACTGCAAGCGCGCCGCACACGGCAGACCGGTCGCGGGCGTACGAAGATAGGCCAGCGGCACGCAGCCAGTGGCTGAATCGCCCCCACCATCTAGGAGCACCCCTCTGCGACCGGTGCGCCCAGCTATGTAGAGAATGGCACGCGCTGAAGAAAATGCCCGAACTGCAGCAAGGTCAGCAGAGGCGACCCCAAACCAACTTCGGAGCGCTGGAACTCCCCCGATCGGGGGAGGGCAGTCCCCTGGCCCAGACCTGTCGGCGCTTCTGGTGCGGAGGGTTCCCCTCCAGGCACCAAGAAGCCCTGGGGCCTTGCGAATTTGCCCAGGTGGCGCCCCCCTGTGTTTTTGCACCATCCAGCCCAGCAAGCTCCTGCCGTCCAGCTGTATGGCCAGGAGTTTTGGGCCACATGGTGGACCGCGTGGGCGCGGCGTCGTCAGCTCGGCAGGCTTCCCAGGGTTCTCATCTCCCCGAACTGTCTGGCGCAACGCGGGGGCCAGCCTGGGGGCCACCTCCCTGCCAGTCGAGTCCCCTCCAGGATTCGATCTCGAGAAGAAAAACCGAGAAAGGGAAAAAAGGAAAGAAGCCCCTCACCCCTAAGCCTAAGGCTCCCCTCTCCCGATCACCTCTGCCCTTCGCCTTGAGTTGTAGATGTAAATCATAGATGCATCAAACATTTTATGATCGAAGACCGAAATCGCTCAAACGTATGATCGAAGACCGAAATTGCTGAAACATTTTATGATCTTGTAAATATAGCCTTAATAGAATCGTTTATGCGTCTTCATCAGTAATTCGGTTCCACTCTCGGTAAAGACGCATTGGTAGCGCTTACTAATGGCACTAAAGTTGCCCAGAATCTCCTGCCCCTGCAGAGTCTTTATGGAGACATCCTTGTCCAGCAATTGCAAATACTCGCTCATCTTTCGTGCGACCTCTGGACCTGAAGAAGATTATATGTAGTTGGTGGAGCTGTTAGTCTAATTTAGGTAGAAGAAGAAAATAATCTTGTCAAAGTCGACCTTAGAAACTCACGTTTATGACTCGAACAAACATTTTATGATCGAAGACCGAAATTGCTCAAACGTAGTGAAACAACAGTGCTGTGAAATGTGAATAATGTGAAAAGGCCTGCACAAAAAGTACAACACGAAGTACCTTTCTTCTCAACCGGCACGTTTGCTTGAACAGGCCGATTGTAAATTTCGGTCAGCCGATTAATGATCTGTACTGCATTTGCCTGAAAATCTTCGCCCTCACCTCCGGTACCGGGAGCAACTCCGTCATCGCCAGCTGAATTAGAAGATATTACTTTATTTACTATAGGGTTTTACTATATTAGGGTCGAACTATTGTAATTGTTGGACTTGACTACTCTACCAATATGCATGATTATCTCGTCCAGGACTGAGCAGCATCGTCCAATACGTCTAGGACTGGGATCTTGGCTAGGAAAATCAATACGTTAAGACTTGACTTTCATAACTCCTCCAGCAGCATCTCCCTCTCCATTAGAAGCTCCACCTACGACGTCATCTTTATCCGCCCTCTGGTCTCCTCCTCGCCTCTCACGACGCGCTGGAGGACTATTTTTTCTCTGGTCTCGACTGTCCTCCCGACCTCGACCGCCACGGCCTCTTCGTCTAGAATCATTGCCATTTCCTCTACGTCCTCCTCTTGCTCTACTCCTAGAGGACTCGTTCCTTCTAGAAGATGTTGTATCCCTGTAGTTCGCCCTGTTCTGATCTTCTGATTTGTGTTCTGCTTTCGTTCTACCATTTGCACGTGGTTCTCCTCGACCCCTAGATCCTTCCTCTTCCTGCTCTTCTCCGGAAGATGAGTCCTCATTGCGCACTCTACGCTTTTTCTTTGGCTTCTCCTCCTCATCTTCGACTGGTAATCCGCGCCTAGCCTTAGCCAAATTCCTCTGTAAAGTCGTTCTCTCGTTGCGGAGCTGTGGTTTTGACGAGTTTGTTGTGCGAAAAGGATGAACGAGAAGACCTCCGTAGATCTTTTTATCAGTATGAGCTTGATAAGGCATGATAAAGATAAAATCATCTGGTGAACAAGCATAAGAATAAGCAAGGTGAGATTTTCTAGTACTACAGAGATACCTAGTATACCTTAATAAGCCCCAAAGCATCCACTTCATTCAACCAATGCCAATCTATCTACATCAGAAGTACATTTCATAAATTATAAGTACCTTAGCCAACGCATGGACCATCGCTTCCCATTTTGGTTTTGGCACTAGGATATGCTCATGCTGCACTAGTATTGTTTTCGTGGATGGTAGGACCTGAACCTCCCCAGGTAAATCGTCATGCTCGGAATCAGACATCTTCTTGTTGATATTGGACTTTTATTCGTCAAAAGAGTAAGTAAGAGTGCCTAGATGAAGAGCGAAGATAACGCATGAGTAAAGAGTAGGAGAGCTTACCCTCTCCTACTGGGCTGGCGAAGTATATTTACCAGATCTACACAAAAAAATTTTTAAGAGGACTTGTTGTTGTTAGTGATGTTGCTTCGAATCCATGTCCAAGTCGTCCGTGTGATACTATCTAAGAAAATAGGATCAGCTGCCTGTAAGTAGAGTATGAGTAAGCAGACCTCCACAAGCGATTATTAAAATTAATGTGATGATGTGTAAGGTAGTAGAAGGAACGAAAGAGTAATAATCAACGTGGATCAAGTGAAGTAATTTTTAGACAGAACCGACGAAAACTTGCTATAGAGTACTTTTTCTTGAAATTGTTGATCTACAGTGATTCCCGATGTTTATGGTGATGATCATCAACACGGTTTTCACCCTCATCTACGAACTGTAATACTAACTCTTGAACGGTTCAACCGGGAGAAATACTTCTAACTCTTGAAGAACCGGGAGAGAGCATACACATCTTTCCTCTTCAGAAAGACAAACATCTTCAGAGAGACAAACATCTTCAGAAAGACAAACATCTTCAGAGAGACAAACATCATTTGCTGAAGCTGAACCTCTTCAGAAACACAAACATCTTCCAAGAGGATCCATACGCAGCACCACTGCTTCCCATGACGTGTGAAGAAGAACACTCATTATTTGTTGAAGTACTCGAAGACGTCAAGGCAGTATGGTCGTCATTGAAATTCGAATTCCTCGTCTCCTTCACCTGAGTACTACTTATATATCCTCCTCAGCAGTACCATACAGATGCTGGAACTACTATTTGTATTTTCTCTTTCAATTGCATCAAGGTACAACTTCTAGGAGAATTTGTTAGATCAGATGCGTTCGGATCCACAGATACTTTCCATCCTTGCATCGTAGGGCGAATATGGCTGCCTGTGTCTGGGCGTCACCTGAAGAGATGTTGAATCGTGTCCACGAGTAGGAGTAAAAAAGGTACTACTTATATTTAAGAAAGTAGATCAACGTTTTTCCATTTTGCATGCATGTTCAAGTTCATCCCGTACGATCGAAAAAATCATCGAAATATATATTTCGTCCTGATTCTGATGCATGAATCTGAATCTCCACTTCAAAAGACAAAACAATAGAAGGCTTAGTATTAGAGTACGTTTATTCTCCGCAGCGTAATCAGCGCATTTTTGCCTGAGACTTTGTAAAAACGGACGCAGGGTAGGCGTCGCATCGCCTATCTTCTTCAGCCTTGAACTATCGGATAAAAAATCCTCCCTCGTCAAGCGAAGATCAAACACTTCTTCTGGTAAGGGTTGGACGACGTCGGGTGAGGATGTTGCTGAGGATGCTGATGGAGAAGACGATGCTGATGGAAGAGATGACGTCGTGCTGGTCGTCTTCGTGCTGGTCGTCTTGGAAGATGAAGTACAACTACCAGGTCCTCCTTGTCTTGGAAGATGAAGTACAACTCCATTCCCTGCTCCAGCATTACTGGTATTCGCCGTTATCATCGCTTGCCTGAGTGTTTCTTCTCGCAGTGAGTATAGCTGTCTCCGTGTTTCGGAAAGTCGGAGACGTTTCAGTTCGTCAGATTTCTTCTCGTTTTTCCTCACGTTCCTTTTCTCCCTGCGCTCTGATCGGCTCTTCTTCGATTCGCTGTTCTGGTGTTTCCGTAGCGAGAAAGGCTGTGCTTGACGTTCTTGTTGAGGTTGTTGACTGCTCGTCCGTTGACTCCTTTGACGAGGACTATGTTGACGACCCCTCTGCTGATCCCTCTGAGGATGCATGTTGTTGTAACGACCATCCTTGTGACGACCACCTCCACGACGTCCCATTTTTTTTTTGGCCTCTTGTGCAACTGTATACGTAGCAATAATATAGTGTAGTTTTTGTAATATTAATTCTCTTGTTGTGCTAATATGTGTAGTTTTTGTAATATTAATTCTCTTGTGCCAGTATATCAAAAATATCTATGCGAATGTTGTGGTTGTAGTTATAAGTTTTTGTTTTCGGGACTCCCGATCGGGAGTGATGCAACTAAGTACGTAGCAATAATAATTTGAGTGTGCTAGTAGAAGTTTCTTCTTCTTGCTTATAATCGTCCCTACCTAACATGAGTGCGACCACTAAGAACAGTAGGTTTAGATCGTATTTCACGATCCTGGGTGGAAGTCGCTGACTCTGATCGGATGAACGTTGTTCGAAAAGTAGATCGAGATTTTTCTACAGATGATGATCCTTCTCAAGAAGATATCTTCACGAGGTAGACGTAACCAAATGAAATGTTGTATCAGCACATCTTCCAACCAGTAGCCTCAACAGGCATCAACAACACCACACTTGTATGCAGGACGTAATGTTTCACACGTCGTGGCAACTTCTGATAGGTTTTTTTCAAAATGATGACAGCGGGATCGGGATGGGATTGAAGGTTTCAAGTCGCACGCAAAGCTTTTTGGGGTAGTCGGGGATTGTATCACAACATATTCTTCATTAACATCTTCTGGGTGAGGACCGCGGCCACGACCACAAATTTTTAGGATAGTGCATCAGGAAGAGAGTCCTCTCCTTGTTGATGAATCTGCACCTTGCTCTTCAACAACAAATCTGTGATTCCATGTTCATCTTAGTCGTGGCAGCACTGGTGGTAGATATCAGAGTAATAACTTTTTGCTCTACTTGAGGTAACTTAGTAGACTTTAGCGAATCATGTCAAGCAAGGGTAAAATCACAAGACGACACAACTCTCCATGTCCTCATCTTTCCGACGCTCGAGCATCGCAAGCATCTTTTGCATCCTCTCCTTCGCCTTCATTTCGTCATTGTTTAGAGGACAATTATCTTTTTCATCTCATATCTTGTTGATCAAGATCATAATTATGAATCATTCTTTTCCACCTCAAAAACGTCCACCTGAATGGGTTCATCAATTTTTACTTTTACTGTACGTACAACCTATTACCACCTATTACTACTACTTACTTCTACACTATTTACTTAGTAGATAGTACGTGGTTACACCATAATCAATGAACTATTATTATTGCGTAGATACTCCTAGTGCTCTAGAAGGAGAGACTCGGAAGAGAACAAGACACTAAGCCTTCGCCATAAGTATCCATCCTTCTTCTTTTTCTCAATTTCCAAGTCGACGTATTCGGCCACCACTCCACGTGCATGTCCTGGCAACTCAGAATACCTTTCCTCCATGCCGTCTAAGTCCTTGAGAGCGGGCAGCTTTTCGCACAATTCAGAAAACGAAGGCATGACTTTTCTATTTTTTTGTCTGTTGATGTCCTCGATGGAGAAGTAAGTAGTTAGAGAAGTTGGACTTGTATTACTTATAGAGATAGAGTTACTTTGATGCTGCTCTCTGATAATGCCAATGATATTGAAGATAGATGTCTGTTGGAAGTTGTTGTAGAGGATACAACGGGTTTCTTGTTGATCAGTAGTTGACTTCCTGTATAATGCATCCACAAGCAAGTGCAAGATCACCACATGGAAAACTTTTTACTTCGTGAGAGCACGCCATCGAGCGTGTGCTCCGTAAAGACAATTTAGAGACAGTCTATAGCTGTTCGATCGACAGACTCGTGTAGTATCTTTCATCTTGTTCGACCTGAACACGATAGACACATCAATGATCCGGGTGAGGTGATGTTTCCACCAAGCCTCTTCTACAAATTTTCTTTATGTTTCTAGCATCCGAAAAGAACAAGAGCAGATGCTAAAAAGAAATGGGGCTGCTGTAGTCTTGATTTCTACACAAAGAGCAAACACACAAGATCATGCATAGCCCTTTCAGCAAAATGTCGTCGAAGTGATCTAAGTAAGGAAGAAGTCTCAGAAGTATAAACATGCACGTCAGAGTCTAAGAAGTCTGAGTCTAAAGAAACCTGTTCTAGTGTCCACGGCCAACATAGAATTCTACAGCATATCCCAGTCCCTTTGTTGTAGCTGCATATGATCCTCACTGGTAGAGCAGGATATCATAGCGCATCCGCACCTTTTACAGCATATCCCAATACACCCGCTGCTCTGGCAGCACATCCCTTTATCATAGCACACCCACCTCTACAACATATCGCACACCCTCAAGAGCCGCTCCAAAACTTCAGGTGCCGCTGCAAGGTTCGACGACGTTGCGTTTTTCACGAGCCTGCGTTCGACGATATTCAAAGCGTCTTGACGAAATTGGGCAGCTCTGGTTGGGACGTATTTCTGTATTCGAAGAACGGCAAAAAGGTTGTTCAGTTCAGAAAAGGGGGTGGTCCCAGAAAGGACCTTAATTCGGTTCTGTTGCAAATCAGATTCCCACTTCCTTGTAATTAAACTTAAAGAGAATAAACTGCTAATTATGGGGAACGAGGAAAAGTTGTATTTTGGTGCCATACGCTTAATTCGCGGCCACAGAGTAAGCAAAAAGCTAAAGCCAACTCCAATCGTCCCAAGGACAACAGTCGGTATAGATTCTTATCCATCATCACCAGCAGTTGTGCTTGGTATTCTTCTGATGATGTTGGTTCCTGATGATAGAAGTCCTGCTCACTAGTAGAATTTCCGTTGTCCTCACCATTGAGTCCTTGCTCGCCTTGCTCGTCCTCTTTCAATTTCATCGCGTTTCCCTGCAGCTCTTCTTGAAGACACTTCAACAGGTCCTTCAGCAAACGAAAGAGTTGTCTGACGCCGATTTCCTTTTCGAATAAACGGGAACTTGTGAGCGCAAGTACACGAGACAAGGAAGAAGTTGTACAAGCACTACTGGTGGTGGTGCTAGTAGAAGTACTATAATTAGTAGAAGCAGTGGTGGTGCTACTGCTAGTAGAAGTACTATAATTAGTAGAAGCGGTGGTGGTGCTACTGCTAGTAGAAGTACTATGATTAGTAGAAGCAGTTGTAGCCGTAGTGCCTCCCGCTCCGCCACCACAAGTACTAGCAATGCCAGTGGTTGAGTAGAAGTTGCTCGTCGCAGCTCCCAGCAGAACTGTCCAAAACAAAGCTTCGTCTAGCAGTTGTTTCCCGTGACTTTCGTTCTCATTTATGCCAGGCTTTTGTTCCTCATGCCAATCATAAAAAGTCGAAGAGGAAGGGAGTTTTTCAGGGGAATTAGATGAAGGGGAGCGATGGTTTTTATCGTGGATTAACAGTAGCAAATCTACAACAAGAACTGCATCAAAGTTAGTAAGAAATTTTCAACACAGCCACAGCCTTAGCCAAAGAAACTCCGGTCGCTTCTTCAAGCCTCGCTAGTAGCAACTGCTCTTCCTCGTATCTTGACTGGGTCGTTGTTTTAGAAGCCGCGCCTTTAGGAGAAGTAGAACTAGATGAAGTTGCTTTCGTGTTGCCCTTGCCTCTGAAGAAAACCGATCCTGCCTTCAATGCATCTCTTCCTTCTTGCAGTCTGCGCCTTTGGATTCGTTCGATAACGGGTCTTAGTGAAGATGACACCGTTGACCAGTCCAGAAGCCGATATTCTGCTAGTAACTGAAGACTATCAATCTCCTCTAAGAGCTTGCGTCTGCAGTCGGATATGGAAACTTCTGGAGCAAGAGCAGCAGCAGGATTTAGGCTACTTATGCCAGTTCCAGTAACATCAGTTGTACCATCCTCATCAAACAAGTCACGACTGGAAATTGTAGATGCGAAAAAATTTTCTGCAGTATCTGTTCTTGCTGGTGGCTCTGGTGCGATGGTCTCCTTCTTCTGATTGGTTGAAGATTCATTTCCAGTTCCCTCCTCAGTTTCTTTGGCGAACAACCGTCTCATCTCAGCCACTACGTCGTCTGTTACTGCTTCTAGAGGCAGCAAATGACCGCGACTAGTGTCCAAAGCTGCGAGTGCATACGCAGGATCCATTTCATAATGCAACCTTGGACCACTAGAAGAGGTGGTACGAGATCGCGACGCAACCTTCTTCTCCACGTCCAAAACAATATTCGGTGTTTGACGTGCGCGAATCCAGATCAACTGCAAGAGGAATATGATGAGGATGTGGTCCTTGTTGTTTGGCTTTGCTGCAGCTCTATTTCTGAACGAGGTCGTGTCTATGTAAGGCAACCATTGAGCCAAGTATTCGACCTGTCGACTCCAGAAGTCTTCTCGATAAGGATTTCTTGTTCGCTCATCGACATCGATTCTAGCGGCTCCATCTTGTTCGTCCTCGTACGTGCTCGTATACTTCGCCAGCATCTCTTTATACTGCTCATCCAATGCATCTTGGAAGGACCTTTTCTCATCTCTGCGCCTGAAACTCGAGATGAGATGAGAATGGGATCCTACTGCGTGAAGACCAGCACTAGCTCCGTCAAAAGGTGTTAACGTTAAAGGTTGCAGCATTACATTCTTCAGAACATCCCTCACCTCTTTCCTACTGGGAAAAGAGTGAGGAATGGTTGTGGGGTATGTAATTGGTTAACCCTTAATAACGGGTGAAAGGTCGCGGGCGGACCTGCATTCACTATCAGATCATAGAGTTCGCCATCTTCCTGATAACTCGCCTCGGTATTGACTTTCTGCTCCTGGGACTTCTCAGACGATGCTGGCATCAAAGCAGCGAAAAATATCTCTGCTTGTTGTTGTGGTCCGCCGTTACTTTTCAATACGCGCCTTATGACCCTCTCCAGTGGGTGATCAGGTATTATGCTGATTGCTTTGACAGTAGTGCTAATATTGGTGTCCTCAAACATCCCATAACAAGACTTGAGTGCGCCTGAAGTCGTCTCCTCGACACGTCGTTGTCTCTCCTCTTTCCACTCCTGTATCCATTCTTCCTTCTGTTTGGCGAACGCTTCTGCTCGCAAACGCGCTGCTTCGAGATTCCACTTTGCAGCGCGTTCTTCGGCCTCTCGCTCTCGAACAAGACGGTCGAATAAGGCAAATCCGCCTTGCTCCTCTTCTGGTGGTACGGGTGCAAATAACAGGGAGTCATTATTGATGCTTGTGTCACCACCACTTTGATGAGAAGTAGAAGTTGTGGATGATGTACAACAGCCTCCACAAGAAAGGTACTGTACTAAGATGTCGAGGAAACCTGTCGACGACGAGGAAGACATATTATCATCAGCTCCTGTCGATGTTGTACTTACTTTCCCAAATAGCGTAAAAATGGGTGTGAGCACTGCCATCAACAAGAAAGAGATACTTCTTCTAGAGCATGCATTGATGAATTTTAAGCCGTTGAACTTCACTTCACAAGATGAGGCGAGGTTGTGGGGGGCTAGTTTCAACATTGGGGACTTCGACTTACAACTTACAGTTCTTGTTAATACAATAGCAGTATGGAAGCAAGTAGAAAATTTCCCTGAACAGAACCGACATCTGACAGATCATGAGGTAGATAAATGCAAGTCAGCTGTCTAGTCCGCCATCGGCCTCGTCTGCATCGTATAGCTGCTCCTTTATCACCATCATGAGCCACCAGAATGAACACGCTACGCTGACCTCGGTGTCCATTTTACCACCTGAAGCATGCTGGCTCCTCCCTGCCTCCTATTCTTTCCCAATAACAAAAAAAAATCATTCTACTTAGAACGCGCCCATTCTACGTCTACCTCCTAGAAGAATCAAAGCATAAGTCTGGAAATAAAGAAGCATGATTCGAGAAGAAGAAGCGATGCAGTCCTGCTTTTCAATCTTCATCTTCTGTATCTATTTCATGGTCTCTTGAAGACGTCATTTGATTATGATTTTGGTTTCTTATTCTAATGTTTTCTACACTCATCCCTTCTTGTTGTTCGTTCATATGACGAGCAAGGTCGCCACCAGGACCAGCCTCCATTGGAACAACTGCTGAATTAGCGCTAGTCTTTCACTATGATCCCAGGCCGTGCGTCCGCCTTAGCTGGAATGCCGTGTGTCCCCCTTAGTAGTTATTTCCCCTTCAAATAATCAATGAGGACCAAACCATTCTCTCAGCCTACTCGTCCTCCACCGACCTTGGTTTTCCCTTTACTAAATCAGTGACAATGAGGACGCCATTCTTCAGCATTGATTCTCGTCCTCCACCGACCTGAGATAGTGAGAAACCAGCCTTAACTGAAGTCGTGACTTTATTACAGACTTTACAGGTGCACAAAAACCCATAGTCCTCCTGTAGAATGAGTTTCCGCTCTGCCGGTTGAAGGTGTGCGTAGCGGCCGCCAGCAAGGTAGTCGATCGTGAGGAGGTTAGACGAAGCGAGATGAGCTAGGTGAGCTACAAAATGAGCTAGGTGCCCTACAACAAGAAGGGAGTATATTTTTTGTACTGCAAGTTTATCTTAAATGTTGACCTCCACTTCGACAACTTTCGCCTCTCTCTCTTTATTTCTACTGGAAACTCTGAAGGGGCTCATACCACCTCGAATACAACTGAAGATGTACCCTAATCTCAGTCCCCTTCCCTACTGCTTTGGTCGTGAGCAGTTGCAACTGGCCAGTTTTCGGGTCCAAGTTCGCGACGGCAGTCGACCCTCCCTCTGTGCAACAGTGGTTCAAGCGAGAGCTGCGTTCGAATAGAACTTCGGACTTGAAGCAGATAAACATCTCCGTCTTGAGGGTAAGGCAAAAGAACCACAAGCAAAAACTAAAGGTAGTCCTTCACTATCCCGAGTCGAGTGGGTTGCCCTCTCGCTCTCTGCCGCTTAGTTTTTCTCCCAATCAATAATTTATTCTCAGTGAGAAGAAGCCCGCCCAGCATAGTCCACATGGGATAGTGAAAAACTACCCTTAAAAAAAGCTCCCGCGAAGCACGACATAGAATATTCCGCAAGCCAACTGTTCGCTCTTGTCAAAAAAAACCAGGTTGCGATGACCAAAATAAAGGGAATCACAAGTGCATGCAAGATGAAATTCCTCTTGTGATCCTCTTCGCTGAAGTAGGTAAGCGAATTCCTTTCCCACACCTGGCGAAGAGAGGCGTCAGTAGCTTGCTGCGAAGAAGTGCCGTTCTTAGAAGAGTGTGGAGCGTCAGTAGCTTGCTGCGAAGAAGTGCCGTTCTTCGAAGAGTGTAGCTCCACTGAGTTTGATCATAAGGGAAAACAAGAGAACCCTTGCGATCGAATTCAGGTTACCAAATACCGGAACCATACACACTAGAAACCGTCTTTCCAATTTATATTTCCTCAACGTCTCTGACCACTCTGTAGTACTTTTTGCTGTGCGTTTTTAGTATACGTGGAAAATAAGCTTCTAGTTGCTAGTGTTGTTGTACTTCTACTTGTTGTTATATCCAGAAGATGTCGAGATTGAGATTGTGAGTGTGACCACTGACTAGAGATGATGAATATCAAAAGCTGAGCCCCATAACATTCGTATCATCGCTTTCCAATTCGCTAGATAATTCCATTGCTTCCGCATTGATATCACGATGCCGAAGAGGTTCTAATTTCCTCAGAAAACAAAGGATTCGATTCAATTTGGATTAGAAGCTTAGCTTCATTTAGCCTGCATTTAGCCTGGATTCGATACAGCTATGCAGCTGTACTAGGAGAACGAGAAGTAGAACCAGGAAGAATATGTGATTAATATGTGATGAATTCATCTCGGTCTAAAATGTGTCCTCCTCGGCTCCATGATAATCTATGTATAAGGAGTTCTAGGAGTACGAAGTCGAGTTTCTACCAGCATGACGCTACAAATAACCATTCCTCTTCTACTCCCATCGAGATGATGAGTTCACTTCGTTCTATCCTTCTCATTTTTCCCTATCAGTTTGTGTTGGATACATTCGAACACAGACTGTTAAGTCGCATCTAGTTTCTCGGTGAGAAACACTTGAGAGTGATACTGTTTGCACAATTTGCACTCACAGCCTGAGACTAATGATCTCTGGCTGCTTTGATCCCTGTGGATGTTCATTGGGGTTACAAGGAGGAAGTCTCAGCTTCATCATTGGGATATCATGTAGCATGGGGAAGCTCTCATATGCTTCATACGGAAACGCTTATGCTATCATCATTGATTCATACGATCATCCTACATTGATTCCCATCATTGATCAGAACTTGACAAGACGTTATGGACCTGATTACAGCTATGAAACATTCACCATTCCTGCTATCTGAATACGTTGAAGGTCCTTTGCCTGATGATCACTGATTTTGGAACTATATGCATTTAGGTCTGTAGGTTATCTTTGAGATCATTCCGGTGCTGTTTTGTCCTTGACTGTATTGGGAGGCTTGAGCCACAAACGAGAGAGAGAGGAGAAGCCAGAGACACCCGCGCGACGGTAAACCCGTCGGGCGTTTGGATGGTGCTCCGGTAACCTTTTGCCTGGCGATCTTGGTCATTTTGCTGATCTTTATCCTTGTGATCTTTGTGAATCCATTAGGATTATGACCTTGACCAACACCCCTCCTCAATCGTTGCGTGTCGAAGTCCCTAGTCTTCTGGACTACCACGGAAGTCATATCTCCTAACTACTCTTCTATGGCTACGGTATACTCGGCTAGAAACCAAAGTAAACCGAATATACTACACTATAGTAAGCTAAATCATCCCCATTCGTTTCATCGTCTGAGGAATCACAATCATCATACTCAACTTTAGTTATCGGGTTATCTATATGGTGAAGTAGTAGTCTACGTTGAGACGAACTACATTCTAACTTAGTTAAGCCATCAGCCTTCATTAAGTTAGTTGGACAGAAAACTATCTTACTGGCCGCATCACGCACACGCAAGTAGCGAAGTGCATAATGGCGACTCTTCGGGCGTGTGTCAGTTGCTTTGGCTGTTGTGATCGCGGATTGGTTGTCGATCCAGAGCACAGCATTGTCTAAAGAGGGAGACAAGCCGTTCTGTGTGTGTACCAACTGAGTTGGTAGAGGCCTATAGAAGTCTGTAAAGTCATGCAGTTCACTAAGCACGATAGTGTCAGAAGCTGCAATATATTCACTTTCAGCCGTAGAGTAGGCACGGACAGTTTGTCGGTTACTTCTCCAAGCAATTGGAACGCCTTTGAAATACATGATCGATCCACTTGTACTTCTCATAGTCTTTGCGCAGTTGGCGAAACCTGCATCACTAAAGATATTCACCTCTGGCATATCTCTGCCTTCAGGTAGTAACTTTGAATAGATTCTATTGAATTCTTCTTCTTGTTCTGGTGAGTATTCCAGTCCTTGGTCTCTCGTTGTCACCAGATACTTTAGCACTTTTCTGGCTGCTTTAACCATTCTTGTTGACGCGGGTTTGCTGACATGTCTAGCCAATGCTGCCACCGGTACAGAAATGTCCGGGCGCGCGGTTACAGCTACCCATAGCAAGGCACCAACTACCTCACGAAAGGGATACCCTTCGACTATCTTGATCCCCTCCTCAAGAAAAGCCGACTCGTCAAAATTGGGCGAGTAAACCGGTTTTCCGACATCAATTTCGAATTTCTTTGCGATTTTATCAATGTACTCCTCCATATTGAGCCGAAATGTTCGAGCTTCACGGCAGTAGTACACGATGGCACCTAAGAAGTCGAACCTGAGCCACGTTTGACCCCAAGGGGTTGGAACGGACTCCACATCAATCGCACGGCCAGGGGCACGCGAGAAGATGAGTTCTAGTTCGGTCTTGAGCTCATCAAGATCAGGACCCGTTGCAAGATTGTCATCAACATAGACTGACATCTTGAGGAACTTCCCAGGTACCTTCGCACTCGGCTTTCTCCATAAGCCTGGCGCAGAATCACACGGCTCCCAGCCAATACTGGCTAGTATGTCGTGATATTTCTTGAACCATGCTCGTGGTGCGTCCTTCAAGCCGTATAAGGCCTTCTTGAGCTTCACGATCTCGCGTCCATGCTTCTCTGCCCAGATGGGTGGGAGACGGCAGAAGACATCGCGATCGAGTTCAGCATTGAGGAACGCAGAATCTAAATCGAACGGGATCACATAGTCCTGTTCTGACGCAGCAGATGTCAGGAGCAGCCTATTAGCGGCGTGTGAAACTACGGGAGCAAAGGTGTTTAGCTCTCCTGAACGATCTAGATTACCGAGGACACAAGCGCGAGCCTTGTATCTTCCACATCTTTTAATAGTTAGAATTATGGCAATTGGTAGAGCCTGTCGCGCGGTCGCAAGCTCCTCGTCAGAAGCTTCTTTCCACGTCTCAAAGGCTAGCAGTCTCGCATGCTCTTTGTCAATAACCTCCCGCCATTTGTCGGCATCAGGAGACTTGAGTGCTTGAGCAACGGACAAAATCACATATGATTCGACGAATTCCTCATCTTCGTCTAATTCACACGTGCCACCTACTGCACTAGCGAACAGCGCCACATTCTTTCTCAGTTCTTCTAACTGTTTCTTTGTTCTTCGAACCCTGCTGCCTGCTTTGTCCTTCGCTCCTTTTGGTCGGCCACGCTTCTTGACGTGTGTACGGCGTTCGCCTGCCACAACACGTGCTGGAGAAGGCGCTTTCGACTTAGACGGACTTAGCGGAGCAGATGTCTCGCGATCCTTCGCTTCAGCATTCCCCTCCTCAAGTGAAACACCTTTTGGAGAGTCAGCTGCGTTGGATTCCTCTACTTTATCCAGTGTCTCAATAAATAATTCGTCGGAAATCGCGGTCGGTCCACCTGGAATGTGCTCCGTGCCAGAGAACCCCGATTGATGATCCAGCCTTTGCACTGACTGTCCAAGCAAGGGGGAGCCCAGCGACGACGCGCCACTCTGCAGATTTTCCAGTTCGTCATACTCAATGTAGATGCCCTTCTGATCTGGCAAAAGCCAATCGATATTTTTAATTAGATAGTCCTCTCTGAACTTTACATCTAGGGTAGAGTATTCCGCCCATCGATGTCCAAGCTTGCAACGATCGTCATGAGCGAAAGTTCCAACCAACCAACCAGACGACTTCGGACAGAGTCCAAGGAAGACGCCACGGCGGTACTTGGCCGAGAGCTTGGGTTCAGGAGTGTTGGCTTGAATTTGTTCACGAAAGTAAACTAGACAACCAAATCGGCGGAGCATGCCGATTGAACTCTTCGATGAGTTTCTACCAGTCCTTTCTTCTAAGATTTCAATTGGACTCTTTCCATCATGTTGAGGCATTTTTGCATAGTTATGCGGTAAACGATCCCAGCAGTCACCAGCGTACTCGACGCAGTAACACCAGAGGCGTTTATCAACTTTAGTCAGCATTGTGCGTACACTGCCGAACAAAGTCCGCATAAAACGTTCGCAGGTCCCATTCATCTCCGGATTATAAGGAACAGCCGGACTGTCTGAGACTCGCAGCGATTGCATAACTTTGGTCATGTCATCACTGCTCAGGACAGGTTCTCCATCCCTCCGGAGGAACCACACTACCTTGTCATCAAGTGATAAGGAGTAGTCCTGGCGAATGCCTTTGATAACTTCTTCTATTTCCTCCACACAGTCACTTTTCAGCTTAAGCGGTCGACAGAACACCTTCTTAATTACATCACAGATGATCACTAATACACATCTCTTTGACCTGACTGATACGGGTTTGATTCCAACAGCAAAGTCGATTGCTAGTAACTTCAATGGTTCAGGTTTGTAGTTCGAAGTATCTCTAGCTTTTGCATGTGGTGCGCGTTGGCCTTTATGTAGATCACACTCAGGGCAATTTACCTGGAGGCCATCTATATGAAAGTGCCCACATCTTCTATGAAGTTCGAGTCTTGTAAGGTAACAACTACTGACTCCTTCTTCTACTGTTGAACAAATATAACCACTATCAGTCTCTTCTTTAAATAAGTTGCATGCAAGTATGGGAAGCTGCAAGCGTGGATGACTTCTTATGGGTATGGCCTGGCCGGTGTCCGTATGTACGAGACAACCACCTGCGCCTTTGAAGTTGAATTCCCATCCTAATTGCGAGCAGTTCCCTTCACCTAACCAAGGTATAATACGATCTAAGTCCTTTGGTAGTGAATCATAATAAACACCATACTGGAGCCCTAAGATGTTTGACTTTAGTTTTCCTACTCTTCCGTCTTTACTTCCAGCGCTACCAGTAATCCTACAAGTTCTCATAGTTATTTCACTAAAGTCATCCTTGTGTCTTGAAAGGTATTTGTTTGCACAGCTATCAACCAGACTAACTTCTTCTCTTGCAGTAATGGAACTAGTTGAAAGACTATGTCCCACAAGTTTTACCTCCCCTGTATTATTTACGTTTATTTCTTCACCCTCATCTTCATCCAAGTTCAGCGAGCAAAATCCGCTTTCCACCGGTTCCGCAACTCAGCTCTGCTTTCCGCCGTTGAGAGCTTGCCACAGCTCCGCAACTTGGGACATGTGAACCATGCCATTACCCTTTCCACCTTTACCCATAGCACTACTAGATTGGGAATTGGTGTTCCAGTTCCAGTTTGCCTGGTTCTGTGGATTCTTCCAACAAGACGCGGATTTGTGACCCGGTTTGTTGCAGATCCAACAGACTGGACGGGTATCTTGTTTTCCAGAACCTTTATTATTTTTGTTCTGCGGCTTTCCTTTGCCGTTCGAATTGGAGGCATAGACCTCGGCGGCGATCTTCTTCTTTGTGTTTGCCTTGAAGCGCTTGAGAGCACTTTTAGACAGAAAGATCTTACCACCTTCATTGGCCTTTTCCTCGTCATCTTCCTCTTCACGAGAACGCTTATTCGAGGTCTCCTGAACATTGACCGGGAACGCCTTCCCGAAGGAATCGTTCTCAACTTTGTAGGTTCCCTCCTCGATCAACGTCGCAAGACGCTTTTCAAGTCGGTCACCAATCTGGTCAAATGTCAGACCATCTTCTTCCTGCATGCGTTCGATCGTTGCCTTGAAGTTCTTGCAGAACAGCTCTGGCAACTTCTGTAGCAGTGCACCATTTTGTTGGTCACTTTCTGGCACTCCTGCTTCCGGCGGGTACACGGTGGGCGACTGGTTCATGATGTCTCGGACTTTCGACAAGAATCCTGTGACATCTGCAGGTTGATCCGCGTTGTGGAACTTCAACACGCCATCCGTAAGCGGTTTTACTTTCATCCGTTGTTCCTGACGGTTGTTTTGATCGAAGTGTCCTACATCACGAAGGAGCACAACAACCTCACCTGCATCCATCGCATCCACCTGCCCATTATCGTTCTGGTTGTTGATGAACGACGCAGCGGCACCTTTCAGACTACGAATAATCGCATCTTTCAGGTTGCGCCACTTCTGCCGAATTGTTTCCTCCCGATTGGTAACTCCGTTAGGAATACCATGAGGAGCTGCCGGAATGCCGACTACATTCGTGTAGTTTTGAAGCAGGCCGAGACGGCTAGCTTCCTGACGTATGGCAAGTTGCCATGCTCGCCAGTCGGACTTCTGTCCGAGTTTCTTCGAAATTTCTTTCGCATCGCAGGACATTTTGAAAAGTTGTTTCTAGATGGATTTCTACTCTATACTTAGCTCAAGGGTCAAAGTAGTGTTGGATACATTCGAACACAGACTGTTAAGTCGCGTCTAGTTTCTCGGTGAGAAACACTTGAGAGTGATACTGTTTGCACAATTTGCACTCACAGCCTGAGACTAATGATCTCTGGCTGCTTTGATCCCTGTGGATGTTCATTGGGGTTACATGGAGGAAGTCTCAGCTTCATCATTGGGATATCATGTTGCATGGGGAAACTTTCATATGGAAACGCTTATGCTATCATCATTGATTCATACGATCATCCTATGTTGATTCTCATCATTGATCAGAACTGACAGTACGTTATGAACCTGATTACAGCTATGAAACATTCATCATTTCTTCTATCTGAATACGTTGAAGGTCCTTTGCCTGATGATCACTGTTTTTGGAACTATATGCATTTAGGTCTGTAGGTTATCTTTGAGATCATTCCGGTGCTGTTTTGTCCTTGACTGTATTGGGAGGCTTGAGCCACAAACGAGAGAGAGAGGAGAAGCCAGAGACACCCGCGCGACGGTAAACCCGTCGGGCGTTTGGATGGTGCTCCGGTAACCTTTTGCCTGGCGATCTTGGTCATTTTGCTGATCTTCATCCTTGTGATCTTTGTGACATTTCGAGGATTATGACCTTGACCAACAGTTTGCCATATTCTAAAACTTCTCTGACGTTCGTGTTCCCTTGATTGACTGCCGCCGTTTCTTCCACAAGTTTCAATATGGACCTCCGTCTCAACACGACAGCACCCAACCCAAACTCCAAGCATTCGACCTTCAGCATTGGCTGCTCTGTGAGTATCGTCTCCCCTTGTCGCATGTGCCGCGTCGTAACCAGACCAAATCCGCGACCTTCCAGATTAGAACCAGACCAAAACCTGCAAAGCAGTTCATGTTGTCCCTTCATATTCATTTCTTCAGAATCCTAAGAAGGAAATAACAGAAGGAAATAACATTTCTATCCAAAGAGTGTAAAGCATTGATTTTCATCCAAATAGAAGAAAATGAGTAATCCTCCCTGGGGCTCCTTAGAAGAGAATTGCATCTTCAAGCCTTAAGCTTAACTAGAGAAGTGATGCGCCATGGAGAACTACAGCATTCACCGCGACGCTGGCCTTGACCATCTGTGGACAGAGTGGTCCGATGACGAGAAGACGAATCTGTAGAGGTCGTCGTAACACTCATCTTCATTTTTTTGGGGGGTTTACAACTTATATTCAGAATAATGATGAAAGGACATAGACAGTGATCAGTTAGATTCTAGTCTACGACCCCTTATAATAGAATTAGACTTTTTGCGCCCGATATCGGGTCGAGTTGCTCGAGTTGCTCGAGTTGAACGAGTTCCATACCAAAAAAATTTTCGCCGCGCCCTTCGGGCGCACTATCTTCGAAGCGTCAAATACGTTGCCCAGGGGCGCAAACCACCCTCACAAGCGAACGCCTCCAGTAGCGCCCTCTCTTCTCTGCGAGGCGCTGCATGCGCGGGGCAGACAAGAGCAACGCCACCCAGGGCCCTGCCCTCGTAGTTTTGTGTTACTAAGATAGCACGCCTGCCTGGTATAGCTGCTGTCCTATAAAACAAGCACAAAAATAAACCTACTCCATTCCGATCCCGATGCGTCTACACTACTCAGGGGGGCCCTGCTTGTGATGCTACCGCTACCCACTAGGCGGCGCGCTACTCAGTAAGCCCACTACAGCGCAAACAGGGGCCCCAAGAAGCCGAACAAGCTGGCCACTCACCAGCAAAAAAAACAGAGCCAGATCGCGACCGACATCAGCGCACGACCATGCAGAGACACCGACACCGCGAGGAAATCGCTGCACTTCGCAAGGCTTGCGCGCGCGCCACTCAAACAAAAAAGGCGGCCCCGGGCTCGCCTTCATACTTTCGCTAAGCCCAAGCCCCGAAGAGCTCGGCCGGGGCGTGTCTCTTTAATACAAACGGCAGATCTGCCACGAAACAACTGGCCACGAGCTTCCCCCTGAACTCCGCGGCATCTTGGCCCGCCATACCGCCGCGGGGTGCTGCGCTTTCAAAGTGGCAAGCTGCCGAGAGGAACTCGTTAGCAACTCGTTCCGGACTGGGCGTGTGAGTTTCGGCAACTCGTGGCAACTCGAGAGAACTCGAGCAACCCGTAACTCGAAAAACGGACTACTAAGTAGGATAGATAATTCAATTATGATATGTAGTTACCTTCTACAACTGAATATGAAAAGTGAAGAACCAGTTCTAATATTGTTCGAGGTGGACTAAATAGAATTATTTGACAGAAGCAAGATCAAGAACAATATGAGGGACGGGGTTAGTACTACTACTAATATCAACTTGTACTAGATGCAGATAAGTAAGTGGATGGAGAGTGTTCTTCTTGTGATGTAGCTTAAGAAGAACTAGTACCTAGTACGTGATAGATCGAGCTAGAAGCACAAAGGGTTCACTTCGGAACGCGGACGGGGAGGGTCTTAGTTTCTTTATCGATCAATCTATCACCTATTTTCTTTGACCTTGATGTATGTTTGCACATGTAGGGAAACAAGGCGCATGTCTAAGTAAAATTAAAAATTGATGTGATCCGACTTTGCATTAAGGGTCAATGACCTACCACACTACTACTGGGGGTAAGTCAACTCTTAATATTTAGATTGCAGGAGGGGTCCTCTCGCTTCAGCCAAGACGCTACGTGTCATCAGGCTTAAGCTTCTTCACGAAAGATGATTATTTGAATGGTTCCGGTATTTGGCAGCCTGAATTTGACCACAAGGATTCTCTTCTTGTTTTCCGCCCTTATAATCAGAATCAGGCTACTAAATACCGGAGCCATTCACTATTAGTCTTATGTTCGCGGTAAAAGTATCATTTAAATTTATTAATTCAGCGCTTCACGTGCATGTGCAAGAGAAAAGTTGAGTGCAAATAAACTATAGTACACCTAGGACAACTCCTAGTGGCGCGACGCACACCACAACTGGACTAGAACAACTAACACAACGAGTACGAGACTAGAACTCAATAAGCTTAAGCAGGGAGGCTAGAACTCAATAAAGATATCATGTTGTTGCTAAATAAGTAGATTTATAGAATTGGAAGGACAAATCTACTGTAGATCTAGTACGATCTATGTGTATCATGATCGTAGATGCACCAGTGATGCTGATGTCATACTAGCTACTTCGAAAAGATACTTAGGTGACACGAATAGCTGTGCTAGGGTTTAGAGTACCACGTCCGAAAAAGTGATCACGAGGCTCTCGCATACGATCACCTGTTGATCGATTTGCGTTCCTATGAAGAAGTTGCACGCAGCACATCAGGGGACTCTTGAGAACCCGATGATAGGCAACTAAACTCTGTCAGAGTCTCTTTTTCGTCTTGAGAACACGCACCTACTTAATACTAGATTCACATAAGGCGCAACATGGTCTCAACAACTGTCAATCGTGAAATCAAAGATCTACGTTAGGACCTTACTCCCAAGATCGCTACTGCTGACGCAGAAAAGATCTACGTTAGGACCTTACTCCCAAGATCGCGACTGCTGACGCAGAAAATATTCCTCCATTTCCATAGACCAACGCCCTTCGGCAATTATCAATTTGCCTTTCGGTCCCCTCATAGGATTTCGTCAGTTGTCTCACTGCTTCAACAACATTGAATGCTGCTGGCACTTCCCAAGGGGCTCCAAAGCAGAGAAGACCCCCATGCGTATTGATCGGAAATCTTTTCAAAAACGCACGATAGTCAAACGACCCCTCTTCAGCAGTTCTAGTTGTTGGAGACAGTTGTGGTCTAAATTCGTCGTAGATTCGTTCCAGATAGGCGCCGCCTGTCCGACTACTTGCTGTGGAGGAAGTAAGGCATCCGCGCATTAGAGCTACCGCGTTGCATCCCTGGAGCCATCCCTGAGCCCTTTTTCCCCTTGAAAAAGAGGCCAAGGATGTATGGTGCCGGGGATGCTTCAGCGGCAGCCTTAATCGTAATGCGTGTTGTTCTTTCTCGAGTACTCCTGCAGCCTGAAGAGCGCGGACAAAGCAGACGGGGAAGCAATCGTATAGGCCGAAGCATTAGAGCTACTGCGAATATCTCTTACAGCGTCAGAGACTCACCCGCCCATCAAGTCTATAACCGTTAATAGACCCTTTGAGAATTTGACGTCCACCTTATGCTCGTGGAACTAGCAGCATAGGGAACAAGGCATACAGAAGATATTAGCCGTAAAAGAAGTCGATATCTGTCGGACTTAGTGAGGCTTCCTCGTAGGCCAATTGACAGGCGTCACTGCAAGATCCAAAATGGCTCTCGTTGATACGCTCAGGTGGATACAGAGGCCCACTTGCCTCACCTCCGCCGATGATTAGACTAAGTAGATTCTTGTTGTGGGGTTTCTCCATTCCATGGAGTCTATCACTGGCGAGCATACCAGCCCCTAGACTATGCGATGCTATTGCTATCCTGAATCCTCATATAGTTGAAGTGACAAGGGGTTGCATCTCTGTTGTTATTTCAACATCAACCGGGTTTGTTGTTATTTCCACATCAACCTCTGCCCGAGAGGGTGAAATTATTTCAACATCAACCTTGCAATACGACAGAGACAGTTTTTGGATTCCTCATGATCATAACAACAAAACCGGCAAACTCTTCACTCGTCCGTGGTCGTAAAAGGTCGCGCCTCCATCTCGCGATCCCTTATGGTGTTGTAGCAGGTAGCGGGTACTGGCTAGTACTATGGCCGCCGCTCCATCTGCTCGTCTCGCACACTCCAGAAGCGAGATGTTCTTGGTAACTTCTCTACTGGCACGTACTTCAAAAGTTAAAAACGCGATGAATTTGTCTTTGTCAAGTTGGTTCTTGTCAACAAGAAAAAAGTCTAGATATAATTTCACTCTAGAAGTTGATTGTCAACAAGAAAAAAGTCTAGATATACTTTCAGTCTCGTCTTATTTTTGTTCTCTCTTTTTACGAAAAGGACGATATGACTCTCTCATACCTCAAGCGTCAGGCGACGGTCCATCAACGCTTCTGGCAATCTCGAACTATGCCACGATTCTAGTACAGGAACCAAGCGGAGTTGATCGCGAGTAAGTACAGTTGTATCTCTGCCAGTGCCACGACTGCTAACATCGTCGTTCAGCATGAAACTCGTATACAGATCGTAGCCATTTGGGATTACTGGAGACGGCAAGGGGCTTTCCAAATTCTGACAGCTCGCGTCTGCACGTTGCAAAAAATCGTCGCTAGAGAGGGAACCAACTGTGTCACCGGCAACGACAGCCACCACATCACAGTTTTCGTGTTCGATCATCTGAGCGGCTTCTAGTAACGCCGAAACAGGTCCCGCGCCTCCAGTATCAATTGTGCGGACACGAAGGGTTCTTCCGGAGGAACAAGAAGATGTTGAGGAAGATGTTCTTGCAGTTGATGGAGCTCCTAATGTACTAGTTGCTCCCACCTTTTTTGACTCCTGCTCAAACAGTCCTAGATTAGTCGCTTGATAATGTGCCTCCATGAAGTGTGGCTCGGTCAAAGACGGCACCGCAACCAACCCATCCAAATCCGACAAATCTAGGTGAGCGTCGCTAAGAGCTTGACTCAACACTTGTTGGATTAAATGCTTTGGCGAGGTCTTTTTAGAGCTCTCCCCTATTCATCCCTGTGGAAATCCCTCAAGCTTATGCGTCAGTATCTCCCCTGTATTCGGGCGCATATGCTTGAGGGATGTCTACAGGGATGGACTAGGGGAAGCCTTAATCTTTGGAAGCGGAGGAGGAGCAGTTCTACTCGCACGTGCAACCATCCCACGAGCGCCAGTGATGCAAACTTTGCGTGGCAAAGACGGCAGAAAACTCCGAACCATTTTTTTTAGCTATGTTGTCGTCTGCTGTACTTCTCGCACTAGTCGTCCCTTAACAAGAATACAACTGGTTTACACGCTTATATGGACGATTACTCTACTTCTGTCGCCCTGTTCAGATTGCCCCACCACCTCAGAAGTAATATCTCACTCTCTACTGTCTTATAATGAGACGCCACTTCTTCAGCCAACTCAGTTCCCTGTCGTCCTCTGAGACTCCCCGTAGGTCGAGTTTTATCATCAACCCCTTGCACATATACAGAACGCCAAAGAATCAGCACCAGTTTAGAACCGGCACAAGCCTGGTGTTGGTGCTCTATAAGTGAAGACGCACGGCGGCGCGTCTTCGCCGTCTTCTGCGAATTATCGAGCAGTAAATGTCGCAAGTTCTTGGAGTCTCTAGTATTCTTCTATATCCATCCATGAGCGAAGGAGCGAAGAAGGCTGTCGCCCGATCGATTGTGAAGAATCTATGCTGTATATTTTCAGCATCTGGTAGATCTAGATTTTTCTATTTAGTATAGGAATAGGTGTGCTTATCATTATCAGAGGGGGCTCGTAATGTTTTATGTTGCTCGTAGTGTTGATAATAAAAGATCCCATATTGTTCTTAGATTTATTTATGTGGTGGAATGTGGTGGAGGAGGAATGATAGGTTACGGAATAAGCTACGGAAGCTGAGTCTCCCGGAAGCAGTCACACCGTGGACTCGCAAGCCGCTCACAGATGGAAATCGCCTGGTGGAGATTAATACCATCCAGTGTAGTTGTGATGGGGGATTCAGAAAGACATCTTTCTCGAAAGTGCTAAATTGACTCCTCCTCACTCATCTCAGTATAATGTCTTTATTCGTAGCTCACATATAAATATATCAAGGTAGAAGCCTCCATGTCTTCATATTGGTGAGCTGCCCAATAATATTCATCCCCTGTTGACGTTGAGGACGATCATAAATCCCCTATTGTTGTTGTGGTTTGTTCGCCTGTTGCGGCTTACTAGAATCTCGTTCAGCACCGTTTTTTGCTTGAGGACGATAAATCCCCTGTTGTTGTTGTTGTTGTTGTTGTTGTTGTGGTTTGTTCGCCTCATGTTGTAGCAGGAGCTTTGTTCTAATCTCGTCTAGCACCGCTTTTTGCTTATTGACAGCCTGTAGCGCTTCTGATGCCGTCTCTCTCAGCTCATCCAGCTTCGCTTGCTCCTGAAAAAAACGAATTATTGTTGAATATAAGTTGATGAACTAACATCGAACCGGTAAAAATTATAATTCAGCAGACATCTAAATTTTTGGAGTAAGTAGTTATGTTTGTGACGCAATAGTACCTTTTTCTCTAATGCTTTCGCTTTCGCCACCTCTTTTGCTTTCTTTTCTCGGGCTTTTTGTACCTCTTTTGCCTGTTTTTCACGGGCTTTCTGCCTCTCCTTTTTCTCCTTTTCTGCAATTCGGGCTTTCGCGCGCCTGATAATTTCTTCTTTGGTCAACGGAGCGGGCATCTTGCTTATACTCTTGTTTTGGATTTCGAGTGTAGAAGTTGTTCTTGTACTTATTCGCAATTCCCAAGGGAATACTGGGTGAAAAATGGATATAGAACCAAGGTGTAAGTGAAAGTTATCACGAAAACATCAATGCATGTTCAATGTTGAAAGTACTTATTATTGATCGTGAGGAGTCCAGTCCATGTTGGAAGTACTTATTATTGATCTTGAGGAGTCCAGTCCTATTCGAACTTCAGGCCATTTACTTTGCCGCCTCGCAGGTTTAAAATCAAACTGCGTGGAAGCAGATCATCATCAACGATAGGTCATTTTTACAAGAAGCTCTGGATCTCATCAGACCACGGCCATTTATTTTGCTTCCGCCATTACCCGCAGCTGCTTGTGCCTCTTCCCATTTATTGAACAAAAACGTCCAGCGTTAACGTTATGCTAGAAGAGTGAGTTCCCTCTCAAAATGGAGGTTTATTCGTTTTCAACTTAGCGTCTTTGTTTCTTTTCGTCATGGAATGCAAGGATCAATTCCTTCGTCCAGTCTGCATTTCAGTCGGTGAAGTCAATCAGGAGAATGAGAGTCAGTAGTTCTAATTGAAGGACGAGGTCAAAGTTCCAACGTTCCTTAGTGGTTTCAAAAAATAGTTGGTAGCATGTTCTTGGTGGAAAGCTGTTGATGCATTTTGCATCCCTCTCATTCCATTTGAACGATCATCGCCTCCTGCTTTGCGAATTGCCGGCTCGTCAATGTGCTGGCTGTCACATTTTCCCCCTCAAGATAGACCTGTCCGTCGAGCAGGCAACGAATAAACTTCTCCTTCTTGGGGAATCCTTGTTTCAGGACCGAATACCTGGCGGGCACATTGTAATGGGTTGGTTTTGGAAGTAGACCCAATGTGAAAATTTTCAGTAAATCCAAAATTTTTTGACTTTATTCCAGAATTTCGAAATTCATTTCCTATCAGCTCAAGAATAACTGAATCCAAAAAAAAAATCTACAACATAAATTCCATCCAAATACCTCTCCATCGACACCAACGGCGTTGCACCAACCGAAGAGAACGCTCCCTGCTTCAAATTCGCATGCTCTAAGAATTGAAAAACGCTTAGCATAGTGGCGTCTTTCGCAAATATTCTTTTGAGTGGTGGTTCGCTCTTGAATCGAAATTGGATCGTTAGTCCTTCACTGGGTTCCGCGGGCGGTTCTGGACACTGTATATCGCCTAAGCTAGCTGCAATTGCTGCCTTCATGTCATCGTCCATGTCGTCGTCCACTACTATGGGCGCACTAGACGACGCTCCTCCTCCTCCTCCGCTTAGCGTATTACCACCACCCAGTTTTGACCAGTCAGTTTCGACCTTCCTTTTGTCGGCTGGGACCACCATCGTGAACGCTGGCTTCCCACTATCATCACCGCCGCCTTCGTGGAATGAAAGTGTGTCGGTGTTGTGGGGGATGAAGAAATGATCTACTTCTGTAGTACACCAGGTATACATAGGATGACGGGGAGATGGAGATCAGCTGATAGGCTACTAGGATATGAGAGAGAAGTAGTCAGCATGATGTCTACCCCAACATGATGTCTCCTACAACATCAATTGCAAATCATAACTTCTGTGCGTCTTGCATCTCCTTCTGCTCTTTAGCTAGATACTCGTCACGCATCTTCTCCATGTCCTTGTCGGTGAGGAAAAACTGGTGCGACTGCAGCTGTTGCGTCAGGAATTTGTCCGGTTGTGGTAGTGAAATAGCGCTGCGGTTGGAACCGGGAACTGGTGACGGTGGGGAACGGTTGATGTGGAAAAATTGACGAGGTGAAGTAAATTACTATACCTTATTTACTATAGTGTTTTTAGGGAAAACACGTACACGACCACTGCACACATTGCAACGAAAACTACAACATTCTTCTTTCTTGAGAGTATGAGTACTGACTACAACTTCTTCTAAGCAGTAAGCTACTGCTCCCAAAAACAAACAAATCAGTACCAGGTCTAACCACAAAGACCGTAAACCCATCTCGCAGCGTGGCTTCCAGAAACGCAGTCAAGTTGAAATCCGACACGAACTGTGGCGCAGGTTTCAGGGAATCCAAATCGTACCATTTGGCGAAGACTTTCCTGAGGCAATACCAATGTGCTCTTCGATGGGAGTTGCAGATATATGCCTCTTCACTCTGTGGATTCGACATGATCTTGCTTTTCACTTCCGGTTTTTCGATATTCACCAGACACATCTCGAAGCGCTGCAGTGCCGTTTCCATAACGGGCAATGAAAAATTACCATCCGCGTCAACGTTAAAAGACTCTCCCACTCCAGAACCAGCTGCGAGGCTGCCGGAGCCGCCGCCGAGAGTTAGAAGTGGTTCTGGTTGTAGTCGATCATGGTGCATAAGTATCATACCTGCTCTCTCTCGTACTACAGGAACTTCGGTGAAACTTCCGAAAGTACTTAGTTATAGTTTTAGCTAACCTTAACCCTGTGGTAATAAAGATTTCTACACGTCGAACCAGAGTACAAGGGGTAGTATTCATACATTCCACGACTTCTCATAACATCAATGCTTGCTCATGCTGATCGAGTTGATGGGCTATTTGCGCGAGTTCTACTTCCGAGAAGGCGTTGCTTTGCATCAACGTGTTAAGCGTATGAACCGCGCACAGCTTATCAGTCCCCTGCTTCTCCCAATACACCTCATACCCACGGCCGCCGTTGTTCATCATTTTGTCGATTTTTGAGTGATGATACACCTACTGCTAGTGCTATGCTGTTTTTGCTCGTGCTCGTGTCGTCGTATTCGAAAGTGCTAAAACTGACTTGAATATTGGCTACACAGAACAAGCTAAATTCAATTTAATGTGCCAATAACTGCTGAGAGTCGTTTGCCTGTCTGAAAAAGTGTAAGTGATGAAGTCAAGTTCAACTGATTTTTACAGGAAACTACGCGCGAAGAAAGGGACAAAGAGTAAAAACTGATTCATATTCAATGGTCCTTCGGCTTATTCGACTTTGTTTGTTGTCATCTTCGCATTCAAAAATGACAAATTTCGATTTTTTAAGCCAACATTTGTTTTCTTGATACTTTCTTGCACACTCTCAACATGATGATCTCAGCCGCACGGCCCACACCCACGACACCTCTTTGTCTCCACAGAGAAAATTCTATGACGTCCGTGAGTGAAAGTAGAAGCGAGCCTAGAGGGGAAGGGCTGCTCTGGTTCTGGCTGTAACATCAGCTGTCAGTTTCTTCTAAAAAAGATCATCTGGTCATTCGGAAGAAGTTGTTTCGCTGCTCTACTACTATTCATCAGAATATTGATGCGCAACAAGGATTGGTCATATTAGTACGTAGATCAGAATGAAAAAAACTAGAAGATGGTGATGACATGCACATAATAGTACTTTTCGAGAGGTATTCTTTCTTGCTGGGACCTGTCTATGCAAGAATATCTGTGTCGATGAATGTCAAGCGAATAAAAACAAGCTAAATTTCTTCATCAAGTTTGTAAAGAAAGATACTCTTTTGAGTGGTGGTTCGTCAGCATCATCGTCAGATACTCTTTTTATATATATGGATATAGTAGATCTGGCGATCTTCTTCTAATTAAGGACAGTACTAAGACAGGCGGAAATAGAGGAGCGCATAACTAAAAAAAGCGACTGGTCCTTCTTGCGCTGCGTCTTTATTGTTACTAGAGAAACAGACCTTGAAAACTCCTTTTTTACACAAGGATTTCGATGAAACCCTTCCGCTCAACTGGGACTAGGCAAAGAAAAAGATCTTCTACTCATCATGTGCTGCGCTAATATATCTAGCGCTGAGCCTTACATGATACGCACGATCGAATCAGAGGAACGATATCGCCACAGGCGACTTAACTTTCGCTGCTACATCCGGATATAAAAAGTTTAATTATAGTAGAAAAGAGATGGAACAGATGAAAATGGTCATGGTGAGTCGCCCAGATCAGTATTCCGAAACTGTCGACGGGACTACTTAATACCAAGCTTCACTTCCGAAGAAGGGCCCGATATTAATTTGATTACTTATACAGATGAAAATGACTGTTGACCTTCCACCTACTTACAAAGAAATTTTAGTACACGTACACAAATGAGGATCATCGCCGTGCTCGCAAGTAATTCAACGTTTCGACCGCACGCAGACAATCTCTTTCCACGTCTGCTCGTTCCCTTTGGCTCAAATTATCCAGGACATGACTCGATGACGAGTTTCCAGCTAGCAGGCGCTGTAGACGTCGTTCAACGGAGGTTATGGTCGAAGAAGTCGTGTGTGCCTTATAATCGTCGTACCCCTGGTGCGGTTCATCTTCTCGCAGATGATCAATTTCACTCCTCCTCTTCATCACAACATCGTCATCTTGTTCGTCCCTAACAGTATTGATGTCTGCTCCTCCTCCTCGCCTTCTCATCTGCTCTTCGACCAGATCGTTTTTGTTCAGCAACACGAAAGGCGTGCAGACAGGAGGTGGTGGTGAATTTTTGTAGAAGTTTTTGTCAAGAAAGGTATTCGAGTTTTTTGAGCTCGAAGAGTTCGACGACTGGGAGCAGGGGGCTTCTCCTTGCCCTTGGTTGAGGTCTAATCGTTCATCGTTCCCCTGACGGTCACGAGCAACATTATAGGCAGAGTTGCCTTCTTCTTCTTCGCAATCGCTCTTGCTTTTCATGATCAACAATAATTGCCTCACATTCTTTTCTAATATTCGAAGCTGTTGTTGTTGCGTTTCTGCATCAGGCACTCGTTCACGCTCGTCAACCTGAACCTCCATGTCATCTGCTTGCTCTTCCTCTGCGACCAAGAACACCCCCTTTCCGTCTTCTTTAGTCTTCTTGGACAGCGACTTTTTCACATCTCGTCCTCCTCTTTCCTTCGTGGTCGTCCTCGATCTTGGAGCTGGCAATTGCGATAAGCAGCTCTCGACATAGTGACCTGAGTCAAAACTTGGTTCTTGGTCACGTAGTTGGGCCCATACGTCTGGAGAAGGAGAACCTCTTCTATCTTCTAGTTCTTCATCTACTACTCCACAATGATGATGTTGACCGCCGCCACTAGATGAAATTGTACTATTTCTACTTCTCGTATTGTTTCTACTCGGCGACGAAGAAGTGTCGTGCTGAAGATTAGTCGTACTGTCGTAACCGCTAGTACTCCTCGACACGAGTGCGACGTCATCGAAACTGTAGATGCCTAGCCTTTGCATTGTCGCGGCCATGACAGAAAGTTGCAAGTTTCCAGACTCATTGTTGTCTTCTTTCCAATAATTTGCTTCGTCCAACGGGTCATGAAGATCGTAATGCTCACCCATCATGGTGTTCATCGAATGCGAAAACGCATGAAGGAATCAGAATCTGATTTATGATCTGACAAAGACATTATTTTCAAGGGTTATGAGTTCTTGTATGTAAGAAAATCGGATTTAATGATCCACCTTCGAAATTCGATTGAATTTTTTTGTTACACGCACACCACAGGGACTTTCTAAGCTGAATAGAATACAACCATGCATGCCGCGAAGCGGCTACATATAAAAAATCATAAGCTTCTGCGAAAAGAAGCAAGAAAGACAGTGCTCTTTATTCACATACAACAACTGCAGAAGAAAAAACTACCTCCTACATCGCAGAGAAATAGTTTTGGAAAAGATGCCTAAAAACTACATTATCGTCCAACTCACTCTGTCTTCTACCTAGTCAAGACTAGAAACGGATGAATACATCATCGATAAAAAGAAGGATGAGAGTCATAGGCTGAGGAAACCGTTTTTACTTTCTACCCTGACGAAGAAATTCAACAGACAACATTCAAAACCTTGCTCTTTCTATATCTATTTTCTATTTTCAAAATTACGTGGTGTCTCGTTTCCACACGCATTCTCGGGCTCAGGCTCACAAAGATTTGTCATAAAAAAACCGTTCGTCGTCCATCTCTGCTGGTGGCTCTCGTACTAAGTAATTGCTGAAGACTCTCTTGCTCGTTAAAAACTTTCGCATCCATCCCTAATTTCTGACCGTCGAACACGACTTGATTGCTAACTTAGCAGCAGGTTTTCAGGTACCGGGCAGGGTACAACTACAATCTATTCGGAAACACTGGAAACAAATGTTGATTTTGACTTGTTCTCCTCGTAGTTGTTCATCTCATACATATCTTCAACATGATGTCTCTGCCTCACAAACAATCAGAACCAGAAGTAGACTGTCCTCATGTAAGTTCATTTCTTTCCAGCATTCTTAAACCCTTTACCAATGTAGTCACCTTGTGGCTTAGAGTATTTTGCCTCTACATTCGTGACTTTCCTTTTGGCCGTCAATTCGTTGTCCAAACCTACCTCCTTAGCGCCTTCTGGTCCTTTATAGCACCATTGCTCGAGTTGCTGGAGCCGGTCCTGAGCGAGATGAAGGAATTGAAGTGTTGAGATGCCTCGTGGCTGGAGCTGGTCCTGAGCGAGATGAAGGAATTGAAGTGTTGAGATGCCTCATGATCGTCTACTCGAAAAACTGAAATAAGCGAATAACTACTGAAAATAAGTGAGATACTGAACGGGGAAGAGTAGCCCTGTCAAAGCTACCTCCCTTATTTCAGTCAGTAACTCGGTTATTTTCAGTTTTCGAGTACTTCTATAACTATAGTACGAGTTGTAGTAGTATCAGCAGATGATTCAGACGAGGTGATGAACACGTGTTACCTTCGGCCCCTCCGCAATAATTTCGACTCTACCGTCTTTCAAATTCCAGGCCGCACCGACTAAGCCTAGCGACTCCGCTTTCTTCTTCGTCGTGTCACGGTAATAGACACCTTGGACTTTACCCGTGACGAATATTTGCGCACGTTCGATGTTAGCGCCACCTGCTGACATCTTCATGTTCTCCTTCTCTATTTTGTCTCTAATACGAGCTATAGCGTTCAAAAAATCGGCTTCTGCCTGTGCTGCTTGTAGTCGGTCTCGTTTGCTTTGCGTTTGCCCCTTCGCAATCCTTGTTTTTGATCGCTCAACTACGTCTCGGAAAAGTTCGGAAGCTTCAGTCTGCAAGGTCCGTGTCGTCCCTGGGCGTGCACCAGAATGGCTGCGAGCTAGGTCAGCGACCACTTGAAGCGGTGCTGCAAAGGCAAAGAGAGTGGTAGAGAAACAAAGAAGTCGAGTCATGCTATTTTCAGTTATTCACAAACTGAATTCCTAAATCATCTAGTTTTTACAGCCCTGCTGTAGTTGTTTTTCTTGACGGCTTCATTTCCATTTCAAGTAGTTGCGTCTATATTTTTATATCCTTTTACTTCTAGACGTTAACCTCTACAACTACCACTAAGTTTTGTCCTAAGTAGAACAAAGTTGAGAATTAGGTGAGGCATGAAAAGTCGTCTTCGCCAAAAGCCACGCTGCAGCTGGCACTGTACAGGATTTCAGCTTTTTACAGGATTTCGCTTATGACCTTCTCGGTCTTACCCGAGGATGCAATTGAAGATGCAAGAAGAAAGAAAGACATTCGTGTCCATAGTTGACAGGTCTTGAACAAGTGTCGCGTGTTATTTCTTGTATTAACCATTATTACCAAAATCTGCTCGTGTCACACGAAAATCTGCTCGTGCCACAAATACAAGCAAGGACATGTCCGCCTTCTTATATCAGACTTATCATGTATGATGATCCCCCTTCGAATAGATGATACGAGTTCTTTCAGTTTCACCCCCTCTCCTCAATCCCTACTCTCCCAAAGTTTGGCTGCCTCCTCCGCAATGTTATTGACTTTAGTCCTCAGCGAGACTTCTCCTGTGCTGTCCACATCCTTCCCACTTGTAGCCTTTGCTCCCGTAGTAGTACTATAGGTTTCCTCAATCTGACCCGTAGCAGAGTTCCGCCTCTTCAAACGCTCTTCATTCAGCTTCATGATATGTGGTGAACTCATCTTGTTGTAACGCGATCGATCATAAGTGCTTTGTTGGCTTGGCAAAATAGGAGGTGCCAAAGAGGATCTAGCAGTTGCAAAGGACGTCGTAGACAGAACTCCAGAAAGCTCTGGCTTTGGTATTGCTGATGAAGAGTTCCACCTCTGCATCATGTTCATTTCGCTCTCTTCTACTTGTTCTTGATGTTGTAGTTGCATTTCCGCTGCATCTGGTTCTGCTTTTCCGCCTGCTGCTCCTGCACTTCTATCGCTCGTTCCAATATCACCCACTACTGCTGCTCGCGTCCTCTCACGACCACTCGTGCTGCCCACGAGGACCTCTTGCCCAGTTCTCGCGTCTGAGAAGAAGTACGTAAACATTGGCTTCGTATCTCGTTGTATACTAGCACTACTTCTCAAAGCCGATATAGCGTTGCGTTCGATGTCATCCAGCTGAGAGGCAAGTGCTTCGCTATTCAGCTTGAATTCATTCTCTACTTGTTCATCAATGTTGAGGAGGGACTTTTTACTCCTGTTGACGCTGAGAGTAGTTCCGGGAGAATTCATCGATTGCGACGACAAAAAATGGCGGTCCCTCTGCCAAGGCGAAGTAGATTGACGTCCTTTGTTCTTCTCGAGGACTCGTTCAGCCGTATCGAGCGAAAAGAAAGGGCCAAAATCTCCGGTTGCTTCCCCTTGAGCATGGAGTTCTTTTGAAGTTAGAAGGAGCCGGTTAGAAGGCTTTTTTGATCATGTGCTATAGCGATTGTTCGTCGTGTTGTCTTTTAATCCTCGTCCATCTGTTTCTACTGTGCATCAAAATGAGCCTAGAAGAACTACAACGAGATGAACCTGAAACATCACACCTCATCTCCTTAAAATCAAGTTTCTCCGATCAACAGCTGCTACTTCCATTGGTGTGGCACGTCTATCCAAGTTTCCCAAGGCAGGATGGGGAACAGAGAATCCTCCAGAAGTAGGAAGACCTCCTTGTCTTATCGCACCACCAGCATCAGGATCACGATAACCGCCAAGAGCAAGAGACGAAGCCAACTTATTCGTCCCTTCCCTTTGCAACGGTGCAGGCATCATGTACCGATAGGCGTGGTAGTCGACATTGCCGTCCGTTTTTGTTCTCCCAGTCGGATCGCGGCTGTCTAGCTCGTTTCGGGTTACCTTACTCCAATCACGAGGAAAACCGCCGGTTCTGAGCATAGTGGCTGTGGTTCGTGGGAAAACGTCGTCTAGCATATTCTCGACCTCAACAGGGTGGATGGGCTTGATGTCGTTGGTACTGGTTCTGGGTTGATGCGGAGAGGAGGAAAGTTTAATTAGCGGTAGTATAAGAGGATGGAGGAAAAGCAGAAGGAAAAGGAAGAGAGGAGAAGGAAAAGCAGAAGGAAAAGAACCTGGCGAAAATGCGGAAGCATTGCATCAGAATTCACTGAATAGTGCATATACACTGTCCTAGAACAAATTGAGGTTGTACTTCTTCTTGGAAGTTTTTCTTATAAATATTTTTGTGGTACTACGACCCAAACCGCCCACTATGATAGAAACTGCTCCCTACTACTTACTATTCTACTTCATCTTGTCTAATTACAATCATCTGAAGATTCATAGCTCACACCGGAATTTTTTCGGAAGATACACCACGAACATTTTTCATAGTTTCACCTTGAAGAGTAGCCACGTTCTTTCATAGTTTCCTTCTCGTTCCTCCTGAGCGGGTCCCATTTCCTCCCGCCACCAAAGACACAGCCCATGGGTCACTTAGATTCAGGTCCTCATGCCACAGCCGTCCACTACTGCGCATCGTGCCTCCAGCATCGAGAAGCTCTCTGTCTAGCCCTCGTCTATGATCGTCATCTGCGAGTCGGAGTCTTCCGCGGCCACTGATGGCTGTGGCTGGTTCTAGTAACCGGTCGAGAAGCAAATCAGTTCGATTCTGACTGATCAAAGATCGGGACCTTGAGGTGGAGGAGAGAGTCAATGCGCCTGCTCTCTTCCCTAGTCCTAGTTCGATTTTGTCGCGAAGCTGCTGTTTGTCGGGTAAACGATACTTGTTTTGCCCCTCAGTGCGAGAAAGACCGGAGGCGGCGCCACTATGAGATCCGTAGAGACTGTGGAGTGCGCGTTCGCGAAATACGAGGTCTTCGTAGCCTACACGCCAATCGCTCAGGGCTGCTGAAGTAGCTCCTGTTAGAAGATTTCTGAATGTTGGTGAGTGCATAGTGTGATCTCTTTTTACCACGCTGGAGCAGTTTTTTGTGAGGAGTACAGAGTTAGAGTTTCAGTCTAAAACCATAAACCTCCAAAACGCCTGCCTCTCCCACCCGGCGCCAATCTTTCAGCCTCCTCTGCTTCCTCCTCGTCTTGGAAAACGCCTCGCAGCCTAGTTCGAAGACTCGGAGACACTCTCGGTCGTGACAGTGGTTCTCGTGGTGCGTGGGGATGACGGAACGATTCTACTAAAGAACCTCCTGCCTTAGAACCTGATGTTCTTCCACTTCTAGTAGTACGGTCATCATCTCCGAGACCTAATGCACCCTCGCGGCTGCGCACCCGTTCCGTAGGATGAAACGCGCGTGTGTCTATCGCATGCAACCGTTCTATGTCTTCTACTGCGCCAGCAGGCGCACGTCCACCGAGTAACCTTCCGCCAGCAAGTGGCCCAACATTACCAAATCCGCCTACAAATGTGGATCCTCCTCCACGATGATTTGTGGCACCACTCCGTGTCATCTTGTAGTGAGGAGAATTGAAGTAGTAACGCAAATCGTCGTTGGATCCGAAGGTGCCGGATCCAGTTGCACCTCCTCCAGTTCCAGATCCACCTGCACCAGCTGCTGCTGAAGATGACATAAACACCTGTCCTGGAGTCGAAAACAATCCTGCGCCCACAGCAGCACCATGAGCATAGTAAGCTTTCCTGGCCTCTTCCTGCTGACCAAGCGCACTCCAAGAACTGGAAGTTCGCCTCGTCCTAGATGCAAACCCCCGTGGTGCATCCAACAAATCTACATGATTCGACCTGACTAAACCACCTGACAGGTCTGGTCGTGTTCGACTACTCGGTCCAAACATGCCACTTAAATCGGAGAGACTGCGGGAGCGCATACGGACAGTAGATGATGTGCCTCCTCTGAAATCTTCACGGCTTGATGAAGGTCGTCCGCCAGCACCACCAAGATTCAATAGACCTCCTCGATTTCTACTACCTCCATTCAAGTACATGTTTTTCCTGAACTCTTCCTGTTTCCTGTCTTCCTCCTCACGTCGTAGCTGCAGACGGCTCTCCAAATAGCGATTCGTGCACTCTCGCACTTGTTGCTGGCATTTCCGCATTTGAGCTTCGACATCGGCATGAGGGTCTGGAGGCTCTTCCTCACCTAGATCGCCACGGGCAAAAAGCATGGCGGTGGAGGGACCTTCATGTGTCTTTTTAGTAGTTGACGCCGTCGTCATGTTGGTAGTTGTAGTAGCTGCTCGTCGTCCTGTGGTAAAAGTGGCAGCAGAAGGATAAAACATTGGGTTCCCACCTATTGAAGCGGAACCATTTCGAGCAACATGCTCTGCAGACGACGAGCCTCCTGCTACCGTTCGTGGAGATGCTACCAAATGGCCATTCTTATTTCGTCGCAAGTGAAGCGGTTCGTTCTCGAGTGGTGGACGACGTGTTTTTTCAATGGCATCAGCGCGGCTAGGTGGGAATATTACAGGCGTTGCTCTCGTTCTGCTTTCCGACCTCGTACCAGTTCCAGTGCCAGCAGTTGTGTTCCTATTTTGTCGACCGTGAGATGAAGTGCTCGGACCCGTATGAAACTCATAGGTCGCGGTGTCGTAGAAACCTAGATCTCCATCATTCTGATCATCATGTTGACCAGTCTCAGAATAGAAGAGGTTCAGCCCTTTTGTTTTGTACTGTTGGCCCATGCCCTTTGCTTCGGAATCGAAATTCATCTGCAAGCACGCATCCTCTGCTTGTTTGTTGTGCTTGTTGGGGCTTTTAGTGGCACTTGAGAAGATGGGGTGGACCACGTTCGGAGGATAAATTACAGGACCTGTGGGAGAGTTGATTGCGTGTTGTTGTCCTCCGCGAGAAGGGCCACTGCGTCCTCCACCGGAAGCTGCTGAAGATATTCTATTCGGCGCGGTAGTTTTTCTTTCGCCAGATGATGACCTGTTTCTACTAATTGTTTTCGCGCCACCTCCTGTACCTGTTGTTACTGTTTTTGCACCAGCTCCTCCACTCCTCGTCCTATTCGTATTCGGAAACACCGGCTCAATGCGTTTTCCTGGCACACTGTAGCCTTGTTTTGCCAAAGACGCTTCACTTTGATGCTCTCTTGTATACGACACGCCGCCAGGCGTTATGCCATACACTGCCGGTTCCGCATTTGTTTGTATTGAAAAGTCTTTCTGCAACTTCCAATCCGTGGAAAAACGTGGAAGTTTCGGCATATTCCGGTAAATGTTATACGTGAACTGATCCGCGTCGCTCATTCTGGCATTAGTGTAACCATCCTCGTCAGGAGAACTACGATCATCCCTAGTACTTCTTGACGCACCGCGACCTCGTCCCGCTCCCCTTTCATGTCCGAAGATGAAGTTGTCATCCTCCTCGTCCTCGTCATTACTGTTAAGTACTAGTTGATCGTAATCGTCGACGTCGTGGTCGTCACCGTTAATATCAACGTTATCTCCACCCCCGCTTTCGTCAAGCAAGCCTACACCTCTGAAACTACTCTTCTTCCCTCGTAGAAAATCTAAGTCATGATATTCCTCGACTCCGTTTGGCAGAAAAGATACTCCTGATGCTCTACTATTACTCGTCGCTCGTCCTGCGCTGCTGATGTTAGTAGACCTGGTGCCTAGTGCTTTTCTCGTACTCGTGGTTCTCAAGTTTCCAGTAGTACTGGATGTTGCAGGACGAGGATCCCTTGGTTTTGAGCCACTTGTTCCACCAGGCCGAAAGGGTGGACGAGAGGAAGGCCTGAAAACATCAAGAAGTATGATATGATAATGATGGAGTATGAGCTAGATTGTAGGTTATTTAACTTCACTAACCTCGCAGTTAGAAATAAGTACTAATCTTAAACGCACACACTGATATGATAATGATTACTTATGATCATCATGGTACTATTGATGAAGCAAATGATAATCATGACAAGAAGAAGCTTGAGAAATAAGGGCTTCCCCTCACCATACCAACTGTTGTTAGAGGAGAAATATTTTTACCCTGCCGCCTTACTTCTCCCCGGCAACGGGTCCCCCATCCCAGGTGGAATCACATTGCTCGATTTGCTTCCTCCACTCGTTGTATTCGCGCCTTGATGCTGGTTGAACAGATGCACCCTCGTCGGCTTGTTCATCGGCAGTATGACTGCTCTTGCGTTCTCTTTTCTGTTCGTGTTCCGGAACAGCGCTTCTGTGCTTTCTGGTCGCAGACCAGCTCTAGTCCGGCTAGACGACCTCTTTTCGGTAGATGTTGGGCTCCTTCTGTTGTCTCGGTGGAGTTGTAAACGACTTGTTGGCCGCCCACCACCAGTCGAAGAAGTCGACAACGCGAAATCCCTCATCTTGTTCACACGCGCACTCAGGGACCTTGATGCGGCACGGTTACGAAGTGGACTACGACTTGCGGATAATGCTCTAATGTTCGTGGCACTAGTGGCTGGGATTCCTCTCCTCGGAGGTGGCGAAAATCGTTTACCACGTGCCCCAATAGGTTTCATCGTCCCCGTTACGCCTTTCAGTACATTCTTCGCCTTTCGACCCGCATAGGGTGCTTCTTCGTAGAGTTCTTCTAGTAGGTTCAACTTGTGCTGTTCCTTTTGCTGTTCTAATGCGTCACTGTCAGGGTCAGAGGTCGTTGTTGTTTTACTTCTGTGATCCTGGTCTTCACTATCGAATATCCACCTTTGTGGTTTAAGCTTACTGCGTGAAGATGAAGAAGCTTCGGCTCTACTTCCACGTTGCGCAGCTTCTTTCAACGTATCTTGCCAAATGAGCGTTGAATTCGCCTGTTCATCTGGTCCGCCGACAGGTGCGCGATTGAGTCGTGACACTACATGGCGGCCGCGTGAGCAAGTAGGCCCGCTGGAAGGTTAGACGAGAATGGTGATGGTGAAGATGAAATCGAAATGTTGTACGTCAATGTACTTGAGTTTCTCGCTGCCTAGCCTGAAATCTGGATGGAGTAGTACAAACTTTTCTCAGTGATGTAATCTTGAAAATTGAATTGGTTTTGGTTCCTCCTTCGTTGTCATCCACCTCCACGACCTCCTCAAACTCAATCACAAATAATCTTTCTCATAACTATTCTTCGACGACGCTCCCGAAGACGGCCCATGACCCCCCACCCGCTCTTCTGGCTGAAAATGCAATCTTCTTCTCGTTTTTTTGAAGAGTCCTCCTGCAGATCCTAATTCTTCTATATCTTCCTCCAGGCCCTCAGTGTCGGCAAAGATTGGAGCCACTCCATGGCGTACTCGCTTTCGATCCACCATTCGTGAGGCCATGGCAATGGCCTGAGCGCTGGTGTCGAGCCCCGGCGTGCGGTAGATGGTTTTCGGGTAGTCCGGTGAACATCGGTCGGGTGAGTGCGGGAAGGGCCAAGAACCATCGTGTCTAACATGCCTCAAGCTCCCAACAAGTTCAGTTCGCATCTCATTCTGATGCGAGCGCAGGAAGTGCTTTGACGTCCCGCCTCCCGGTCCGGGTGATCGACCTTGTTCCTCAATCTCGCGTCTAGTGAGCGCATCGCGAGACTTCGACATAAACGTATGCGTCAAGTAGCGCGGCAACGGTGCGCGCATTTGGCGCCGTCGTCCGCGAGAAGAGGAGGAGGTGACCATGATGTTCTGATTTGGAGGCTGTTTGTGACTGTGAGTGATGGAGGTGATTCGACTCTGTCGAGGTGCTGCAAATTTGTGCCCTTAGAGTTTTTGTTTTTCGAGTAGTTGTCATCAAGCGATGTTGGGAGTTTGCAAGACTGACTAAATGATTTTGATTTTCCACATCATGGTAATGTTTTGTCCAGTGTTTGTGTTACTTCTACCCATTTCAGTGGTAGCTTTGCCAGTAGTTTGTTTCCTGCAGATCGCGCTATCTCAAAAAAATTGTGTCACACTCTTCTCCGCCACTAAGAGTCCCTCGACATCCTGCTAGTATCCTTGCTCTCCTTGTTTTTTTATCCATGAAGTTGAACACGAGGAACATGAAAACTACTGACAAGCAAATCAGGAAGTAGTACGTCATGTTTTTCAAACAATGTTGTCAAGTACAAAGAGTACACCGAATCAAGCATGAATTTGTCGACTGGTTGAAGTAGATATTATCGCAGTCTCGCTGTTGATGTCGGCTGATGCTGATTTTCAACTTCAAAATAGGTAGCACCCGCCGCCACAAGCTCTCGTCAGTGATCAATCTTCAATCTGCCAGCTGCTTCTTGCTTTGCTGCCCCAGTCTTCTTCTTCGGCAGTCTCGCGCTAACCGTAATCTTCTTGGGTGGTCCGGTACCGGTGGGTGGAGGGACTGGTGTTAGAATGTGCACCTTCAGCCATCAAAGGAGGCTATATAATTCACTAGCCTACTTCTTCTGAGTTTCTTCTAAAATACTTATTGTTGATTGTAATAATGTTCTTTGTAGTAGCCTATAATCTTGCAATCCATCAAATCTTCAGAGCCCTAAAGTTGCTCTACCCACTCCGCTTGCGACAGAGCCACCAGCAGCAGCATCAATCGGAGGCTCAGTCGGACTACGCACAGTCACTACGCCACCGAAGCCAATGTGCGAATTGTCTGCCGGTTCTGTAGGTGGCGCAGGGACTATTCGCGTGGTCATGTGCTGACTTTGACTGGCGGTTCCGCGCAATGCATCGGCCAGAGCTGAACTAGAGGATATAGCTGAAGACGCATTTTGCATATTCACTAGACCTACGATTTGTTGTGTCGGTCCTCCAGTACTGGCTGTGGTGCCTGAAGATGAACCTGCTGTACTAGATGAGCCTTTTGAAGGAGACGACTTGATGTTCATCGACGACGCAGATTTCGCAGCAGCACGTGCTGCGGCAGCTCCTGTACGACCGCCGAAAGACGAAGATATTCCTCCACTAAACTTGTTCGCGACGCCGGTTTGCGGTGCAGCTGGATTTGGCGCCAAAGAGGATGTGCCAATCGTGGATGCAGCTGCGCTAGTATTGGTTTCATTTTGGTCCGTTGATGAAAAGCTATTTCCTGATCCATCAAAATTATCATCCAACTCTGCGACTATGGACGGCTTAGACCCGCCACCAGAATAGGAGGACGAAAGCATGCCTCCTGTGGAATTTCTCCCATCTGCGCCTGATGTAGAACTGGTCAAACCGGAAGTGAAGGATGCGAATAGACCGCCAAGAGTACCAGCAGGGACTCCTCCAGACATTTCTATCATGCCTCCTTTACTGGTGTTCATATTACCTATATCAGATGAACCACCACCAGCGAAACTGCCGTTGTTTCTTCCTCCCATATGCTCCGGTGTCATCTCCAGGGTTGCTAAGCGGGAATCCTCAGTGTCTACATGCGAAAACTCGGGACGTGGGTACCAGATCAGGAATAACGCTAACAAAACGACGAAGTCTAAGACGTGTGGTAGAACGACTTCGAAGTACCTGGAAGCAGTTGTGGGCAAGGAGAACTAGAAGAATTGAATGCATCATTTGAGCAGGAGGAATAGAGGTGGCATTCTATTGAGCTTGGGACAGGAGAAGAGGAAACTAGGACGCGCTCCGACGACATGAGGAACAAGATAAAGTGCTTAATATTAAGCTCATTATCTTCTCGCCAACACTCTAGTTGTATCTATACCAATAGCTATCCCCGAGGTCGTAGAAGCTTATTTCCCTTTGCGATCCGTAGGCGCTAAACAGCATGCTGTAGCCAAAGGTTGTTGGGTAGTAGAGGTATTTCAACGCTTGCACGCCGATCTTCAGTGCAAAAGCCAGCCGCAGAACTTTGGTCATGCGACTGTAAGCCTGTATCAGCATCTCGTTCTTGCTCTGCAGCATCAGAGGTTCGTTGTCTTTCAAAGTTTTGAGTATCCAGGTCGCGATGAAAACGACGAAGATTAGCTCGGTCATTCCGCACTATTAGAGGGAGCGAGTGGGTGGAGAGGTTGAGCAAGCCTTTTTGAGCAGCACAAACTACTGGATTTATCGCGTAGAAGGTCGTAATCCTAATCGCATGTGTGTAATTCACATACAACTAATCGTAATCGCATGTGTGTAATTCATATACTCCTAATCGTAATCGCATGTGTGTAATTCTAATTCATTCATCACTACTACTAACGCGTACTCGTTGTCGTTACTAACGCGTACTCGTTACTCTTAGTCTTAGCAAGAGCATCAACGTGCTCATCATAATAGAACAATCTATCCCCAACGAATCGCGTCCGGTCACTGGGAGCAACGAAGGTGAATTGATTACGGTAGATGCTAACCCCATTCCAAAGGACCTCGCTGAAGGTATAGCAGAGAGCGACGTTCATGACCCGTTTTGCCCTCTCGCCAAATTGGCCACGAATCATCGAGAAGAGAGAACAGGTTTCTGTTGGTGGTGATTTAGGTAGGGTGAAGCAGTGATAGTGTAGTTGAAGGTCGTAGGGTGAACAGGTTTCTGTTGGTGGTGATGTAGGTAGGGTGAAGCAGTGATAGTCTTTAAGGTAGGGTGAACAGGTTTCTGTTGGTGGTGATGTAGGTAGGGTGAAGTGAGATGAAGAGGAAAGTTCTGTTGAAACTGATGGAGCGATTGAGAAGATAGTGGTGGTGAGAAGATTGAGAAGATAGTGGAAGAGACAGTAGAACAATCAAGTAACGGGAAAACCACAACTTGTTGTAACTCTGTCGTTTACAACGACAACATTAGTACCCGTCCTCTGCTTCTTTCCGCCCATATCGTCGACTGGTTTTACGTTGCTCGAAAGAATCAACCGATAAACTCCACAGCATTTCGCGACGATGAGAGACAGCATCACCCAAAACATGCTGACTTTGACAGCATAGGCCATTCGCGCAAGAAAAAGCAATGCCCACTGTCGATAGCCACTGCCGTTCCACACCCTGAACTTCAAGTACCAGAGGAAGACCTCGATCACACACAGGAGTAGCACACGGGTTAAGTAGCGATGAACTAGAAGCATTTTGACTTCCCCTCGACTGCGGAAGTAGGCTTTAGCGGTCAAAGTGATGCAACCCCAAATCGCAGCAAGAAGCAAATAACACCAAAGGAGAGTGTGATAAAACTGGTACTTCTTCAGATTGCTTGCATTGAGGAAACCATGATGGTACTGGACTGTTATTTCTCCGTGTAGCTCTACTGTGGTGGAAGATGGAAGTTCTGCTAGGGCACGCGATGTTGAGGAAGAAGAAAACGGTGAAAGTTGTTGAAGAGGAGGCTCATTTCTCACGCTCACCACGACTAGTGAAGATGAGCCTGCAGGTGCTGCACCAACCGCGTCTGTGGCCACTTGCGCTTGTGGCCACAGGTCTCGCAAAGGTCTCGCAAAGGTCTTTTCGTTTTCCTCCGCCGCTCCCAGTCTTCGGATCTTTCCCCCGTTGCAGTTCACCAGAAGAAGAAGGAAGTAGCCTTCCTGCGCTGGAATCGGTATCTTGCGGCGAATAGAGGAGGCACTTGTTCCTATAGTAGTACCTCCTGGAGGACCATCTAGAAGAGGGAAAATGGTTGACCGCGTCGTTGTTGGACACAGACATTCCGTCATTTTGTTACCGCCACAAGAAAGCAAGTACTGGGTGTAAGACAACAGGACTAATCGAAGATCTGCTGGATACGTTGATGACGTACTGCCAGAACTAGTACCCAATGCAGCAGCTGCAGGAGCACCTGTATTTCTGCGAATCAGACGAGTAGGCACGTCGATCAGAAATTCATCGCCATGAATCTTGCCTTTACTAGTCGTTGATGTTGTACTGGTCATTCTGGCACTGGCTTTGGGAGAAGAACTACCGCCCGCTGCTTCTAAGATTCTACTCAGGAACCGTCGTCCAAATCCACTGTCTTCATTGAGATTCTGCACAGCGGAAGATGACTTTGTCTTGGTTGTAGATTTTGTAGTCGGTGCAGGCGGTGGTGGAGGAGCACCTTTTTCTCCTGAAGGTTGTTCTACTAGAGTTGTTTGGGGAGAAACAGTCTCTGGAGGTAGTGGAGCCGCAGCAGGCTCGGATTTCGCTGGTGGAGCCTTTACTGGCTCAGATTTCGTGCCCGGTGCAGACACGACAGGCTCAACATTGGATGTTGTCGGAGGTTTTTCTGGCTCCGATTTCGGCAGATTGGGTGCAACGGCAGAAGCAGATTCGGTCTTCGCAGGAGGAGGTGCAGCAGCTTCAGATTTTGCTGGAGGTGGAGGTAGTGCTGCATCCGCCGCCGCAGGTGCAGCTGCATCAGCTTTCGTTGGCGCTGCAGTCACTTCAGATATTTCTGGCGAAGAGGAGACTCCGCCAGCTTTTGTCGATGGTGCTGCTGTCTCAGTCTTTGCTGGTGTCCTTGACGCATCAGTCTTCGGCGCTTCATCCGCCACCTTGGGAACAGGTGCTGTCGGGTCAGACTTTATTGGCTCATTCGCCACGGAGGAGTCGCTCTTTTTTGTATTGTTCGTTTTCGGTGAAACGGAAACTGTAGTTGCGTTAACTCGAAGACCAGGCACCTTCTTGTTCTTCTTCTTCTTGAATCCTTTACCTTTTGAAGGTTCTGTCTCGACGAGGCTCGATGTTCTATTCGTTGCCGATGATGACGCAATGGTGGTCGCTGATGAAACTGATGAGGTTGCAGGAGTAGTGGCAGCTCCGGTTGCGGAAGACGATCCTGTCTTAGATGAAGTCGAATTCATTTTCGAGGATGGGGATTCCTGCTTTGGTACAACATCCTTCTTTTCTTTTTTGTCCTCTGCAGCAGCCATTGTCGGAGCAGCTGTTCTATTTTCGGAGATGACAGTGGATGAAGTGGTGCTATCCGTGGCAGCTGCAGGTGAAGACACTAGTGCTCCCGCCGTGCCTGTGCTATTTGTTTTCTTTTTCATTCTAGCTACCTTCTTGTTTCTAGCTGTTGAATTGCTGCTTGGAGGTGGGGAATAATCGGGTTTTGTTTTGGTCTCTTCTCCTAATGCTGTCGGTATCGACGACGGCGGGAATAATTGAGTGGAAGGAGCCACGTTGTCGTCGACAACAGCAGTTGGCGGGCTGGTTGCAGATGATGACGTTGCTGGTGGTGCTGCAGCAGCTGCTGGTGGTGCGTTTGTCGTTGAAGAAGAAGATGATGCTGGTGGTGTAGTTGCTGGTGGTGCGGATGAAGAGGAGCTGCTTGTCGAAGAAGAAGAAGAAGAAGTTAGTGACACAGCATCGTTTGGTTCTCTTGATGACTTTGAAAGGAGACTACTGCCTCCTACGACTGGAGGTTTTTCTTCTGCCTTAACGTTCTTGGCCTGCTTGGAAGCTTCGTTCTTCTCCGTAAATGCGTCTAAATCTAAGACTATGCTTGACGCATCTACACGTTTGTCTCTCCCACTGGATGAACTGGATGTCATAGATGAAGTTTTCTTGCTTGATCCGCCTTCTCCAGACCCGGCGCCAGAAGATCCAGATCCATCACTCGTACCAAGTAGTGGAGCATTCTCTTCGAATTTTTCGATGTTTGCGAATTCTTCGTCTGAGACTTCGTCGCGGGGAGCCCGTTGTAGATGGAAAACGTGTAACAGAATGGCGTCGTGGGTTTTAGAAAGAAAGTCCTCGGGTGATGTGGTAGTCTTGTGTAGTACAGCATGATGAACGATGTAGCATGATGAACGTGGCGTCATTCATCATCACCTACTCAATGGTGTTCTTCTTGTTCTCTACTTCTAGCTTCTACAACTTGTAGTTCTTCAAGCTACACATGATCCAAATCCAAATCATTTTGTTGTGCTGATCCAAAATTTTCCATAATTCCAGAGTTTGGAAGGGAGATGTGATCTGCGAAAAACCGTTCGCCGTGGCAAAACCGGAACGCAAGAATGACGAGAAGGATCCACATCTTTGAACTTCGATTTATTGGAATGAATCAATGACTATGAATACAACAACTCGTTATCAACTGGGGCATTGGCATACTTCATCCACAAATCATTCTCCGTGCTCTTGGTGGGGCTGTTTTTGAAAAAGATTAGGGTTGTACCAATTAGGGTACACGGGTGCTTCATGACGCTCAGACAGATACTGCGGTCCTTCTCATTTCCATCCTATGCTCCGTCAAACTAAGGAAATCATTGCTCTCTATGCCCTCTCGACTCTGTTGATAATGTCGCGCTTCCAGCCACAGCTTTTTCTTAATCAACATACGTATCGGATAGACATAGAAGAAGTAGTCCATAAAATAAATAGTAAATCCTTCTGCGTCCAGCGAACAAGGTGTACCAGCGTCCAGAGGTGCGTGCGTTCGTTCGCCTCGTGCAGGTGTTGATTTACGGCTGCAATTTGCGGTAGCCAACATGACCAAACGCAAGCTAAAAACCTCAACTTTTTCCTTTGTTTTTAAGAGCGGTTCATCAGTAATGCAACGACCTCATCAGCATCATCACCGTGTTCCATATAGTACTACAAGCCTATAGGCAACGACCTTACTTTTATTAAGGACTCCTTCAACGGAGCACTCGTTCCTCACCTCAGCCCTCTGGGTTAAATACCTCGGAGTTAGTTTCAAAGGATGAATAATGATAGATAAAGAAGGTAATATCACACATTTAAAGAAAGCGGGGTTTTGCAGATACGAGATTGATTTTGATAATGTGATCAAATGTAAAATAAGACGATAACATGAGGAATCGCAACAACTTGAAAAATTTCTGTTTGTGCTGAACGAAGGAGCCATCCTTCTAGTTCTACTTCTGTACTGATGATCATGCCTGTTAGCACGGCGTCGATGGTTACTAGTTACCGTTGACGCCCATGAAAATGTTGACTTTCTACTTCGTAGATGATGAAAGTGAAACAAATTTTTTGTTTGTTTGTTTGTTTGTTTTGATGCGCTCCGGGCGACGCGTACGATCCCGCCGGATTTTTTTGTGCTCTGTGTGTGTTGTGCTATGGTCGTCATTGCGGTCGACTATGGTATGTCTGGCCGCCACAGTCCCCGCCAGCTGCGGCTTTTGTGGCATGTCGGGCGCGGTGTGCTCAGAAAAAAAAATCCCCTTGTGATATTATTTGTGTTCTTGAATATTTAGCGTTTTCTAGTATCGCATCCGAAAATCTGTAGCTTCAAGCCTTGCTTGGTAAGTTTCTAGGTTCGGTAAAAAAATATATTTGTTTTATTTAAGTCTTTGATTAGAACTACAATAATGAAGATAGAACTACTTACCCTCTTATTCCCCCACTTGCCTCCAAATCAACATCTACTATTGCCCTCATGAGGATATCCTCAATCACATCTACTATTCTTCAGGTTCAGGTTCAGGTACGAAGCTCTCGTGTTGCGATGAGTGGTCCTCAGGACGAGGAGGTTGTAGGAAGCTCTCGTCAGTAGATGAAGATTTTTCGTCTGTGGCCATCGAATTTTTTACTTCAACAAGTAGGTTTATTTCTGCACTTGTTGTACCTAGTACTGCCAACATCCGTTTCCGTACCCTTTGTGGTATAACAAAAAATCATTTGTAGCAAGCACCACATCACTGGGCCCCCACATGCTCATAAAGAACAAGAATAGGACGCAGACTAAACGCAATCTGCTGGTGGCGTATCTGGGAAGTACGACAGGATAGATTGAACTCCGTTTTAAATTGGCCACCGTTCCGCCGTCCTATAAGACTTTCTGACCGTCTCGGATTTCAACATAGGCGCATCGGATTGATACCTACTACAGGGGTCCTTGTAAGTACGCACTCTCAATCGGTATGGTCTGCGTGCTCCTTGGAAAATAACGCTCCAGAATGTCAAAGGTGCAAGCAGCTCTTCACGCGATCCACGAAAATAACGCTCCAGAATGTCAAAGATGCAAAAAGAACCGCTTGTCTGAAGCAGTATGGGACCAACCCACTCAACAAAGACAGGATCATGCTGCTACTCGTGGATCATGGTCGGGAAGACACGGCATGTGAGAAGGCTAGCTGCCTCTTCCTTAGCAACATGCCTCAGGCCGTATTTAGCATACCGGACTGCTTCTGTAACGCTCGTCCATGTTGTTGTACTAGAAGAAGAGACTATTCGTCCTTGCTTGGTTCTTGGTGCGTCTGGCAAGAAGAGGTAAAAAAGGGCAACGTCCTGTTCTAACGTCCTGTTCTGTCAAAGAAGGTCATATACGAGTGGTCTACCTCTGCTCTCGGAGATCTTTTCATCCTTGTTCTCTGAGGTACACAAAAGCCATTCTTCACAATCAAAGTGTACCTCAAAGAACGGCATGTGATAGTGAGTCAAAAAAGTCTTCAGGTTCCTCTCGTCTCTTGACTGACAATGCAAGAAAGATGGTCCCTCATTTCATTGTTCTGCGGCATCGTACTAGGAGAGCCGATCGCCCATTCTTTCTAGTTGTAGCCTTTCTCTCCTCTCCCACTGCCCCTTGATGCAGTAATGTGTGTGGACTAGACGGTGATTTTTTTTTAATCAGGGTGGACTAGACGGTGATTAATCAAAAACTAAGTAGTAACCCTCCGCTAGGAAAATATGGAATCTTAGAAGCGATCCCACGGGAAATCAGAGGGAAGAGGAAAAGAAAGGCATGGAGGGGGACAGAGTCGACCGATACAGAGGAGCGTGGTCAGGGTGGCGGGCATGAGCTCCACCTGCGCCTCCGCACTCCCACCTAGAGTCCAGAGTCAATTTATCCAATTCCGGCTCTGTTGAGAAAAGGGTGCAATCACAATCAGTCTAAGAAGATACAGCAACGATGAAATAATAGACCTCCTACTGCTGGCATTGATTGATTGATTGATTGATTGATGTACCCATTCACGGGGTTTAGCCTCTTTAATTATGAGTGCATGTTTTTTACTTCCTTCCTTAGAACGCTTGTAATTGATTCAATGTTTCTGCTTCGATTTGCATCAATTTGTCCAATTCGGGCTCTGAGAAAAGGGTGTAATCCACGTAATCGGAATAGTCAATCGTCGGGACTTGCGATCTGTTGGGTAACACCTGGGACCATACAACATCGGCAGGACTTGCCCGTAGTTTGGCCTTGTCGTACTAGGTTAGAAGAGGAGCAGGTGGGATCATCAAAGGTCAATTTGGGTTGTTCGATGTTATTGTTATAAGGGCTAGTTTGTTCCGATGCAGTAGTTCTCGTCAATGTGGTGATTTCGAAAAAAGGATCCTAGAAAAAAAGCGGTGGGATAGAAGGTCAATTGGATTCGATGTTATTGTTATTACATGATCTTCTAGGATGTGGTAGAAGTACTACAGTTTTAGTTTAAGAAATGTACTTTCGTACTTAGATGAACCATCATAACACGACACTGCTCTTGGTTCGTCCTCCCATGAAAGATGGTCCTCTATCTCCTCGTGATTCTGTTCTGTTCCTCACTGCAGAAGGTGAACTGGCAGCTGAGCTTTGCAGAGGTGATGTTGAGCCTCCTGTTCTTGTCGATGGCGTGGCTCTTGACGCCGTTGTTGACTTGTCATCTTCACTTGATTTTCTTCTTGCCGCCAATTGCGCCATGGTCGTTGAGGTGTGCTTGATATTATTCCGAAACAAGCTTTTCTCATAGGCGATCATGAGAAGCATGGCAAAGGGAGTGGGCCACACAGATCGGCGAGCTCTGTACACGAGGTCGAAAGCTTCGAGGAGAGTGAGACATCGATAACGCATGAGGAAGCAAATGACGACCACGGGAGCTTGGAGACCGCCTGTAGGGCAAATGACAGCGGCTTTTTGCACCTGGGAGAATTTTTAGAAAGGGTAAGATTTTTCATCGTTGTAGTACACCAAAGGATTGAAGATCCAAATACGGTTAGGGTCGTGCTGCATGATCATGTATCAATTGTAACTACTACGTTCATCTTCATCAATCATGTAAAAAGACATATTACGAATCTTATTTAATCAAGATGAAAAAACAACAAAAAAGATAAATAGTGCCTCTTCCCGACATGCTGCACAGTCTCCGATTTTTTGCTTGAGCCAGAACAAGCAATCCTCCAGTGACCGCATAGTTTGCTCCAAATACTGCAAGCCGTGGACTGTGATTTTCACTCCTGGCGTTCCATCTTTAGAGCTTCCCCCAATTCATCCCGGTGGGGATCCCGCAGGCGTATGCGTTACTATCTCCATTGTATTGGGAGCCATACGGCTGCGAGACCTCCAGGGAGATGGACTAGGGGAAGCCTTAACATCTACCAACATCACAGGTCGACTATCATCCGTCTCTGATGACGCGCTTTCGTCCAGCGAACTGCCACGATCGCGATTTCCCTTCTCCGTCTTCTGTAGTCGGATGACATTGGCTGGAGTTTCTGGCGACTTTACCTTGAGAAGCATCGGGTCTACGACGTTCCCTTCTGTTAGAAGAGGGTACTACAATAATTCATTTCCTAAGTTGTACTTACACTTAGCCCATCTTCTCAGAATTCAGAGTGGGAAACGGTTCAAAGGAGGCGAAAACTGGCCTTAATTGTGCTGTTTCTGGTGATCTTGGAGCTGGCGCAAACTCTGCACTGTTCCTGTTCATGTAGGGCGTGCTTGTGCCAAAACTATGCGTCCACTCCGTCATTTTTGCGTTGTAATTAAGGTTGAAAACACCTGGTGTTGAGTTGTCAGTCAGATTTCGAATTCGAATGTTGAAAGGAAATCTAATTTAAATCTAAAACTTGTTTCGAATTGATGGTTCCTGAACACTTCTAGACGGAAGAAGAAGAAGAAAAACGATCATCATCATGATGTTTCGAATCAATGAAAACCCTTGTTCCCCGCTTTTGATTATTCCTAGAAGTCAAAGTTTAAATCATACCATGATCTACTCCCTTTTCTGCTTTCGAGAAGGATTCTTCTTCCTCTTGTCTTTCTCTTCCAGATGACTCACTTGGAGATGATGCATTCCCAACACCCCTAAAATCAGCATCGTCCTCGTCCGGTGCTCCAGGTAAGACGTCTATTAGAGCTGCTCACCCTTATCCTCCATCTTGAGACGACGCAACATCTTGGGCGGGCACTGCTCCTTTCTCCTATTCGAAAACTCAAAATAAGCGAGCTACTGACTGAAATAAGAGAGGCTTGACTACATTCCTCTTCTTTCAGTATGATCTCCCTTATTTTCAATAGTTACAACTCGGTTATTTCAGTTTTTCGAATACTTGCGGAACAGCTTCAAGATGCTTCCGATGATGGATCAGGTGAAGAACCCTTAAGTCTAGGCCTTGCATGCTGACGTCTCGCATTCTGTAGAATTCGATCACTTCTCCATCATTCTTCCCAGGTCCATGCATGTGTTTCGAAGGACCTTTTCTACTAGCTGCGCCGGGGTGAAGATTGTCGTGCAGGGAGTTAGAGATTGACGAGAAAAGTGAAATTTTTGGAGGAAAGTGAAAGAGAAAGAAGTATATAAGAATATCTGTTCTTGTACTTAAGTAAAAAATGATCTAAAAATCTAGTACTGTAGTTCACCCCGTGCAGCTCCTAACACGGATCTATTAATTGATAGATTTTGACTTACATTATTTGTCACGAAAACTCTCGCTCCTGTTTGTGCAGTAGTCTTTATCGTGCCATAACATTATTCTCAGTATTCTGGACTATTTGCTTGACGCCCGGTGCCGCGATGAGATTGCGACCCACTGTGACTGGACCTTCATTCTCGTTGCCACCTTTTCTTTTTGAGCCGATAGTACCCGTCGTTGGGGAGGTAGGTTGTACTGCTGCAGCTTGCGTCTTCTTGTTCTTATAGGTCATAGTAATATCGACTTCCTTGTCCTCCGCACCGTCCATAGCGAGGATAGCCGTTTCCCCTTTATGAGAAGTACCCGAAGGTGACCTCCCAGTGGCTAAAACCTCTGCCGCTAGCTTAGTCGGGACTGGACTTTTCGAGTTAGAAGCGTCGAGAGTAATCGAATACAAGCACACTATGTATACGTAGATCTTGAGTCAGTACTGCACCCAGAATCAAGGAAGTCAAGGACAAAAAAACCTTATGAGAAGTACTCGAAGCGTCTAGAAAACCTAAATTGAATAATGAGGAACAATATACACCATGATGATCAACATTGAGATTGGTGTTTTTGTTTACGATAGATACCTGCACATGAAATGAGAAACGCAAATAGGTATCATAGTCGTTGGACTCTCCTGTTCATCGACATCCTCGCTACCAGATGAGTGGCCTTCTGGCTCTTTGCCCTTTCTTGATGGCGAAGCCTTGATTTCTGGCACGTAGTTCACGGAGGACGCCATTCCAGCTTTTTTTGCTGCGTCTAGAATATTGTTCACCACTACTGGTGGACAGCCGACGAGGATTAGAAGAGTGGGCGTAGCCGAAGGTGGTGCATTAAGTTCGGGACTTTGACAAAGAATATACTTATAGGTGGAACATAATTACCGCCCACGTGCCCCCGGGTTGTACACACGCCGGGGCAGGGCGGAAGGGTCTTCCAAATGCTTTATAACATTATAGATAATTATAGATACTAGTATAATAGGACAACACAATCATAAGACTAGAACAAAAACAAACAAGGTTCTTCATCAACACATATCTCATCCGGATCGTTTCTACAAATCCGAAAAACCGGAAGCAAACCAAAAAAGTAAGAATAAGAAACGATCTTCATAAGATGACAATCGCCGTTGGGTTGTAGACGTGGAAGAGATCTTTTGCGCCGCGACAATCGGTGATGGTATTAGCCCTTACTTGTATCCATCTTGAAAAGCATCTTTGGCGTGCATTCCCCTGTAAAAATAAAGGGCCAAAGTAGTAAGATGCTTCTTAAGATGAATCACTGTGAGCCTTAATGGTAAGTCCCTCGAAGACCTCCGACAGCGCACATCTATCCTCGTCCGTCCCCGCATCGGGATAGTAGGGTGGCCGCGAGGACGCCCTCGAAGCCTGTTGTGGGGCCTTTTGTGAGTCACCGCCTAAACCACCTACGGCCATAATTTTTTATTTTTCTGATAGATGCTGAGATCCTCGATAGATGTTGAGTATTCATAATGAGAGAGAGAGAGAGAGAAGACAAACAAATTCGATCAAGAAGATTTCAAATAATTGAAAGATATGTTTCGATCGTCTTCGTCGTTGTAGTAATCATGATAGGCGAGAAAATATTCTTTCACCGCCAACAACCTTAGGCCATTTTTTGCTATGTTTGCATCTGAGAACTATTTTTCCTTCTTTCATCATCTTCAACTCTTCAGGAACGACAATCTGGAAATAAAAGTGTTGCTGGAAATAAAAGTGATACTGAGTGATGCTGATACTTAGTAAATCTTGGACTAATCATTCAAGTCTTGTTGAAACTGTAAAAAGAAGTGACTCCCTAACCCTATAGCACTACACATCTTTACAGAGATTCTTTCACCGTGAACAACGTAAACGTTAGGCTGCAACAACTTATAAAGAGCAGGTAATGATGATTTCAATACCACAAAAGTTGTCATCTGTGCAAGCAACACCGAAACCTGCACCAGATGAAATTTTCAAGTGTAGTAAGTAAATCAGGGAATTACAACAAACTCATGGGAAACTAGACATTCTTGTTCTGAAGGTAGAAGAAGCTCACGTTGTTCCTTTTTCATCCTCCGCACTTACTAAGATGCGAAAAAAACAACTTTCTATCTCATGACTTGTACTGAAAAAACGCGGAAGTAGATAGAAATGCCTTCGTGCTGAACAAGGTGTATATCACTTGCTTGCATCAAAGCCAAAAAAAAAACGATGCACGGAGTGTTTCGAGGGAAAAGGAAAGTAGCAACACACAGAGACAGGTCAGTAGAGTTTGTTCTCTCAGGAACTCATCGTATATCAACTTGAACTTGTTGTTCATGACATATTAATATTTATAAGCAAGTAGAAGAAGTGCAACTGACATTCGGGTTTTTCTTTTCGCACTCGTTGTTCTTTCAACTCCTCGACTCGTCTGAACTCATCGTGCAATGCGCTTTCTTCAAAGAACACAGACACACTGATTGATAACCACGACTATCACGACGCGCATGTCCTCTTTTTGATTTTCTGTTTCTAATGAAATCCATTTTCATCAACATGAAGTGTTGCTTACGCTCATTTTTTTCAGAGTCAGATTATGTGCTCGTCCTGTCAAAGATTTATATGGCATTCCTCATGATGTCATGTGTGTGCAACTCCTGTCATGCATCTCTTAACTACAGGTAGAAGATGATCATTGTAATGCATAGAATCAGAAAAAGCAACCTAGGCCTAGCATCTTTGCGTACGCGAAATTAATAGGGTCAGCACTCACTGGTCACTTCTAAGCAGATTGCTACACGTTGTCCGGTTACTATTTGTATGTTGAAGACGAAAACCGTAACAAGACAACTAAGAGCGGTAAAGCTGCTGCCTTAACAAGAGCGAAAACGAAGAAAGATTCGAGAGTGAAAACCCGTATTGCCCGATCGATCCTCGGTTGCGACGAATTCCGAGAGAATAACATCAAGACGGAAGTCGCAACCCTGCATACTCAGTTGCGCGGACAGACATTTTTTGAAACATCAACTCATGCCCAGTAGCTGGTAAGCGTGAGAAGAGAGTCGAGAAAAGCGAGCATGAGTTTATTGTTCTAAGTTTAGTTTGAGTCTCCTCTCAACGGAGGAAGCACGCCCAATAGTTGAACATCTTCCTCAAGGTAGAGCTGCGAATGCCGAAGCATAGCTGCCCCTCTTGTTCGGGTTAGCTTCGACCATCCGCATAAGACTTGATGATGCACCAGTAGCAGGCGGCTCTGCTAGACGAGAGCCGGTGAGATCCTCCAAGTCTGTTTCCACCTCAACTTCACGGGCGCTTGCTCTTGGCATCTCGTCAGGCTGCTCTTGTTGCAACAAACTGCGTCTGACGTCGTCAGAGGTGGCGCTGCGGTTATCGTCTTCAGCAGCTTGACGCAGCTTGACGCCATTGGAAAGCCACCAATTGCCGCTACTGGGTCCTAGCTTCATCTGTCCGGGAGCAGGGGCGTCCTTTGTATTAGAAGAGGACTCCAGAGGTCGTGACATATGGTGCCAACCTACAGTTTGAAGATGATCGAAAATGCATTTTTGTGAATTTAAAGCGAGTGAGTGTGAGTGATGTGAAAACATCCTACGTTTTTAGTACAACTAGGACTACGAGACTTTTGGCTTAATATTGCTTCCCCGAGGGCTCAGCGCGTTCTTTACGTGGTCCTGGATGTCCATTGGTTTCGCACCTAGTAAAGACACGACTCTCGTCTGCACCGACAAAGGTCCTGCTAATCCTTGCTGCTGTTCAACAAATAAGTGTCCTCCTGCTAGTCCTTGGTTACCACCCCCCACACGACCAGCCATCGAAGATGCTCTTTTTGCTTCCATCTCAGATCGATGTCTTCTAGATCGTCCCATCGACGAGCTAGAGTTTCTAGAGACTGCCGCGTTCACGTGATCTTCATCCGGCAGTTGTGGTTGAAGGTGAGGATGGAGCAGCTCCGGAGGAGCGAAACTAAATCCCGCCTGCTGAAGAACTTGATGTTGTTGTTGTCCTTGCTGCTGCATGACGGGAGTTGTCATACCAGCACCAGTACCGGAAAATCTTGGACCTATTGCCGGAGTGCCACCTAAGCTAGGTCGCTGTATCAAACTAGTTCTCGTGATAAAACCATCGGATTCGCCTCGAGGAGTCAATGAGAGGCTACCTCTTGTCAGGCTTGTCCTCGCAACCCCCTCTGGCGGCGTCAACAAACTAGCTCGTTGCCCGCTAAGTAAAAGCAGAGGTGCTGTCGTTGCAGCTAGAGACGCTTCTACTACTGTCCCTTCAAGGCCAACCACTGGAAGTGGTGCTAGTTGATCGCCTCCCGGTGCTCCTGATACAGTGCCAGACAAACTATCTTGCCCGGAAGTCTTTTTCTCGTCTTTTGCACCGCCAGCGCCACCCAAACCAAATAGCCTTGCAAGAAAACTAGGTCTGTTTTTCGCTGCCGCAGCTTCCTGTTCCACCGTTTGTTTCGAGATGCTAACTCTAATCGCTTCATCAAAGGGCTTGTGGACTGCTGGGCCATGACCATGTTCATCTTTATTAGACCCAAGAGAAATCCATCTTGAAACGCATCTTAGAACCTTTTTCCCCTTGAAAACGGTCTGAGGATGCACGTGAAGATGGATTTCTTGTAGCCTTAACTTTAGGATGGTCAGACTCTTCTCCGCCTACTCGATCCACCACGTGATCTTGGGCACTTCTACTCCCAAACAAAGTGGCCATAGTAGACGTTGCTTCTTGTTCTCCTTCAGCGACCCTCTTGGATAGTGTTTTGTGCAATTTCAGAGGATGTGGGACAGCATGTTGGAAGTTGTCGATTGTTACTGAAGAGCTTGGCATCGCGGGAGAAGCGTTGGTGACGAAATAAGCGACTGGATCGAACTCGTCGATGTTGCCACGGGAAGCGCCTAATGCTGTAAGATCATGAAGAGGCTTGCAGATTTTTGCAGAGTATAAAAATGATGTACTTAAATCAATGCATCATCTTAAATAAGAATGAACAACAACGAGCTAAGTCTGAACCTACCTAGTACACCTGAAGAAAATTTGAAACAAAATAATGAGTCATAAAAATAATTGATCCTAATCAAGTTTTATCCCGTTCTTCGAAATGAACCAGGAAAGCTAGGGACTTACCACTCCTCCTGCTCACTCTTGGCGGCGACGTGCCATTCCCACAGCACGTAGATTGCACACCACAACATCCCAGCCATCCCTGCTCTTGTTCCTTTCGCTTTCTCGCTGAACGTTTTGACCTAGAGTCTCGGATTTGTATCTCTTTGACAGGTGAGTCCTCTGTGCCAGCGCCATCGTTTTCGGATGTGTCATACGTGAAGGACAAGCGAGTGTTTGTGAGCGAGAATTAGCGAAATGTTGGGATTTTTGAAGTAGTAGACCTTACCTGTAAGGATAAGAGATCAGAGATGACGCGGCAGCGTAGGCGTACTACTTTGTATGGTTCTGGTATTTGGTAACCTGAGTTGGATCCTAAGGGTTCTCTTCTTGTTTTCCCTTATGATCAAATTCAGGTTACCAAATACCGGAACCATTCATACTTGTAGTAACTAAAAAAACGTAGGCGTACTACCTGTAGTAACTAAAAAAACATCATAAGAAAGAGGTTAATGCATTATCATTGTTATTGTACACCACCTCCACCTGAGCGGGCCTGTTGTAAGGTATTAATAGTTTCAAAAGTATTTTTGTTCTCGTCATAAGACAAGTCGCTTGCAGCATGTCTGTCCAAGTACCGGTCTGCTTTTCGGAGATACGAGTCGCTGTTTCGGATTATGACTGGTGTCGTAGGTTGGTCTATGCCATCGGCTTTTTGTTGACGCCGTCTGATGCGGGACTTTTCTCGGTAATAGGATCTCAGCCTCGGGTCATTTGCATCCACATCCTGACATCCAGCACACGAAGTAGAGTTGCCCATGGTGTTCTCTGATCGATGTTTTCTTGGAAAAACGGATTTGAATTTCTTAGTTCGTCGGTTAGGGTTTAGGGTTTAGGGATTCTATGTTTCTCTATGTACAACTTGAAGATGAACTACACGTACTTAAAGATCTGCAAGGTGGTGTATCCAGGTACTTACACGTTCCGGCTACTTACACGTAACACCTCATGATCAACATCCTCAACAAGAATATGCACAATAGTACGCTGCAGCTGTGGGAATTGTAAGTAGATTGATTAGGCGGGGATAAAGATAAACACAAGAAGATGAAAACCTGGTGATAGATTTTAGTTGGAAATCAACATGATAGAGATGAGATGGACCAAGAGAGACGAACGTACTGTTGATATTCTTTTTACAACAACAAACAATCCACATGATAGAAAATTATTTGGATGATGAAGACGAAGAGGCAACATTTGCACATAAGTAAGTAGATAGCGTGTCGTGTTCGTGTCTCGCATTCTCTGACAGATTTTTGTAGAGCCGCTGCCTCTCACTCAGACGACAGATTCATCTGTATCCTCAACATCAGTCACTCAGTTCGATCCAACTCACCACGCAAGCACCACAGAGAGGTTCCCTTTCACTGCTGCTGCTCTCACAGATATTTTTATAAGACAGTACGTAGTGATAGTCACAGCAGCATGCTCTTCGCGCTCTTCCTCAACTAAACAGATAGTAGCACAGTAGATAGGAGGACAGAAATCAGTTTTTTTTGAGCCTGTGCTGATGATTTTGATGACCTTTTCTATTTGCAACTTAAGTAGGCAGCCGCAGCAGATCGAGTAGCGACCGATGTCGGGAGACACCTCGCCAGCCGCTACTTGAGCACCTCCTGTTGCAAGATATTCACTAGCCTCGACTAAAGCATGCAGAGAAGCAAAATGGTCATCCGGTTCACGTCAACCAAATTTTGATACAACTTCCACGACAGACACAGGTATTATCTTTCGATCTGCTGAAGGTAAGCGAGACAATAAAAAAAAATGTTGTTCTTGTTCCAAACATGTCGTGTATCACGTTCGGAACCCAAACTAAATGCTAGTATGACCTAGTACGTTGAAGAAATCACAAACAAAAAAAAGCGAAACAGGAAAATTCAAGGTGGAAGATGATGCTTTCTTCAGTTGATTGAAGAAAGCCTGGTGGTGGATTTGTCGTCCGATTCGCGATACCACAGTGGCAGCCTCGATCTCGACCCTCGATAGGCCTCAGACGCGTTGGGAGGCATCACCTCTCGAGGCGAGCGTTCATCTACTTGTTGTATGCTTGTCAACTTGTCTCGTAGGTCGATAGGCACAAGGATGAAGCACTACTTTCTATAAACAAATATATCACAAATGCAGAAAAAATAACGTCGAAGTCTGTCTCAAGATGATAGTACAAAAAGAACGATTAAATCCATCATCCCTCAACAACATCTCCGCTGCATGATCCCTTATTAAGAGTACTATGTTCGATAGAGGCTGCGGTGCCGTCATGCTCATGACTGTCCAAGTGGGACTTGTGGGACTCGTAGAGCCGCCGGCTCTTGGTCCCAGGAGTCCGCGAAGCGGCACCAGGTGACCGTTCTGCTGGCGCGGCCGCGGTTGGTTCTGGAGGATGCGGAACTAATCTCGACGCATAGACCGCAGCACCCTGGAGGCCCACATCGCCGTTCAGGACTAAGTAGACCGGGATGTTTCGGACGAGGCCAGACATACGGCCTTCCGGTTAGAGGGGTTCTTCTCGTCATTGTGTATGGTTCTGGTATTTGGTAACCTGAGTTTGATCCTAAGGGTTCTCTTCTTGTTTTCCCTTAGGATCAAACTCAGGCTATACCAAAAATACCAGAACCATTCAATCAGAAGGCTCTCGTCATGAAGCTGCAGTGAGGCAAACTACAAAACAACGACTTCTTGTTCTTCAACGCATATACCATAACATACTTGTGGTGGAGCCAACCTACCTAGGAAAGATAGAAAAAAGGAAGAGGTATATATAACAGGACTAGCAAAAAATTGGCCATCTAGTATAGGATCCGTTTATTCCAGGCGCCGTCGGTCGTCCAACTGCCCTGGAGGTCCCTGCTTTTGCATATACCATATAGATTTTTCTAGTTCTATCACTATCTGCCATCTTCTTCTAGTTCTATCATTATCTTCTGCCATAATTATCTCTGAACTTGTCGATAAATCGTCCGTCACTCATCTCCTTGGCGATGCGGGGACCGATCCCTCCAAGGATGAAAAGACCCTGCTTAGGCAATACGCCGAGTGCCCAGTTGCCGGCTAGAGCTCCGTAGACCTGTTCTTGTCGTGTTGAGTGGTTGCAGGGTGGGTACAACTAGTACTAGATGAAGTAGTTCTTGAAGATGAGAGACTACACATACTCAGATGTGATTGTAGTCGTTGAAGTAGAGTGAAAGCGGCAAAATTATATATAAAATCGGTGGAGCACACGACCTAACTAGGAAGCAAAATTATATATAAAGCAAAACTTCTACAACAAACTCACTACGTACAAACTAGTACAAGTACTCGCCGAGAGACATTCAAAATCGAAGTACTTAAGTACCTTGATAAAAATATCCATCGTCCTTAGGCACATAGGATCTTTTTCCTGGACGTATTTGAAGATCAATGCAGGCTTATCCACCTCCCGAACTCTACAAAGCTCTCTTCGGAGTTGCGGGTTCTCAGGTGAGTTGTACAAAGGATTTTCTTTGCAGTAGCTATAAATGTTGACGATCCCTGGTCCGCAACAAATGCGTTCGGCTGAGACGGACCATTAGAGATGATCTCAACTACATCGTGATACTTCTAGAAGATTATTATTATTGTTATTTAGACATATGTTGGAACCGAGATGACTCGTTCACTTTTTATAAAGCTCTGCTGTTGTATCGCTGATCTCCCTGCGGGCCTCTGTGTTTTATCCAGCAGTTACAAACAGCCAACAAAGCGCTTGGGTTACTGCTTCCACACTCAATTTTCACGGGTGAAGAAGATCTCAACTACATCGTGATACTCGAAGATTTGCATACTCATACTCGTACTTCTCCCTCATACTCGTCCATAACGATGCAGTTTCCTTCGCAAATGATGAAACAAACCTAGCTGCTCATCGTCTACTGGGGCAAAGTCCATGTGCCCACCCTCAGAGGGGAAGACAGACGTCGTGTGTCCGGTGAGGGGACAGCGGGTGACGATGCGACCGTTAGAGTTTGAAAGCGAGGACGAGCTGATGTGTACTAGTGCTGCTGGAGCAAGATGAAACAGTAAAAGATGATGAGCTAAGCGAACAAAATAAATGAAGATTGATATTGAGCCTTTAGTTATTTTGACTTTCAACACTCGAACCATACCATATCCCAACCCGGTCCCTGCTCCTATTGTCGCTATTGGTGTCGACATCCGTTCCTCGTCCGAGATCGTCTCCAAAGGTTCCTGTGTTAAAGCTCAGCACTCAGTGGCCACTGACTCTGAACGCAAGAGACGCCCTTCAAAGCTCTCCCCTTTCTTCCCTTCGTTTATAATTTCCCCTGTTGGTTCTCTCCAGAAGCAAGGGGTCGCCTCTTCGATCTCAGTGACTCCAATCTAAATGGTGACCATTGAAAGGTGAGCCTTAACTGTAGGCACAGAACATCCGGATGCTGTTGCAAGACTCTTTCCAAGGTAGGTGGCGAGCTGCTAGTCTTGTCGATCTTGATTTCGAGGGTCTCGATTCCGGGAAGATGAAAGGCTCAAGGTTCAAGGTTAAAGGAATATGTAAGGTTCAAGGTTAAAGAAATATGTCAGGTTCAAGGTTAAAGTTCCGCGGCTCTACGGCCAAGCCGTGCCGTCCGGGACGAAACAGGCTCGAGTACGACGAATCACAATACGATGTGGTAATGTTGTTTTCATCCTGCTTCGTAAACCACGGCCACCTATTTTTAGTCACGACACTTTAAAAACAACTTGCTCAACAAACAAGGTCTATAATTAATTGAACCAAGAGGACAAAAAAACCGCAACAACATAATATCCATTCGCCACGAAGTCGTTTATGAGCTTGACTCGGGATACATCTAGCCCCAGACCTCTTGCGAGGTCTCTCTCGTGTATCCCCCATGGCAAATTTGTAAACTCCACCTCTCCCGCAACCACAGGCCCTGCTACAGCTATACAACAGGCTTCGATTTTGCCTTGTTAGAAGAAGAGGCTGATGATGTGAAAGTGAAGCGCAAGCTTTTGTTGTTCTACTTTCAGCTACCTTGTGGTGGAGTAGATTGAGTTCTACTTTCAGCTACTTTGTGGTGGAGTAGATTGAGTTCTACTTTCAGCTACTTTGTGTTGTTCTAAGTACTTTAATATTGTGTGTGTGGTGGAGTAGACTGACCTAAGTAGAAAAAAGAAAGACCAGAGGAAGATGGAAAAGAGAATAGGTAGTTCTACTCTATTTTGTGGTGGAGCCGACCTAACTAGGTTCTACTCTATTTGTGAAATTTCTAATGTGCACTGATCCACTTTTACGCTCTCAGCGGCCATAATGTTTCTTCTTATCCAACCCTGACTCCTGCAAGAAGAGGTCGATGATTTCTTCCAGACCGTTATAGTCAGCGGCTTTATATCGTTGAGTATGCAGGACTTTCACGGTGTTCTTATATTAAAGCTCAGCATTCAAGGGTCACTGACTCTGAACGAAAGGGACCCCTTTCAAAGCTCTCCCCTTTCCCTTCGTTTTCCCCTGTTCTCTCAAGGGGTCGCCTCTTCGATCTCAGTGACCAACCCCAATGACCATTGAAAGTTGAGCCTTAATTATAATTTGATCTATATATAGAACTCGATGCGCTTCCGCAGTCGGACGCCTGCATACTTCTCGGAGTGTCATCCACATGTTGGCCGTGAACGTCTTCTGTTGTATATGAACAACGAAGGTATAGTTATGTTGATTATACTCAAGAAACTTATAGTAGATTTGGACAGAAATATAAAGCTGTCATCAAAATCTGTAAACAGTAGCGTACTTGTTCCGAAAAGGTCGGCTGCATGAGGATTGTGTTCCGTCAGCTGCAGCCGCGTATTCGTCCCGCCGACATCACCTGCTAGGATGATCATGTTGTTAAATACACCTCACGACCACGAGGGTTTACAAGAGACCCACTTAAACAACATCAATGAAGATGAAAAACAAATACTTTCTTCTTTCTATTACACCAGCATATGACTACTACTACTGTGTTTGAAGGGACTAACCTAGGATGATTACCACTGCTACAAAAAAAACGGACGACTTATTTTCCACCAGAAGTGCCGCCTTTTCTGCAGGTGGAGCACAACAAAAGGACTTCATTCATTTTTGCAAATAAGCACTCGCTTCTGTTCCTGCAGCGTCACTCACTTCCTTTTAGGGTGAGGACTACTCCTCTGGCCACTAATCGTAATTACAATTGCTTCTCTCAATAACAGGACAAGTAGGCTAATCCCGACTCGTACAGAAAAGCGTCTTCGATCTTCTCCTAACCTGCTCAAGATGAAGAGGTACAGGGGGAACAGTAACAGCTACAATATTCGCCCACACGACCGTCGAGATGATGGAGTGGCGATCTTCGCTATCTTTCATGATTTTACATACCCAATCAAGATTTATAGTGGTGGAGCCAACCTAACTAAGAAGGGTAAAAGATCAATAGCATGCATGAAGATATAAAAACAACAATTAGTATAAAAGTCTTCTAGTGGCCATGCTTATGAGGATCCTTTTATTCTAGGCGCCGCGTGTCGTCCGTCTGCCCTGCAGGTCTTCTCATCAAAGGCGGCCGAGGCCTGTGCATGCCTCAGAGAAGTGCTCGGCCCTCGCGCTATGTGCACCCACTAGGTCACTCCAGGGTACCGGTTCACCAAACTAGTGCACAGCGCGAGAAGTAGGACTTTTATAGGAACCCGTTTAGCTAAAGCTACTCTTTATTGTGGTCGTTTTATATGCTCTAGCCGGGCCCAGCTTTTATCATTGTCATCATAAGGACAATTATTTTACCATCTTCTGTGCACTCTCCTGAGTGCAGTTGCTCTTTCTTTTCATCATGTTCAACCTTTTTGGGCCTTTTTGTCCTCACCGCAGCAGTCTACCCAATCATAATATAGATGAAGAAGTAGGTACTTATGTTCATGTTGAAATTTTTTACAATATCTTCCAAGTACGACGTGGTTGAGGCTGAAGGAAGAACTGCGCTCGTCTTAATGTGAAGATTTTAAGACCTCTCCAATATAATCTTGATGTTATAGGACTCGCGGCCAACGCCAAGAATACCTCATCAACAGAGATAAAAATGATGCATTAGAAGTGTAGATGAAAGATGCAATACTTGGTTGACGAGGACGTGTAATTTTGGTACGATGAGTAAGAAGAAGACTGAAAAATGAGTTGAGAGAAGTCCTGATTTGAAAGTATGCACTACTTGAGGAAACGCCGTAGAAAGCAGAGAGCTGAGTGACTAGAAGGAGTACCTTGTCACGATGAGGAAAGTTATTTGAAATATTCAGAGAAGATCGAGCAACTTGTCAAGTAAATAATTTCTATTTTACCTCAGGTGGCTTAGCTATACTGCAGGTCTAGGTAAGATGGATCTACCCTCGTCAAAGACAACATGCATATGCAAGCTCCTCCTGAGGTAAAACCTAAACTTATTAATCATGCTACTATATTCTCAAAATGAAGTCGTGAGCCGGTGGGCAAATATAGGAAACTAGAAAATACCTCCGCCAAGCTCTTCCTAGCTCTCTTTGGTCACCTGTCATTTCTGTTGATCTGTGGACGACGATTCACCAAAGTGAATGAAGATATGCGCGAGAGAATGCACAGGTAGCACGACAAAGAAGCAGTAAAGATTTTTGCGACCATCTTAGCATTCATTAGATCAAGAATCCTAGGGGAGAGCATCCTCATTTTCACTTGGTTAGCACTTGTTAATAGAATAAGAGAGATGATGGGTCTGGTGTTGCCTTACAAGATCATGAATCGGTACTAGGATCGCAATCACGAAGACCCTGTAAATCTCCGCATCGTCCACGTGACACCATGCAAAAGTTACGCGTCAAAGCGTCTCAGCTTGCATGGTCATCTAAAACGAACTTGGTTTCCGATTTGCGTGCTCATCAGTGGTAATCGATGCTACCAGGAAAATTACTTAAGTAAGTAGCTTGAGCTTCCGCTGTTATGATGTGCTTGTCCGTGCTCGTTGTTCGTCTACGAGTGGTCCATGAACATAGGATCGATAGCATCATTGCGAAGTCAAGGTATAGCCTGGTGTCTTCTCTGATAATTAACGACCACCTGAATACTCATTCACATTCATACGACCGTTTACATCATAAGCATGCATATCCGTGCAACTACAATAGGCGGAACAGACAATAAGCGCAAGCTCGAGAGGGTTCCCCCGTTTCTCGCCCTGGACCATGTCACTTTTTTTTTTTCGTTAGGACTAGATGCTGCCTCCCTTTCAAACAATTACACAAATCTAGCATAAGGCCATTTAAATAATTACAAACTGGGGGCGCATAAGACCGCACAATCGGCCACAAGACTACAACTATCGGAAGGGCCGTGCAGTCGACCCTTAAAGAACAGCTAAGACGCAACCCGACACTGCGGGGCCCTATGAGCAAGTCAGCACACCTGCAAGGGTACGACACACCGCACAACTGCTGATGGATATACTGACGAACCCCCTACAGGAAGATACGCACATCACATAATCAACTATGACTAGACAACGGTAAACCAGAAAAGCAGGCATGTGCTAAGCCTAAGCGCCGAGACCGAAACTGGCTTTCTCGACAAGTGAAGCCACATGCCTCGCCGGTCATCAACAGCGCAGAAGTAGAACTTTGAGTGAGGCGGCCTCGTGGAAAACAAAGGCGCTGAGCTTGGCACTAAGTGCCGCGCACACACACATAAAAAGACCTGCAGAATTTCCATTCCCGTCTAGCTGTAAGTAGTTTTCACTGAAGTAGAAACTACCTTAACAAAATGCGAGAAGTAGGAAACTACGCCGCATTCCTTGTTTGATGTCATCTCGTCTCGACGCGTTATCACGTTATCACGAATCGGCAGTTCCGACTCGTCATCGTCGAGTCGTTTTTGTTTGATGTCGTGGTGGTCGTCTGAAAATTTCTACGTAGACATGTACTTCCAACATCTTAACTTTTAGAAGCAAAAGCATCTACTCACATCAACTTGTACGTCTAGGAGCGGCTCCTTCAAAGACAATCAGTCCTCACATAAGTAGCAGTAGCCGCGTTCCTCATAGCCTGGTGGTCTGCCTACTTATCATTGCTTTTCCGAAAGTACACCGCTGTTCCTGCCAGGAGGATGAGAAAGCCAATTTTTTCCATCCACCAACCAGGACTCGATACGTCCAGCATCTTGTGCCTCACCTCTGGCCACCCAAATTGTGCTGTCACTAGAGCCAATTTTAGCAACTCGACCGCCCATGTGACAATCGTACGACAGCTTTCCAAAATGCTTCTTCCCGTACTGGAGAGCTGCTTTCCCACTTGAGATCCGAGAAAACCACTCGCAGCTATGGCAAAAAAATAGATAGCCACTCTTAGAGCTGCTCGCCCATGTCGATCCATCTCGAGATGAAGTCCGACCTAGGCGTCTTTTCCCCTTGAACAAAAGTCTCTTGAGAAGATGAAGTCCGACATAGAAGAAGAATAAATATGGATTATAGGAGAAGGAGCCAGGGGAAGCCTTAACATCCGAACCGGAAGTGATAACTCGAAATTCAACGCCGAAAAGGAGGAGCTGGTGGCGCTGCTAGAAGGATTAGAGCTACCCCTAGCTGATCTTGTTCTCTGTGCCTCAAGCATATCCCTCAAGAGGATCTTCCCTCAAGAGGATCTTCCCTCAAGAGGATCTTCCCTCAAGAATATCGTCCCTTGGAGATAGATGAATATTAGGGATACCTAGAAGCTACAACAGATGACGAGATGAATTAGTATTAGATAGAGGTTGCCTTAAAAAAAGCTGTCCTCTTCGGTGCCGGAGCACTTGGGGTTTCATGCCACCTGAATAAGCGATACAGGAAATCCTTTTCAAGTGTCCACTGAGACAATCGAACTTTACCAGCACCACCACAATCGCACTCTCGACTCGCGGCTAGAGGTGGAATCAGCAGAAATGCTGGGGCAACGACGAGGAGGAGCCAAACTGCGCCAACTAAGCCCTCATTAGAGCTCATCCTTATCCATCTTGAGGTGCATCCTGGTGCTTCTTTTCCCTTATGGGACAGCTTTTCCAAGATGCACTATCTGAAGATGGACCATTAGCGGAAGTCTTAACTTCAATCCCGGTGGCTAGAAGAGGAGGCGTGTGCGGTGCATAGGAGTAAAACTTTTCTTGCAAGCAAATGTGCAAGCTCCCTAAAAACGCACCACATGCACACCAAACTATGCCAGTCAGGATGGATGATGAGCCAGAGTCAGAGGATGAGGCAGAGCTTGTTGAAGTCGTTCGACGTGAAGCACTACCCGTTGTTCCTGTAAAACTGCCTGTTGCTGTCCCTCTTATGGTGGGAGAACTTGAAGACATTGATGTTGGCGTTGCTGGTAAAGTAGAGTCGTGACTCGTTGCTATAGTTGCCGTTGCTAGACTCGTCCTTGGAGTTAACGGTCCTGCTCCTGCTGATGTGCAGATTACACTTCTAATATTACGTGTGCTACAATTTGACTGCCCCTTTGTTTTGAAAAGCTGTTCTCGTTCTTGTGCAGGATCCTCCTCTACGTCAGCTTCTTGCCCACTCTCAAGAACTTCAGGTTGCGTAGCAGCTGGAGGTGGAGCAGCCTTTGAAAGTGTAGTCCTGCTCATATCCACCTGTACAACTTCTCGTCCTTGCTGTTGTCCTTGTATTTTCTCGACAACTTGCTCGACAACTTGCTGTGATTCTGATTGTTCCTCCACTTGTTCCTCTGGCGTATCCTCTCGTCCAGGTCTCGATGTTCCAGGAATCGATGTTCTTATCGGCGACAGCGTTCCTCGTCTCTTGGGAGGAGGACTAGTTGTAGTACCTCGTGGTGCCCTTCTACATGTTGCATCTAAAAACTGGTCAACAGGACCAAGGCTCCCATCTCCTCGTTCTTTCATCATCATGCTGCTTCTCCTCCCACTATGACTCACCCCGTGTTGAGGTTGACTCAAATTGGGTCCAGTGAACTTTGTAGATGCAGTAGACTTTTCACGGGAAAAGGAAAATGGTTTGTTCTTCTTCACCTTGTCGCTTCCTGCTTCAGATACTGAAGAAACAAAATACGGAGACGATGATTTCTTCGGCTCGTCGCCTTGAGGACGAGGACCTCCAAAAGTTCTAGAATTGTCACGGTCTCCAACGTCTCGGCTTCCTCTAAAACCGGTAGACTCTTCGGCTTCCTCTAAAACCGGTGGTAAAAGGTGAGCCGAAAGTCGTGTTCCCAAGTGCTGTTGTAGTTGTTGCCCTTGATCATGCGCTTGTTGTATCTTTACAGCATTTAGAACAACATCTTCTACGTGTTCTTCTTGCAGTCGTCTTTTCATACAACTCATTCTCCCGCTTGATGGACCAAATAGTGGCGGATGGATTACGACTGGTTGTTCTTCGTCGTTACCGCTTTGCTGAGCTGAATTCTGAATTCTACTCTCAGCTTCACCGATCAGATCACGAAGATCCTGGTCAGCGTCTTGTCGATCATGCATATAAAAAACATCCTCTTCGCGGAGGTCTCCACCACCTAATGAAGCTCGTTCTTGCTGTAGTTCTTGTCCTAAGTGACCTGCTGATGATTGTTGTTGTCCACCCTGCTCACCTGTTCCTAGTACACCTAGGTACGCTATTTGATGTCCTCGGAGCGAGGTTTGCATTGGTCCTCTTTTGCCCAACATCGATACGTTCCGAGTAGTTAAAGGAGATTTGAACCCACCACCACCTCGTAGTTCTTCTCGTCGTTCATCTTCATGGTCGCCACGCGTTTCAAAATACCTGAAACCCCCGAACGGCACTTCCACGATTCCAGTACCCCCCTGTGCTGCGACTTTTGCAGAGCCTCTTCCCGTTGCAGTTGTACTAGGAGGCGACTTTGTTCCTTTACTAGAAGAGGATGAAGACGCAGCAGAGCCCTCGACAACTCGTCTGCGAAAACTGCCTTTACTGTTGGCGCGCACTTGTTGCTCGTCCCCTGCTCGTCCAGTTGTACTAGCGGATGAACAGGTCTTTGAAGATTTTGCGCTGGAAGAATTCAGACTGCTTTTACATTTACAGTGACCTTTGGAAGATGTGGCATTAGTGGCATTGCTTCTAGAGGAAGTCCGAGTCTGGTGGGAGAGGAGGTCGAGGACCTCTTCTACTATTCTTGGTGATGAGAAAGAAACAGGAGGATGTGGTATAGCTGCACCAGTCAAGATTTTCACAGGAAGTAGCATCTCCTCCGCCGAAAAAAATCCCTCCAACTTCAACTTGCTTTCATCACTAAGAACCGCTTGCTCCTCGCGGAGAGCTCCCAGGCTACTTGATGCCGCTACTATGGCTGAAGACTCCGTTACCGTTCTACCTTCCACCCCTTCGAGAGTCGACACTAAAGCAGGCAGAGCAAGCGCCCCAGATGCTGTACTTCCACCAAGCGCTGCAATTGAAGTTGTAGCTCCTGTGGCAGCACTTGAAGCCGCTGCCACAGCCTCTCCACCACGACCTGGCGGTATATATTCCGTTACTGGATACGCACACAAGGCCACAGACACTAAGATAATCCCAGTCAACGTCAACCCAACTCCCAGCATCTGGTGTAGTTTAAGCTTGCGGCGGAAGATGGCCACCACTAGAAAGCCGATAAAGAAAACCCTCGCACCTCTGAACATTTGGTAATTCGAGCTCGCCATGGTACGCAGTCCCTGACAATTGCACACTGTCGCACTAGCGTTGCAAATACCGCTGATAGCGAACAAGAGGTGGGACTTTGACCATGAAGCTGTTGAAGAGCTCGCTTCGTCGGAGATCCCTCCATCTTCACCAGGAGCATCGTCTGATGTGGCATCTCTATCATCTTCGACTGCTTCAGCATTCGCTTCGGCGTTTTTGTTTTTGATATCCTGTTTCAGCGTCGGAGACGGTACAACTACAGAAGTTATTTTCTTGAAAGGATTGCGAAGCCATTTGCGGTCTATGATGCCCGCTCCCGCGCAGAAAAGGAAAACGAAAAAGCAAAATCCTTCACCCAACACGGAGAAAAAGGAAAAAACCACAACACTGCCGCATTTCTCCACATCATCAGGCATCTTCGTGCTGCTCCTTGTTGGGCACGTTGCTCCAGTTCTAATACCTCCAGGAGAAATAGTTGTTGGCGTAGTTGATGCAGAAGATGATAATAACGCAGGAGGTTGTGGAAGATGTACTAGAAGACTATGACCATTGCTGGTCTTCTGAAGACTTTGCCTTTGAAGTTGACCTTCCTCCACTCTTCCTAGTCGTGTCTCTTGTTCATTCTCATCGTCGTGTAAGTGCTGATAATATCTTTCTGACAGGATTGATTTCGATAAAAGGACAGCAGACACTCCTACCGTGTACCAGAGTGCTACTAAACCGACTATCTTCAAAATGTCTCGCTTGGACACCCGATTCTGGACTTTAGACGAACCTGTTGCAGCTGTTGTTGCAGCTCCATCAGGACTAGAGGATGGTCGTGGATTTGGATCAACATCTCCAACATGATCTTCCTCATTTGCATGGTTGTCGGAGGTGTCATCTACGAAGATCTTCCCATCTTCAGCATTCTCAACTGGTGCATCTCCATCTCCCTCTCTTCCTTGACCCCCTAACGCCTCCTGTGATGAAGATCTAACGCTGTAGTCGGTCCTCTCATTTCGACAAGTTTCATTGAAGACGACTACATCATCTTCAAAGAGGTCCAACGACGCACGATACGGTGCACCATGCCTTCTTCCTACTACACTCTGAGACGACGCCATCTTCGTCCTCGTCGTGGAGTTGTGGTGTTTTTCAATCTACTTAATATAGCCTTTCATTATTGTTAAATGTATTGAGGTTTATTTTAGCATCCTTTACTTTTTTAACAGTCTACATTATGATGTATGATTCAACACATTCATCATGAGAACAAGTACGATAGATGATATTACTGAGACTACGATGTTCTCTAGATGCTGGACGACTGCGTCTACGAGAGTACGGCTAGATTGAAGATCTACACCTATATATCAATCAATAAAATGATCTTCACTAATATATGATAGATGATAGTACTGGTGGAACAGCCATTCCTATGTATAAATTTCGTTTCTATAATGTTGATCCCGTAGTTTTTTGATTTGAAGAATGTGATTAGTGTAAACGCGGCAATGCAAGCAATTTACTTGTCCGTCGTAGTCCCTGATCTTACAGCATGTTGGGAAGGAGCAGGTCGTGAGGTGTATGGACAAGACTCTCTCGATCCACTCGTCTCTCGTAGTATCGGTCTGAAGAGAGGCAAAGCCGAAGAAGGATAAATTGGAAGATGCATACGTCACACGAACTACATTCATGAAGTTCACAACAAAGGACTAGGAGACGCATGATCTTCATCATGGACGTTCACGTTACAAAACAAGCACAACCAGATGTTGAAGTAGCAGCTATATTTCAGAGTTCACAAGAAAAAGATTGCTCAGATATTTTTATATTTCTTCCTTGCACCGTGAAAGCAGGAGACAGAATTGCAGGTGTTTTTTGAAGTATCAACTTCATCTCGATGTTATCACGCACAGTGACTGCTTCAACAGCGATGACTTGGTGGATTTGTATGACTACTTGGCATGCAGAACCAGAGGACATTTTGTGACACGGAACAATTTGCGTAGGCGCTGACAGCGAACACAGATTGAGATTGAGCAATGTGCATCGCCATGATCATAGCACAGGGATGCCATGCAAGTTGCATCCTCAGTATGCATTTGCATGGTCAGCACCTGACGTTCTTTGCCGTCCGCAATAGGTAATGTATATCATGGTGACATTCATGTTCGAAGATGTGCATTTTTATTTTTTTTAAGTACGTTTTTTATCATGATCGTAAAATCAATCAGGTAGTCGTATCCTGTGGAACAACAGCTTCTACGTGTATTTTATCGCGGACACAGAGTAGACAGAACACCTCTACGTACTGCCCCTTCTATGTAGATCTTTCTAGAAGTGACCTTAGAAGTGATCACTTTTTAGAAGTGATCTACTTAGAAGTCGTGATCACAACTACGGACTGCGAGCAGTAGGAGACTGCGAAGGCCCTTGTTCAGTTACCAACTCCTCAGGCACAGGAGAGTTTCGCACCTTCACGACTACAGCTCTGCCTTGTGGTTTTTCTTAGAAGTAGAACGCGTAAACGTATAATGTTTGACTTTGTGTTGTATTGACTTTGCTTTCAAAAATGGGTACTGAATTGAAACAAGCTTGTACAACTACGTACTTAGCATTGTATAATGTAAAGACAGCAAAGAAGAGTAAGACAAACAAATAAATCACGCTGACCATAATTTTCTTTCTTCGCGGCACCAGACTTTTTCTTTGCGTTTTTTGGCGAGGATCTCAGCATATGCCTCTCGCTTTCCACACCTTCTCGCTCCAATCTCGCATTTGGGTCTGAGAGTAGGTCTGCAGCCCAAGGGTGTCCACTGTGTCCTCCCTCCAAATTGCGGTCTTGATAAGCAGCGAGGTCGATTTCCACTGTTTCCAGACGCCTTTTGAGTTGCATTTCTATGGAAGGTGGTGCTGCAGTACCTGGTGTTTGATGAGCACCTCCGACATTCTCCCTACTCTTCGGTCGACTTGGTGACCGACTAGGCGAATCACTAGCCTCGTCTCTACTCCTACCTGCTTCGTCCACAGATTGCAGCCCATTGGCCCCTTTACTCCTATGACCTCCTTTCGTGTTTGGCCGACTCTGGACTCCCGCTCCATGGTGATGCAAAGCAGTAGTCGAACCCGCCAAGTAAGGCGATACATACTTAGAGCTCATCCTAATCCATCTCGAAGAGCACCCACCCTGAGTGACCACTTCCTCCTACTAACTTGAGAACGTCGGTCTTCAAGATGCTTCTGATAGATCACGAGGATGGATTTTTAAGAGGGACGAAAGCCTTAACATACGGCGCAATCAGTTCCCGTCGAACTTTTTTCAGCGTCTTGGAAGTTGAAGTACCAGCTCCGATAACGAGCTCTCCTCTCTGCTGACTTGTTTCATTACGCCGCTGCTGAGAATACACGTTTCCACCTGGTGCAATATTTTAGATATTTTTACCTATAGCATATGCATCTTCTTGGGAGGAGTCATCTTGGACCACGTGCTTTCCCCTTGAAGAAAAGAAACACTTTCCAACAAAGAAAAATGCCTCTTGCGATCAATCTTCAAGTCAATATATTATTAAGCTATACTTTTTCATCTTTTTAAAGTGTAAAAACTGTAACGCGCGCGCGCGCGTTACGCGCGCGGGTTACGCGCGCGCGCGCGTTACGCGCGCGCGTTATAATTAACGCGTTACGCGCGCGCGCGTCACGCGCGAAATAAGGCGCGCGCGTTACATGTGCGCGGCGCGCGCGCGTAACGCGCGCGTAACGCGCGCGCGGGGGGGGTGCACTCGCGACCGGGCTCGCCGCGGCGGGGCCAGCTCGGGCTCGCGGCGGGGCTGGCTCGGGCTCGCGGCGGGGCCGGCTCGGGCTCGCCGGCGCGGGGCCGGCTCGGGCTCGCCGGCGCGGGGCCGGCTCGGGCTCGCCGG